ATTTGTTCAAATTTATAGCGAAATGAAGTGAAACCGGTTTACTCAAATCAAAGTCACAAGGCATCACAAAATTACTTGGATGAAGTTCATTTGACTCTCATGAGCATTAGTATAACGTTATTTTTGGGTGCCCACTGTGTTGAATAAAGAAAACCTTTGAGCTTGTCACTTACAAACCCTTTATGGTATTCGCCTATGCATCTACTTGAACAAGTAGAACAATCCTTCCTTATGGTTTTTCGCGTAATGCACATGAGCCACAGGAACACAAAGAGCATTGAGTGCGCATTGAATCATCTCATGGACCCGCTAGGAGGTGTGATCCGTGGCGTTGAGTAGTAGTCCATTTAATCCGCTGTCCTAGAACAATCATTGCACTTTTTCTAACATAGTGGGGACACTTGTGGCAGGGGTAAGTGAATGCCTAAACTTCCTACGAAGTGCTCTCCAATCGGCATTAGTCGGTGCCACTCTAAAGACATTTCCGTAAACTACAACTTTATTATGGATCAGTGCAACTTTACTTTCCAATTAGTCTGTGTATCAGCTATTGTGGGTGTGATGCGACTTCGTATAATGATTTCCACATTACTCAGGGTGTGGCCTCGTTCTGCGAGGACACGTAACTTGCAGGATGCATGCTCACAAAACAATAATTTGGGAGTTTCATGTAAATAGTCACTACCACCTTTCTTACTTACCTACCTGCCAGCTCTACCGGTGTACTCGTGACTAACTTTACGGCCTCTCTCAATGCAATAAACACATCCATTAAAATTTCCAGCCATTTTAACATTTATTTTTGTCCATGATGTTTGTAATTTGCATTGACCTTAGCATTTCCTTAGGCAATATGGCATTACGCATACGTAGGCAGTATCGTTTGCAATTATCTTTAGGCCATTTTCAGCTAGAGTAATTAAAACAAATCTGATCTTACGTGTGAACTACAAGTATCAAAAGAGATATGTACAAATTTTAAGGAAATCTCTAGCATTCGTCATAAGTGGGGACCAACAAGTTACATCACTCATATTCGCATCATACCGCACAGCACGATGATGAACCACTAGACTAGATCAGATGCAAAATACCCTAGAAAGACACAAAAATTCCACCGTACTAATGCGTTCGCAGTTTTCGAAGAGTGCCACTTATCCTTCGAATGTGACAGCGAAATGGAATCGGAGCTACCCGCAAGGTAATGAAACAGCACGGGATGACTATGGTAATGGTAGGCTTAAAGTACAAAGGTACTCAAACATTTTTAAAATCCCTGTGAACTGTGTGAAGCAGCACTTTAACTTGTCCTTTTTCCTCAAAACATGCAGTAAGGGCAGTAAACGTCAATTTGCTTGTGCTCCTTACCTAACCAAATAGCTCGTTTGAAATGGCGGCAGTAAGGGTGGCTTCCCTTCGAAAGGGGGTAGTGATTGGCCTCTCAAACCATGAGGTAGGGGATAGGCAAGTATAACGCGAAAATTAGGAATTTCGCGCATGAGTTGTGCACCGTTTTGCAAGATGGACATGAGCGGTTAAATCATTTCATGGGCTCAAAATTTCGCACAAAATATACTTCTTTAATATTCAACTTGTTGCTTAGCAATAGTAAAATTGTATCTCCTTACTTAAAGAGCAGAAAGCTGCACAGCTTCAATTGTGGCAAAATGTGAAATGTCAAGATGGGTTTGGGCTGGAAAATCAGTGCATTCCAATGAGGTGCCAATGCGCTGAATATAGCGCAGCAATGGTAGCACTTGTAATCTTACATGTGCTAACTAAAGTGTGTTTTGCGTGAGGCAAATTGTTTTATTATTACTGTGCTTCTCATGATGTGCACTTACACAATGCGGATGCGCAACGTAATTAACTCCATAACTTCTTCTCACAGTTGATAGCCCGGGTCCCGTTTATGGCTGTGGGTTGTGGTAGGCGAAAGCGTAGAGCTTTTGGAGAGCTTGTAGATGACTTAGAAGGTAGAAAATGCCAGCAGATAAGTTGAGTTCACTTGGGTTTACTTTTCCGACTTCTCAACACCTTCACACGTCAAAGGGAAGTCGCCATTAACAAATACTGTTCTCCGTCTTCATAACTTCACATCGCAAAAGTGATTTGATTATTTTATTCAAGACTTAAAGTGTTCATGCTACATTGTTCCTCATAATAATGTCTAACTCTTGAGACACTTTAGGCGCCATTTGTGTACACTTTTAAAGGCATGAGTGGGTAGATAATGCCCTTGCAACTGCAAAGCAATTAAGGAGTGTGGAGAGACGTGTGGGGCTCTTTTGGTTATGTAGCATACCGCCTGCATAGAATCACAGTTCAGGCGTTAATTCGTGCATATTTAAGTTTAATTACCGAATTCTTTTTAAACGCTGGAAGCCAGACACTTGTTTTCCACGGTGCAAAATATGTTTCCATCCGGACACATTGTACTCAAGCATGCTGAGACAGTTTTGTTTTAATTTGGTCCAAACAATTTTGTGACCTTAAACCTAAACAGCTATTCAGGAGGTAAATAAATATGCGAGGAAATGCATACCGTGGAAGGAACCTGTCAACTGACAGCTAGTACTAGTGAGGGTTAACAAGAACAAGGTAAAATGACATAATGATTGTTTGGAAGGGAGAACATTTAAACTAAGGCATGTTTGCATCCATCTATTTCCTACTCAAAGTGTCGTCGTAGTGGAGTAGATCGAAGCAACAGGTGGCAATAAAACAATATTTGGAGGACTGCGAGTGACGCTAATGCTGCGTCACGAATGCGATTGTACAATATTAGTAAGACTTGCCCTTTTCTTGTTTGATAATTGAATACTAAAACTAAATAGTACATCCATTGTAGTGCGTTATCACACAAAGATTCTATTCCAGGGCTAGACTAAACAATTACTTTAATAAACAACACATGGTATCAGTTAGAACTTAGCGCGATTGCAGAGGTGCCTAGTGCCATACCACTGAGCATGCATGGGTGCTCGCTAAGTCGGCGCATGCGCTCGACCACGTGGGTCGAGTCTCCGATCGGTATCCATACTAAATGGGGTGAGTGAAGTCCTGGTCAAAAGTTGGGTCTTTGTATGCTTCCATTGGATCAAACGTACTCAAAAATCTCCATTTCTTCTGTGTACCACTTTTGTGAATGTATGCACACATCGCGCACACTTAACTTTTTTAGCAAATACTAAGTGATGTAGCTCAATTAAGCCCTAATGATTTAATGTCGTTTGGTGCACTGTGAACGATGCAGTTTGGGTGACCGCGCTCTCGAACCGAGCATTTGAAAGGAATAGGAGGAGACTGAGTTGACACCATCCATCTTCTCAGCCACTTACAATATCTAGTAATATTTGCCAGCTAATTTGCTGTAAAATAACTACCAAACGCTGCATTAAATGGCTGAGTCATTGAACATTGCTTTCGTGCAGGATAAAAGAGTTGCAAAGATATCAGAAGTCACTAATGCTGTGGTCAGAGCTATGGTAGTCCACATTTCCATGTCGTTTGCCATATTCCATGCGACATGCAAAGCCCAGTAATGAATCGTTTAAGTGTTTACTGAGCCACCATCGACAGCTGCATAACAATTTGGCAGAGTTCTATTGTCGGCTACCTGCATTTTCAGCATGTCCTAAAACCCATTTACGACACATAAAATAGCGTCAGTGACTCGTGAAACCAAGTAAATCCGTGGAATGAAAATGCTTTCCACTTCTACGTAACTGCTGTTAATCTCGCTTATTTTTAGAACACTTTTCAAGGTCTGCAGCTATCTTCCCAACGCAGCCTTCCACCTATATCGTTAAAAGTTGACACTTATTTTGTCTTCCATGCACTTGTAGCAATAAATGACCGAGATTTGATATTGAACTAAAACTTGCGGACAGACCTAAGCCTATCAACTCTGTCTTCCAGCGAAATGCAACATCATAATTTTTCCTCGTCTTCCCTGTGTGAAGTTTCTAAAGTGGATTGTAGCGAGTTAGCATTGCCTGGATTACCTGTCAAAAGGTGTGCAGCAAAAAATGACCACTTCAAAACATCCGTCTGCACCTTGAAGATTAATTCTCTCACTCCTTCACTGTGCATTTCAATTCTTGTTGTCTACTTGATTCCACCTCCATTGAGAACACATCGGTGCAGACCGCACCTTTGAATTTTCCACATCCAAAAGTGCTTGACAAATAGTAAGAAAGCGGTTCTTTTTCGACATACATGGTCTGGTATGCATTTGGAGGAATATTACGACATACTCCTAAATCGCACACGAATGTCTGGGTTACTTTTTATTAGTTTTAATAGGAGGAATTATTTATGTTCTGATTCACTCATTTACCAGAGCATTTAGTACCTGTTCAAACTCCATTCAAGCAGGCAGATGCTCTAAACAAAACACAGAAGAATTTCAAATAATGTTAAAAAAGGAAAATGTAATGCATGAATAAACCATGCAGGAAAAAACCTTATGGAATGATTTAAGAACACTGATAAAGGCTCGTCGAACAGAAGTAAATGCAATAAACTGTAGGAGTAAAAAGATTTTGTTAAACTAAAAGGGTTAGAGACAAAAGTACATCAATTGTGCTTCGTGTGGAGCCGTCAATGCATAGCACAGAGATGACACGCTCACAGAGGTTATGGTGCGGTCATGAAAATCGGCGCAGTACTGGCGTCGGTGAGTGAAGCAGACGTGGAAAGCGCCTCGCTTGCCGCGCAGACACTTCATCTCGCCTTGCCTCGCCATTCCATGTATACGCGCATACGCGCCGGCGAATGTCTGTAGACCACTTGCGATCCTCAGCCAATCAGAAAAGAGGTCGTGCCTGATAGGTGGAGACAATGTCGTGGGTTCTACCGGCATACGCGCCACTGTAAATCAATTCGTCACTCCGCTTTGCGTGCACACGCCGTCGTCGAGGTGGCTCTGCGCTACTTTGCATCTAGGATGGATGTATAACTTACCATTTGCTCCTCTTCCCACGGCACAAACAATAATGGCTTCGCACAACAGCTTCGACAATCAGGCTCCAGCCCTCCTCGACCGACATCCCAAGTCGCCTTCATCTCCACCTCCGGCTGCCTCCTCACCCAACCTCCTGAATACGACCTCCTCAGCTCTCTTATTTGCTCAGCCCGTCCTGCCTCTCAACTTGCGGCGTTCAGTGGACGATCACCAGGCGCCCCCCCCAGTCCCGCCACACCAAAACACTGCAGCCTCCAGCACAACCACTTCCACTACTACTACCGCGGTCGCCTCCCTTCAGTCCACGCATCCTACCGTCAATTCATCATGCTGCATTCTTATTGACGGCCAGCCACAGCCGGTAGAGGCTGTCCAAAGCCTGGTGACCCATTTACGAGAGGAGATCGCTTTACGCAACACCCAGATTTCCCGTCTAACAAGCGAGGTCGAAAGTCTGCGCCGCATGGTAGGCGATCGCAATCGTGATGTAGATCAGCTGAAGTCTGTGCTTGACCAGAAGTATGTCCCGCTGGCGGCTGTAAATGGCGCCAATCACAGTGGCAACAACAGCAGAAGTAACAATAATGCGGTCAACACCTTGAACAGTGTGTGTATGGTAGAAGAGATTATGGATCTGGGGGAGGGAGGTACGGCATCCCTTCCCCCGGTTTCCTCATCCCAGTCTACCGTTGTGCCCCCTGCTCGCATAAAAAAGCAGGGCGTGTGTGGAGAGAGTGTCTCGCGCAATGCCAACATCGGGTTCATCCATTACGAGAAGGATCATAAGTGAGCGCACTTCACTAAGCTCTTGAAAACTTCTCACAATCCTTTTTTAAAGTAATTCCCCGAGTCTTTGGGAGAAAATTCCTTTTAATAAACGAAAGGAATTCGTGCATAAGGCTAATTCCCAGTCTGATTTACATCTGACAGAGCATGAAAAGCGGTATGAATAGATCTCCTTTTTTGTTTGTATGAGTGGCGCCAATCGACACAATAATGTACTCAATCGAATTTGGTGTATAAGTAAGATATGCTAAAATTGAGTGTCAATTTTAATTTTGGTGCGCGTTTAAAAGTGTTGCAACGGATCTCTCGTCGTTACCTCGACTTGCCTCCGTGCACAAGGATACGATGAATAGGTGGTAAGCCGCCCCACACTGGTTCCAGTGTGCAAATAAATTACCTTCAGTACAGTGTTTGGGCCGAGATGTGATAGACCAGTCGGGCGTTTCCACCGTCTACCATGCTCTATGATGGTCACTTTCAAACATTTCAAGCCTATCACTTTGTTATCCGGCCTAATTGACGAATAGAAACGTCTTCATGCCCCCGTTCTCGCCTTTGCGATAGTAATGGCAACATTTAACCAATTTCATGCCACTTTCTGAGTTGTAAGTAAAAATCATTGGGATGCCTTTAGGTGTGTAGTAGTGACTCATGTGTTTTGACAGAAGCCCTTTGTGAACAGCAACTCAACAGATCACTACGCTCAGTTTAGTTCCATTATGCTAAGTGTGGTGGTGTAGCTTTTTCGATGCATCGAAGTGTAGGTAGCTTGGGTGCTAACGGTCAGAGAATTAGCGTATGTATATTGGCCATTCTCAAAAGCATCGTCTCTAATTTTTTTCAGACTTCAACAAATCTTAAAATTTGAACAACCACTTTGGCATAAGATGTCACAATTTGTGGTATTTCTATCATAAAGAGTCGATCTGATCATTCAGAATGTGTGGTGTGCTGACAGAGGTTTTTAGGCTTGCATGTTCACATTCTTGAAGCTCAACACATCAAGCCACAGCAGAGCGCTTAGGGGAGTTGTTAGTTAAAGGATTTGCATTGATTACAGACGAAGGGATATGAACTTACAGTTCTATGCTCCCTGATCTCATTGTCCGTAGGAAGTACATCCTTTTTGCTTCTCTGTATCATTAACTAAAAGTGCGCTGCACTTCTGCGTCTGGAGGCGAGGAAAATTTGCTCAGCCGATGCCCTCACAGTCTCATACAGCACCAAATTTTCCTCCTTTAAGACTAAGGCTGAATTTTCTAGACAATTTTTCATTTGTTTTTCCTGTGCCGTGGTGAAAATAAATGAGGAATCTACTAGGAGAAAAATAAATACCTCCTCCAAATACACTCCACTGATACGTCTCCTGAAGCTTCTGAGAAGTAGCAAACTTCAGACATTTTGTCGACATAACTTTCTCCATCTCATTAGTTATTGCCATTCTTAATTTCACCGCTGCCAAAATTCATAAAAACCGTGGTTTCATTGTTTAGAATAAGGTAACCGAATGATTTCACACAGTGTTTTATTTGTCTAGCCAATTGCGAGTAGGATCTGCAGTCCTTCCCCTTCCAACTGCAACTAGGGCAATACCACTTTTATGAAGTATTGCCCTTCGAAGCGAAAAGACTGGCTCCACTCATCTCTCCTCCTATCTCGCTTTTATTTTCCAGCTGTCTACCCCATTTTACATACAATTTTATGCTACCAAGGCAAAATTACGCGAGAATTGTCACCAGGGCAATTAGGGCTGGGGCGATGTCTCCTGCTTCCACATTCGTGCTTATGAAGGAAGATATTAAATAGGCTCGGGTGTCAATTTAAGCTCAAGAAAGTGAAATTCCCTCCTTTAAACTTTTTAATGCATAAATACATTCATGCAGGTGTTTTATTGTCAAATCACTTAACTAAAACAATTCACTGTATAAGGGATTGACCATGATACCTGAGTGACTCCTACCGATAAAAGTAATGGCCTTTAATTAGTGCTGACAGAACAAATAAGCGTGAGTGGGGGTAAACAAGTGTATTGCCACTGTGCGGTCGGAGAGCCATATGTTATTACAATACTGAGCGTTTATTCTTAGGATAGCAATATACTTCCCTGAGAATCGCACCGGAATAGTTCACTTAAAGGCCAATGCTTTAGAGTGAATAACCCAAGTTGACCGAAGTTAAAATTGTTACAGGTCTTTTTCCATATCATCACTTGCAAAAGATTTGTACAATTATGTAGAATGAATCCGCGAGCCTCTGCTCTTTAGGTAACCCTCTTATTCGATAATATGCCACTGAATGGTTATTCATAACTTTGTAAAGCTCAAGCCAGAATCGTTGCACATCCATGTAGTGCTCCTCTTCATGGATACAATTTGTTATCCACCTTTGCTAACGCAAGACCAGACCATTGTGCATACGTCGGTCCTTTGCAGCTCACGGTCGCTGATTTACAACGCGATTACCAGCAACGATTTCCTCAACAACCTGGAGCAGAGCCAAATTGAGGAGATTGTCCTCTGTATGTACGAGAAGCGTGTCAACAAGGGTTGCTTCATAATCCGCGAGGGGGAGCCGGGCGATGCCCTCTACGTCACTGCAGGTCCGTTTCTACTTCCCTTCCCTACGCACTCCAAGCTCGCCTCGCTTCCATAATGTGTATATTAATAAAAAGTGGCAATTAGCACATTATTTTATTGGTTTTTAACTAAAAACAACACTTTTTAACGAATTGTTTGTTATAAGTAACCTCCGTCTGAAACTACTGCAATTAAACCATTTAACCCTCTGTATTGTTCAGAGAAGCTAACTTTTTTGGAGTTGATTCAATGCTTTGCTCTTCAAATACACTCGAAATATATTCAAAGTTGCCTCGGAATTTCGTCTGCATTTATTGTCTGCGGTGCCTCAGCTGTGAACATTTTAACCTACTAAAGTGACTGATAACTGGTTTGCTGTTTACTAGTGAAGCTTCATCATTCTCACTCCAAACGACTTACTTTTCATAACGCCTTGTGACATTGCAGTGAAATTTCTTAAAAAGTGAAGACAGGAACGATGGTTTCTTTTTTACGCCAATAGAATACGTCTAACTCTGTAGAAGGAAGCACGTCTAGTAGATTTTGAATACGCCACTTCTGCTGTTCCATCTTTCTGGTTGCGATGCCATCTCACCTTTAGCAGGCCATCACTTACATACATAGCCTTCGTGTTGCCCCGATCCCCACTTGTGTGCTCTGCCTGTTGGCTTTTGAATGACTGACAGTGAAGGGAGTCCTTGAAAATTACGATTCCTAGTACCAGCCGTATGGAACTTTGACAATGGGCAATGCGGATGCTTCAGCAGTATGCCAAATGTTAGCTGTACTTTTCCACATTGTGTCCTTCATACCACAACAGAAACTCTTCTATGCCAGACATCATATTCCATCCTCTTTGATAGTCTGCGTATCTTAACCGTGGCGTTTTGCTAGGAACTAGTGATGAAATGGAACCAGTTGCTGTCCAGGTAAGTAATCTTGGTGTCTGTAAAAAAAGAGAACCCTTCTGCGTGTGTCATGGTTGTGTTAAGAAGCCCAGGCCCACTGTGTTTTAACACAGAATTTGCTTATACTGTCCTCCACTGAAATATTTCTACTATTGATGTTGAAAATTTACCTCTTTAAAAGGGGCTTAGCCGGCAAAAGATGGTAGCTTTTGTCTGGTTTTAATGCTCACAGTGAATGCTGCTCTTAGCATGCGTAGTGCGTGCTCGAATGAGTCCACTGCATCATTAAACATGGCATGAAAACGTAGCGCCTTCCATTCCTACGCCATCTCGTACTCTGTTTCTTTAAACAGGACTACACATCATACTTTTTGACTGAGACGATTAACTTTTGGTTCAAACCGTCAATGTACCACCCCATTTTCGTTGTTCTGATTGTTTTAGTCAAGAAAGTGGATTTCTAATCTCTCTGATGAAAGTTTTAAAATAAATACCGCCCTTACTGAGGCCAATTCAATCACTACCGTTAATAGACATTGTCGACCGTCATTTTCCACTTCTCCCTTTAAAAGTACAACAATCATATTAGTTTAGAACATTTTGTGAACAGAGTTGCTGTTGGTTACCTTTGAAGTACTGGCAGTTGGTTCATTCGGAAATTTGATAAACATGTGTGCTGGGTTCTCCCACATCCTCCTACGAGTATGCAGCGACCTTGAGGGAGGCACTGGCTCACATCTTCCGCCTCCGTGTTGTGCTTAAAGAGAAGATCCAAATTTGCGTCATGATCTAAAACATTCCGTAAAATTATGCAGTTTTCAGTATTGGATTAAAACTATTATGGCTTTTGATTCCATCTCTGTGCAGTCGCTTACCTCCAGATATACTTGGACAGTGCCAAACCTTATTTTTCATCCACCTTATATCGGAGGCGCTAAATTTGTAAGTTTTAAGTAGATTAGAGTCAATTTAACCAAACCGTTTGGTCTAGATGCCCCAACTGCACCGGGGCATAGGTAAGGGAGTGGGGTTTTAGTCTATCCTATATTATAGTCCCTCTTTATTAGCACTGCCATTATTCATTTAGCCTCTGTTGTTGTTGTCCAAATGCTTAATTTAAGACTTGATGTAACTTACATCAGGACCTACTCTTTCCTCCCTTCTATCTATGCTAATTCCTGGGTCCATTTATGCAAAACATAGTGTGCTATTTCAGACTGTTTGTCATCTTTTGGATAGGAATGGAACGATGTCCTAACGACCTTTGTTCGCCAAACGACGCATGCTAGCGACTTAACGGTTATTTTGTAGAGGGACTACTGGAAGTGCTGAAGGGCGACCAGGTTATCGGACAAATGGAAGTAGGTCGCGCCTTTGGTGAAATGGCCCTCCTCTACAACTGTAATCGAACCGCTTCAGTCAAAGGTAGATCACAATATTCATACTTAACCTGATGGCATAAATACCGTTGGGAGTCTGTTTCTTATGGATTTTAATAATCTACTTTCGCACTTTGTACACGATGTCACGAAGAACCTAGCACATTTTGACTTATTTGAAACAGTTCTACCACTGAGTGGGAATCTCCTTGTTTCACCGTGCAGGGAAAGTACGTAATAAATTTAAGCAAAGGGAACTCTTTAAAACTGATCATAATGTTGTGGTTCTAGCAATTGTATTTAACCTGAACAAACGATATACGTCACGAGGTGAAACTTATTTGGCAATTATTGTACCATCGTTTAAATGGCTTATATTAAAGCTTAAAAGAGGTGGTTTTCGCGGTCGAGCGTTACCGAGAGGTGACTTTGTGGGTGGCATAGTGATGCAACTTTATTGTGTTGCTTTATACGACAGGGGGCCTGACAGCATTGTGGTGGCTACTTTACTGCAAGCGCTTTTCAAAGCACCGTTTACGAGTACCGATGCCATTGCCACTTGGATGGCCGTCATTTGTCCAGCACCTTGAGCGTCATTTTGTTTACAACCATTGTAATTGGCTTTCTGATTGTATAATCATATAGTTGGCGTTCCCATGCTCCCCGAATCGACATAGTCGCTGCTAGGTCACAATCCTGCAGTCATCGATGGAATCGTTTTTGTTGACAGCTTATGAGTTTCTCAATTTTACAGCCCTTACGAACGCCAAATTTTGGACCCTTGATCGAAGAGTCTATCAACAGATAATGATGAATTCCTCTGTTCACAAGCACAAGGAGAACTTTCAATTCCTTTTGAGGTCAGTAAGAGTCAGTGAGTTTTCTTAGTCTGCTTTAACCTTCCGCTGGGGATATAGACTTTGTCCTTTAGACTACCTCTGCCCATTTTGAGGGGTTTTAGATCAGCAACTACCTCTCCAGTTGTTTAAGTATTTACTTTATTTAACACACATGGTTAGACACCTCAGCCAAACCAATTAACGAAGCAAGAGTTGCTCTTTAAGAAGACCGACAATATATTTAGGTTAGGAGTGGCGTTTGTCAAAAAGGTAAGCCCTTTACACTTTTGCCACTTCTCGTTTCCTAACTTATTTAGTGTGTCAGACTTCAAGAATCTATCACAAAGAAAGCTCCATAAGTTGGCAGACGTTTTGGAATTGGTAAGTACAATTGCATTCATTCTTGCACAGACATATTTTTACGGACAGTGCGACGCTTCAGTGCCATTAAAACTTGTTGTCACTCTCACTATTTATGCTTTGTATACGGCGTGTTTCAAAGGTTCAAAACGATCTTGTATGGGGTTTCAGATTTACTACTCGGGTAACGAATACATTATTCGTCAGGGTGAGGTTGGTGAGACCTTCTTCATCATTCACTCTGGCCAGGTACGCTCTCCCAACTGTTCTGTTGTCCTTTTACACACCTTCTTCGGTCCCTTTTTAGGTGCTTTATTCTTGCACTTTTTTCCAGGCACAACCAAAGTAGCGTCTTTTCACATGCATCATCTACATTTCTATTGAAAAGCAAAATTATCCAAAAGAGGGGCTTAACTTTAACCATCCAAGGTTGTTATTTGTTGTACCAATACTTGTGCAAGACTTCCTAGTAAAAAAATGCATTAATGGCCAAACTTTTACTTAGGAGTCTTTAAAGCGTGTTATATTTGCGTTTGCTGACCTACCAGATGAAACGCGTCCCATGAAGGATGCTATACTTCTATAAAAGTGTTGTTCTATTTTTAGATTACCGTCCTGTGTCTAATTTGGTTTGCGTAACTCGTGGTGAAAAGTCGTCAGTGTCAGGGAAATTGATACTTTGACTAAATTGTTGTCCCAAGAACCATTGACTAGGCCAAATGTATGGCATTTCGTTGTTTCCAACCCATCCATCATTCTGTTGTGGCACTTCTGGTAGTGTCTTACTAGGCCGTAAAGGTGCACAAAGCCAATAAATGCAAACTGTGTATTTCAAAGAAAGGAAAGTTGTAATTTAAACTTATTCATCACCCACATAGTGTCTAACTTTCCACTATCTACTGTGGTTCGTCCCACCAAAGGCTATAAGTGCACCACATCTCTAGCATATTCGTGTGCATTTCTACATCTGCACCTAAGGCCTTTTGACGGAAATCGTCGTGTTTTGTGAAAGGATGGGTTCTCTGGTCTTGTTTCTGCGTCACTTCAGTGCATTTAGATTTCCAAAACTTGGGTGGGGAGTGTTAAAACAATAACTGCTCCTGACAGACATTCACTTGGAACTTTTTCACTTACCGAACTCTTCCTTGGCCCGGCTATTTACATTACTTCTACTCGTCTATCATTCGCTTTACCCGTCTCCCTGATTGGGGCATCTGCATCTACCTTCAATCCGAACTGGAGACATCTGGCCACGTCAATTACACTTTCTAGGGTGAATAACGCTTTAAAACATTTTTCTACGCTTTGCCTCCCTCCTCATGTCTTCCAGGTGAAAGTGACTCAATCAAAACTGCCGGGTGAACCACCGCAAGATATTCGCTTTCTTGGGGCCGGCGACTGGTTTGGTGAACGAGCACTTTACACGTGAGTTATCATTACCCCATTGCTTTTGCTTTTCAGCACCTTCTTCCTGCGCACTGGTGCCTGTCCTTCCTCCCCTGCCAACCATTAGTTGCTTTTTAGTTAAATTTACTGCATTTTTCCTCTCTCATGTCTCATTGTTTTCCTCATAATTTCTAATTCGAAATTAGTTTAAATTGCCACGTATTTCCTCAATTTTCGACATCGTTACAAGAATGTGCTCTGCTAAAATTCATGCATACAAGCTCCTGATTATTTATTTGGCAGAGTAGGGAATGGCTTTTGAGACATTGTGTATTCTGCCGCTTTAACTGGATTGCAAGGGCTTGAAGGGCGAAAATGCTGTGAAGAAGCTCAATGATTTAAAATTTTGCATTGCAGACGAGATAAACGAAGTGCAAATGTTGTCGCCATGCCTCCTGGTGTCCACGTTCTCTGTCTCGATAGGAGGTAGGTCCTCTTCCCCGAAATATCGCATACCTTACATTAATCAGCCCCCTTTCTAGTAGAGTAAATTAACGTTCAACTGATTTCACATACCATCCATTCCGTTTGTAGGTTATCAGCCGAATCATAACTTTACACAATTTAATGTTTTATAGCACGCGCTCCTGCTTGGGACCTTTTTTTTCCCCCAGATCCGATAGGATGCTTTTTCTTCCAGCATTAAATTGGGAAAAATATTTGTAGCGGAAAGGTGGGGCTCACCATGCCTGTATACACTCATTAAAGCCCTAGAAATCATTGGTGGTAGTAATGACAGATGCGATTTCCCAGAGTTCGACCTCAAGAGTTAAAAGGACTTGAGATTCACAAGTGCTAATATAAATTCATGCGGATTCTGTTCTTCCTCTTACAGCCTAAAACAGTTGTCCCCTTTGACACTGCCTAATAATAGTTAAGCTTGGTCTTTAATCCTACAAGCTATGCACAGCGCATACAGCACTTGTTGGGCCATTCACTGTACTTGCAAAAGGCCACGGTAAACAAGTTATTGTTTGACAAGGAACGCGCCACCCATGCAAATGCCAATCTTTTCGATACTTCCTGAGCTAAGCAGCTTTCAAGCTAGGGGCAGCTGGATAGTAGCACTTGTCAAAACTCTGCTTCTAGCTACTCGAAAGTTGCTACTGCTTGATTGACAACTTCATTTGTGTTGTGCCAACTGTAAATGACTAATTTTACCATTACGCTTCCCACTTACATTAACATTTGTTTGTTAGCAATTTCATTCATCTCATTGGAGACTTGAACGAAATTAAATCCCGAGAATACGGCGATTCTAATCAAAGCCTTCTCAGGTGAGTCGTTCAATTACTTTCCATCTTTTCTTGAATTTTCCTTTGTCTTTCAACAATTTTTACGTGCTTGTAGGGTTATCCATTCTTTTTACCCCATGAGCATCGAAAACTATTATCTTCTATCGTGCAAACGTAATTAAAATGCGCATTGCGTCGACGCGTAGTATGCATCAGAAGATTTATCAACGCTGTCCTTTGTGCGATTGTACTCTAGATTTATGCAATATTTGCAAATTGACTTTTTTAAACAGCTAAAAGTGTTTATGATCATTTCATTTTAAGGCGTAGCCTCAATTAGCATCCCTTATAATCCTGCCAATAAGTGTTACTCTTAGGTCGTTGAAACGATTCACGCTCGATCTGCGTGAACTCGTTTGGGGCTTCTGGATTAAGTCAAGTTTTGACACTTTGTGAGTGCAATTGTTTTAGCTTTTGGATTGACAATCTTTGCACTGTGCATAATCTTATTTGGGGTGGACTGGTTCGTCCTTGATCCACACTTCCCCGACGCTTCATTTCCACTGTCGAACGTAAGATGGCCTTAAGGAAACGATTCTAACGCATTACTTTCATAAGCATTTCGAGGCTAGGTAATTTATGATGCTTTAATTCAGTTTTTGCAGTCCTTTCACTTCGCATTAGGAAACTAAAATTCCCATTATTTGCCCTTTAATTTGGATCTACTTTTATTGGACTAGTGGAAGACACCCTAAAAGTGTGCCTTAGTGTGTTTACGTTACGGTATCTAGACTGCAAAACAAATGGTATGATTCTGTGGTCGATTTCGTCCGTACCTTCAGTCCATTTAATAAATTGTGTGCACCATCAAAGAAAGTAATTACTTATAAGTGATCTGAGGCTTTCCCTTGGGAGTAATTACAGTAAGGGTGTTCGGGCGGTGTTACTCGTGATCTCATCTTTACAATGCATTTCAAACGCTTAACGCTGTGTGTGTGTGGTCTCTCAAATTACCTTCCCTTTCTTTCATTTCTGAATGCACTGAAAATTGCTATTTTTCGTTTCAATTCCCTTTTCGCTGGGTCCAAATCCATTGCAAATGTTGCCAACAATACAGAAGAATCAACAAAAAATATCAAATTGTTGTTTTGCAGACCTTTCCATCTATTCAGATTGATACTGAATTACTCTGTACATGTGCACAGATTTGGCCGAAACATCGCCATAGGGATGATTGCTTCTTTAATAAACGTGTTCATTTACTATTGAATCATTGCGATGATGGCTTCTTAGCTGAAGCATAATTGATTGCGTAATATGCTGTTGTTGCAGTCCTTTTAAATTTATCTTGGAAGTGGAGTTTACGTTAAAACACGATGAGATATGTGCATGATTGGGAAATATGCATTTTACACTAGCTAAAGCTCTTCGCCCTCTCATTGCTAGTCAATCGCCTGCCACAGATGTGGAGGACTCCCTTGGCTCTGGGGACAATCGCACGTCAATGACTTCGCAATTATCGGCGGAGGAGGGTGCTGCGGGAGGGGCTGTGGGCTCAGGATCGGGGTCAGGATCAGGGATCATGAGTCTCTCGCCTTTCTTCTCCACCGTGCCCCAAGTCTCCTCGAGGCGTGGCTCCAGCGCATTGGCGGAGAGAGACATGACCATCGGAAACGCCCGCGCCTGTGCTGGGCGGGAGAACATCAAATATGAAGACCTTGTCCCTGTGGCAATTCTCGGTATTGGTGGCTTTGGACGGGTTGAGTTGGTGAGTCTGAGACACAAAATCCATATGCTATCAGCTGAACCATGCCTGGGCGCTAGTCCTTATACAGTAAATTTTTATCGAAAATGTACATTTCAGTGGTTTTTTCACGCGAACATTCTCGGTTTGTCTTATTATTCGGAAGAATTAACTAAGACTTATTACTCTGAAGTAACCAAGTACGGTCCTGAGTATTAACTTCCAAAGAGCCTTTTGAATGGTTCGCGACTTTGACGTCGCTATTCTGTCTCATGAGCACTTTTCTCGGTCCATTTTGCCCCTATGGGGAAATAAACTCATCTGCTTCCAAAATGTTTACTGGTTACTGCTTTGAAATTCTATTACTTGTTGAATTGAATTTGCAACAGTGAAAGTGGTGTAGTTTACATCTTTCTAAATGAATAGGCAACAGAAATGATGGAGAAAAATTATTAATGCATGTGGAATGCTAATAGTCAAACCTTCATTATGGAAACAGCGATCCATATTTCAGTTGAGCATCGAAAGATCTAGTTATTTTCACATTCAAGGCGAAATGGAATCATGAAGATGAACCAAATAACTTTATTTTTGGTAAGCATAGCATCATCCGCTACTTCCTCACCTCCTGGTGTCCCTAGTGCGTGCAGAGTGAAAAGTACTTTGCTAAAGCTATTCCTAGGTCACACTTTTACTGCCAACGTACATGGAATGCATAACTTTGCTGTTAAATTCTCGACTAGCTGTCTCCGTTGGACCAAATTCGGTTATTTTTCACAACTGAGCAGACGCCATTGTTGTATTGTAAAGGTGAGTATTTGGTCCACGCCATTGTTCCCGTAGAATGAATTTTGGTGGAAGGATAAGAACAGAAATCTGTCAAAGCTGGTTTTCTCAATGGGTAACTGGTGTTCCGATAAAATCCGTTCGCTGTACAATAGCATCAGATCTGTGATACGCAAATAAATGACGAATCCGGTCTAAAAACGAACAAAGATGTTCTTTCAGTAGGCACTAAGTTACTTCTACTTCGTGCTGAGCATTCGCCAAGTCTAAACTAAGCAGTACTTTGTTTTCGCTTTCTAGGTGGTTTTGAGGTACGATCCAACAAAGTCATTTGCCTTGAAATGCATGAAAAAAAAGCACATTGTAGATACTCGACAGGAGAAGCACATCTTCTCCGAAAGGAATCTTATGTTCGAAATCAAGTCCTCCTTCGTTTGTCGGTGAGTTTACGGGCGCTTCACACAGTTTTGCTGTTAAATCATAAATTCATGCATTCATATTGCCGTGGCTGCCATGAAATTACTGCGCTCCATTTTTTTCCCTTTTTGGAATTAGAGCCTTATATAAGGCCGTTTTATTTTGACCGACTCTCAGCAGTTCCTCTTGTTTTATTTTGCCCAAATAAGTATCTAGTTTGAATGCCTTAATGGCTCATTTGATAGTTCTAAAGCCCTCAGTGATTGGCTCAAATACGAAGTCACCTGCGGATTTTACACCTCATATCTTAATTTAAAGCGAAATGTTTTGAAAATTTTGACGTGTAACGTTCGATACTTTACAGACTTCCGTTCAAAATTCATAGGTAATTAACTTGGTAATTTTATTTCCACAAATATGACAGGTTAGTGTTTATTCCTACCAACCGACAAGACTTCTCACCCAAGTTCTACTTCAGCGACTGGTGCTTTTGCTCCATTTGTTCGATTGAAGATGCTTCACTTCATAATTAGCGCCAAAAAATCTTTTGTTCATGAGTAGGTTATCTGGAATCTAGCGCTCTGACAAGCTATCCTTGCCTTTATCCCCTTAAGTTAAAACAACAATAACAGTTGCATACTACTTGAATCTGCTTTGGAATCCTCATTCCTTGATTGCAATGGGCTTTTGCCATTCTCCAGTTGTCATCTTATGTCTATAGCCTAAAGCGCAGTTGTGGATGTCCAAGGGGTGGAAAGTTTGGCGTAAGCGTCGGAATACTGTGCCTGTTCTATGGGCGTGAGTGCTGCGAAGATGGGTGTGTGCTTGTACTCTTTGCTCCGGCACCAGTCAAGAGGAACTTTTGTTGCAAAACAAAACTCATATTCAGCTTTAAAATTCCATTCATAGATGATTCCAAGTAAAATAAATAGCATACTTGAAGCACTCGAAGTTATCGAATTGCATGGATCGCAGGAATTGTCACAGTTTCTCTGAATTTGAAGTGTTATCTGTGCCTTCCATAAACTTTCAGATTGTACGCCACTTATCGAGACGCAAAGTATGTCTATATGCTTTTGGAAGCCTGCCTTGGTGGTGAGATATGGACAGTGCTTCGCAATCGGTAAGTCGTCTTCCTTACTGCAGCAAGATGTCTTCGGACATTTATTTTCTCACCAGCTGCAGTAATCAAAAGAATGTTCTATTGCGTGGTGATTTCATGCGAAATAGACAGTTTCAATCGAATTCACAATATGGTCGAGTTCAATGTACGAAACCGAAACCTCACAGTGCGGCAAACTTGTTCGTTTGGCTCTAATGCGATCTCACCTTCATCGCGATAGTGATGCCAATTTGCGGGAAGGGTTATTCATCCAGATTGGTGCAACTTTTTGTACACCATGTGCGATTGTGGAATATTTGTTGCACGAAACTCACAATCTGATTGCATTAGCATAAACCCTATGGGTGACTTCAACATGTCTCATTTATTCTACGGTACTTGTAGACCCCATTTTGTCCATGTTTTGGGACCTAGGTCGGCCGCTGACTTGCCATACTGCGCATGACAAAAGATATATCACATTAAATCAATATTTGTCACTTAAACGAACTTATATGCCAGAAGCCGACACCACGTGGCTTAACGCTATTCTTTTGTTCATGGAAGATTTGCTTTTGTTTGGGAATTTGAAATAAGCGTTATGGCATTGCCCTTACTTGTTGGTAGAGTTGCATAATACTGTCTTCGTTTCAGTGGAAACTTTGACGATAACATCACTCGGTTCATCGTGGCAAGCGTGCTGGAGGCCTTCACTTACCTCCACACTAATCACATCATCTACCGCGATCTGAAGCCAGAAAACCTCCTTCTCGACGGACGGGGGTACATAAAACTGGTAAGCTCTACCCATCTTCCCGCTAATTCGCGTCAAGAGCGGACAAAAGCTGCCTTGTTAATCTCACCACCTCCAGGCTTCTAAGCATTATTTCAAAAGGTGACTCATTTTTGTTTTGAAGCTGTACGCGATTCTCACAAGTTAAAGTATTTTTATCCACGAAACTTAGCGCAAATAACTTTAGTCAACTTTGTTTTCCTAACCCATTTAAATTTGCAAATTTGTAAACGAATGCAGATTTTGTAATCTCAAAAATGCGAGCACGGTATCGAACCTTATTTGCCCTCACATTCTCATTGATTCCGTGTTGCTCTATATTTAGCATGCACGTATGCTTCTGAGTCTCCTGGCTGCGTGGCGAGACCATATAAAGTCGACATCAACTGCTGTGTGTCTTTTGGGCTTGAATGATGCCAACTCTTAGGGACTAGCAATATCTGGCAAAGCATCCGTCTGTTCTCCCCCATTTCGGGAATGAATGCTGTATTTTAATGAATGGACATTGCTCTTTGAGTAACTTTCCAAGTGTTTGCGTGTCTGCATTATGCTATACGGTCTGTAGGTATTTTGCATCAAACAACATCTGCCACTCTGATTTCCATTAACATTTTACTGCACGACTGCACAGACGCGTGATAGTTTTGTTCTTAAGTTTATCCTTGGAACATTTGCTTTCATCGGAAATTTGTAAGGAGGTGCAGCGCTCATTGGCCCAGCCTTGTTACATTAATTCCTCAAATCTTCCAAAGGAGTCACATTGCTTTAATAGCAAAGCTTAAGATGGTTTCATATTTTCGCAGTGTAAGGTAAGCCTTTTCATTTTGGGTAAAGTGGTTCAGATGTCCCAACCGTAAACCATTAAGTAAGCCACTGTTTGCGCTTCAATGAAAGATTATTAAAACGAGGTCATGACCCTCTCAGCTCACTTCCGAAGCGTTTGGCTGAAATTAAGTAGTTATACCCCTTCTCAGTTAACAAAACTTGATCATTAACAGCTTTCCTTGCAGCACTGAAACTAAGGCCTTGGTGCAGGCAAATGTGCCCTTCCTTTTGATCGACGTTTCCGCAGCAGTGCACCGAGTTCCAGCCTTCTCCGTCAGTGTTTCCTCAACTAGCCTTGATCTGTTTTCTGTACCTTGGAGAAACGAATTCCTTAATTCCAAACGGTGTATCACTACTTGAGTTTAAACAAGTAATAGTAAAATAGCTATGTATAAGACAATCCTGAGGCATCATTTATGGCCATCAGCGATTTCTACCAAAACTTGAGCTGTACATCCCACTGACTTTAGCAAAAATTGAACACTGCGAAGTCAAACAAGCGTGTAACAATCATTCCGTGGTTTAAAAGTCCAAGGGCCTTCTTGCAAAGTAGAGGTACCTCAAACATGGAACTTTTGTCAATCTTCCGGATACGTGTTATTTGGAGAGTGGAAACAGTCAGGCTCAGGATTTCAAAGTAAACTTGTGTTGTGCTTATAGGATCCCTTTTAATGTTGAGATTCGATCGAACTCAATAACACGAGCTGACATTGGTTGTCGTCTTTAGTGTGACTTCGGTTTCGCAAAGAAGATAAGTCCGGGAAAGAAGACGTGGACCTTTTGTGGAACCCCCGAGTACGTCGCTCCTGAAATCATTCTCAACAAGGGTCACGACCATTCCGCCGATTACTGGTCTCTGGGAATCCTTATGTTCGAGCTTCTCACCGGAAGGTGAGCCAATATTTCCTCATTTATCTACCTGAGTGCATATGAATACGGTTAGGTACAAGATCTTTTATGCAGTTGTAAAAATTTACCTCAATTCTCTTTTATAAGCTGGCCAAATAGTGCTATCAATAAAGATCGCCACCTAGCGATGACTGGTTGACGTTGATATAAGATGTATCCCTGCGTGCAGTTTTGTACAGAGGCTTTAACGACTGCTTTTCTGCAACCATAAAAATATTGAACTTGTGTTTTTATATATTGTTATTTGCTCGCTCTCCTAACCTTCTAGAGTTTTGGTCTCTGGTGCCAACCACCTCCACAAATAATATCGGACGTTTGCACAGTAGTAGGTTTTAACTATCGGGGTTTGGTTGCGCCTGGAGTTGATGCCTAGTGTCCAGTCTTTGATGTTCTCTGCTGTCCTCGGGTGATTAACTATCAAGATCTGCTTTACTGCACCAAATCATCGGAAGCGCCACCAGTTCTATTAGGAAGCTTTTTAAAATCTAGAATAATGATTTGATCTCCTTTTTTACTCTGCGGATGGATTGGATTTTTATTGTCGGAATTCGTACTTGAACGTTGTGGGCGAACCCATTCTACCTGTGATATCCATTCGTTTTCGGTGGAATTCACGGTTAGTTACGCTAGTGCTCAAACATACTGCCACTCGAAACTATCGGTGTTCCTTAAACCAAACATTGCCACTCCGATTTTCGTCACCCATTTGCAAAGACGTTTCTTGCCTCTGTTGCAAATTAGCTTTGTAGACTTAATCCTCAGGTTCTTCCGCCGCAAAGAATCCGGCATATATTTCACGCTTATTAAAGCATAAGCCGAAATGTGGCATCGAAATTGTTTGTAAAAATATTAATTGTCATTGGTAGCCTTGAAGTAATTCTTCTTCGACACACAATGACTGTAAAGGTAGTAAAATAGGAGATGCACGTTTGGTGTCACGTAGCCTTATTTACTCATATCCCAATGTTTTCATCTTCCTTCGCACGCATTCGCATAGCTTCCGTTGAATCATATCAGAGATCTAGGTTTTTTACAATTCATCTTACAGTCCGCCATTTACGGGGATGGATCCGATGAAGATATATAGCATCATCCTCCGTGGCATCGACGCCATCATGTTCCCGCCATTCCAAATTAATCGGACGGCGATGGCGCTCATTCACCGACTTTGTGCGCAGAATCCAGTAGAACGCCTTGGTTATGGCCGTGGAGGTATTGTGGACATCAAGCAGCACAAGTGAGTCCGTCAGTTCCCTTGACTTTACTAATTGCAATTTACTACTATCTCTCCTTTCACTACTTTCTATTATGATTTCTTGTACCACTGTTTGGTATTTTAGTTCTAGGTCTAATTGGATCCGCACTTCGTGTGTAACAATTTTATTAACTTCATTCACTCAGGCTTTTGATTCGAATTCCTCATATTGTCGAATGGGTAAATTATTTGATCTAACAGTTTATTGACATCCTGTTGAAAGCGTACTTCAAGATGATAATATATTTTTTTTACATTTTCTGCACTTCTTGTTAATGCTATGCGAAAAGCCTGGATTTATATTTTGTAATGCGGAATGTCATTTGCTTTCCTTTCCTGACCCCTTCACACCTTTTTCCCAAAAGTTCCTGGAATGTCCTCATTCAACCACTTTTTTGCCATTTCTAGATTTCAAATGATACCAAACGCTTTTAAAGCGGTAAACGATGTTGTCTGTCTCCCATTTCTTGTGTCGTTTGATATGGCTAAGCTTTAAATAAAGAAACGTCGACCTTATTTGGAGACGTTGCATTACTTGAGGCAAATTGGAGAGCAGTCGCAGGCGGAACATCGGAGCTCTCAATAACTGTTCCAGTGAAAGTATTTAAGGTGTCGTTAAGCCTTTATTTACTGGTTTTGATGTTCGTGCAATCACGTACTTCTTCTTTGAATGATGCTTCACTTCAAGACAAGGTAGATTAACCTTAAGGAAACTAATTTTTGTTGCTTTGAGCTGTATCCCGAATTCAAGTGTTTCTCTGTTCCTATTTTGCAAGCTCCTATACTCGTCATTCTGACGCATTCATCGCTTTGGTGACAAATGTTCGCGCAGAGTTTAGAGCCATCACTTTTGAAGTACGTTCCCGTTTGGCATAACAGTTGTGATGATATTTCCTTCGCAGAAGATACGCACATTAATTGCCACAGGTAATACACAGGCCATTTGATAAACACCTCAGGCTAATGTGCGTATGCCTATCACCTTTTTTGAGCTACTTTACGAAGGAGTATGTTTTGATTTCGCTAGTTTTGTTCTTTAGCCCTTTTATGGGTGTATGTGGAGCAGCGTACACTAATAAGTAGGTGTCCCTGGTGCGAATTCTTTATCTCATGCTCAATAGTCTGCTTCCAGTTCACTGCTGCTGACCTGGTAAGCTCTCACCCATTATTTATCCTTCTAACGGAAATTGGGTGATGTATTCTCCTGAGTAGTCAAGTATGCTGCCCTGCTTCGTAGGGCATCTCCAGACGTGAATCCTAAGGCGGCTTTTGGACGTTTATGTCATGCGGGCTCCACATCTCCGTTTTGCAGTGCTAATCGGTTCCAATATCAAATCACACAGATGTGAATATAATTGGGTCCGAGTTTTGAATATAAGGCAATACCCTATTTGTTATGATGGAGTGCATGAAAGCGGTCATCCAGGTATGCATTCACTTATTAAACTGGGCACTACCATGCTAAGCTGCAGCACCACTTGTTTGTTAACCACTCCACTCCATTTCGAAGAAGTAAACTCCAGACAAAGAAGTTAATAAATTTTATTACAGAGATGAAAAGGCGTTTGAAGTGAATGTTAAATTTCGGCAAGACGGCCTAAAATGTTACACGCGTCCTGTGTGGTCATTTTGAATGCGATCCAAGTCCACCATCAGGATTTGTGTTACTCGTATTCATTAATCGTTAGTCTCATGCAATGCACGTCCTTGTTATCAATCTCAATTGTGATGTTGGAGCCAGGGAACAACTCTCTACGGTCCCATAATTGTATTCTTCATCGCACATTTTTTTTAAAAATTGACAGTTTCCCGGACGTTATCCTTCTTTCTCCCCCGACGCCTCCGTCAGATTCCTAAAGGTAGCCTCGTGCAACGTATGTAACGTTTCATAATGCAGTAGAATCGCAATTTGCACAAGCAAAAGTTATACAGAATTCATGCTTGTTGCTCATTTAAATTGGGCATTTGAGGTTCCATGTAAATGAGTGTCATTCACTCTGCTCCCTTTCCCAAAAGCCTTGTATAAATGGCAAATGGGAATTGAGCATGCCAAATTTACTAATATACGAGGCTACTTTTCCTGGATCAGGAACTTGCCCCTCGAATAAGCGAAGCTAAAATAAAGTCAGACTAATTCTATCCCGACTAGGCATTTGAGGTCAAGGTATTGGAGGCACTGTCATGTCCTTCAGTCAAGTTAAAGCTGACGTTACGAATTGATACAAATTACTCTTCTAGTGTCAATAACAGCAAAGCCTAAGTACCGCAGTCGCAGACCACAACAAAGTATTATACGAGAATACTAAGTATTGTATTTACAGGAAACTGCATTTCTCTGATCTGCTTAGTTGAGTTAAATAAACAACAGCAGAGTTGGTGAGTTATTTTTTGCATCTGGAATTGCGTGGCGATTACTTCCTCGATTCCAGCTGTTAAAATAGCTCTAAGGTAGTAACCCAAAACTTTAAGTGCAAGCACACTGAATATGTTTCTGCGATTTTTCGTCTCCAGGCCTTCAAATAGTGTGCAGTTCGTCTAAATTATTACGCGATAAAATGCGTTGCTCTATACCTAAACTTAGCCAATCGTCCTGTCTCGTTTTGGCATTCGTAGTCTCCAAATTTAGCTAAGCTGTAACCATCGTACGTGAGTTGGATTCTCAGAATTAATTAATAGTAACGCTTTCGCTAATGTCCTCATTCTTCGTCAGACAAATTACTGCTGGCATTGACTAGATCAGGCTCCCCTTCTTTTGACAAGAGGCCTCTTGTAGCCAGCAGCCCTCCTCAAAGTTAGGCCTTTTGTTCACAATACCCGCAGAGCTGCAGTCAAAAAGTTGTCGAAAGAACCCATCAATCGAAAGTGTCCTCTTGTCGATAGGCAACATGATGTCTGCAATTCATATTTTGCCAAAGAACACTTTTTGTGCATCATTGGTCGTGTCGTCGTTTTCATCGGCATCTCGTTGTCTTTTTTGTTTGATATAAACTCATTTTACCCCAAGTACTCAACATTCCTTTCATTTTACTTTAATTAGCATAGTTTCTTAACTCGCCTCTGATTGCCTAAAGCCAAAATCTATCACTTTTTGCTCTATTATTGATGATGAAAAGTCGCTGTCATGAATAAATACAGGTCGCCTTTCGTTTGCTGCATCTTAAATGGAGATTTATCTTAACGCTGCTTTGCTACAATACGTGAAATACAGTCGAGACTTGGTTGGTTTTTCGAAGCAGCTCTTATGTGTTGAGCTTTTGATCAGTCTACCAACCTTATAAAAAAATTCAGGAGCAACCGTTGAAAGCATGCGTTCAGAAGCAATCGCGAACTATGTAATCTAGTGAAGCATTCGTAGGAGCTTCATAATCTTTTGTATTCCTCCAACCTCCACCGCAATCACAGTCTGTGACGTCTAAACGAAAATTACATTCTATTGCGGATTCGTAAATTTTAGATTGGTTTTGCCACTTAGACTAGGGCAGGATAAGGCGCAAAGGATCGAGTTGGCTCTTCAAAAAATTGCTTGAATCCTGAAGCATGAAAAGCGCGCCATGGAGTGCGTTGATTTGGTCCTCTAAGGATGCTGTATTTGAAAGTCTAACAACATACCACCACGAAACATGCCTGCCATTGTTTCCATAGCACCACGCAGTATATGCGGAGATTTGCTCAATGGATCGTAAATTCAACCCACTTTTTATTTAGGTTATACTCCAAGTGAGTCTTTTTAAAACTCCCCATTTACCATAATCAAACAGAATTCATGACAAGATCGGTAATGTTGAAATCGGTCCTTGGTCATGTTGAAGGATGCTCTTACATCCTACACCACATTATAATTGAGCTGGTATGGCTGAGCGGTAGCTGCTTCTATTCCTCGCATTTAAATACTGAACAGCAATCTACTTTGCTTTCGTTCCTAATCAAACCTTAATTGTCCATTTTATAGATTCTCAATGGGATAATTTCCTTAGAAATTTGCGGAATCTAAAATTAAGCCTCTCTACGAAGCCCTAGTACTCATTAGTACCTTTCCTTTGTTCCAGGTACTTTCAGGGATTTGATTGGATTGGGTTGTGCAGAGGCACCCTTCAAGCACCAATCCTGCCAAAGGTGAGCTGTCAGTACAATGCTGTCACTGGTGTTTCATCTGCATGACCGCTCATAACAATCTTTGCCCATTGTTGCTCCTTTTCCAAATTTACTATATCAACATAGGCGCTTCGATTCAAATATCATGAATAGCGTAAATGATCTCACAGATGCCTGTCGTGCAAATTGGGCGGTTAGTTTCGGCTTAGGCGAATGTACTCTCAGCGCCATTAGGACCTTATTGAGTTTATGTTGTTGAAGATATCGGGACCCACCGACGTCTCAAACTTCGACCACTATCCTGATATCACTGATGTGCCGCCAGATGAACTCTCGGGATGGGACGTGGACTTCTGACTGCGCGCCCCCTCTCTTCGCACATACGATTGTTTATTTTCTCTACTGTATCCCAGCCCCTGCCACGCTCCACTCCCACTCGACGCCTACGCCTTGCCTTTTGACCCTACGATGTTCCTCCACTCTTCTCTCCATGTACCTAGACCTATATCGAAAACGCACAAACTTATTTTCTTCTCATGACACCACTACTCCCATCCTTCTTACCTTGATCCCATGGTGTATGCCGCACTGCACCACACAACCGAAACGCATCTCCTCTTTTTCATGTGCACTACTTAATTTTTATCGATGCGCCTCTCTAGTATGTCGTGCCACTCATCAGCAATGTACAGATTGTAGTGGTTGTAGTAGTATGACAGTATGCTATTTTCTGCTACGAAACCAAATGCATTACAGCTTAAATATATGTATTCATAGTATCGCAAAATTGACCCACTACTTGGAAAAATTGGTTAATTGTAGTTCGCCCTAAACATAAACATGGAACAATACACTCTTCAAAACTCCATCAAATTTGGATGCACCCTCAAATTCACAGCAAAACAATGACGATAGCAAAACGTATAAACACACTGAGAAAAATGTTTCAAGCGCAAGAGGAAGCGGAGGATAACTGCATTTCCACCTGCGCGAGGCGTGCGTACACCTCGCTAGGCATGCGATATGGAATTCGACCAACGAAAGTGATAAGGGCTCGCATTCTCGCCCGCACCTCCACAAGGCACAACGATGGTTCCCTGCTGCCAATCGGTGTGCGTCCAATGGATATTCCACGCTCCCTACAAGACCATAGACACGATAAGACTGAACACATTCTTCGCCATCATTACCAGTCTGCCAGACTAGGTCACGCATTCGCCATTTTCTACTTTGATGACCAAATACTTGGACAGGTAGCAAATAATGCTAGGGTTTGAGCCTAAATCTGAAAAAGGGGAAAAGCGAAATTGAGGTCAACAAAGATGATGAACTGCGGCTAAATGGTAGTCATTATACGCCAAGGTTCGTGGCCTAGCATATCGGTTCTCAGAGTTCTCAATTGTTGGTCCTCTTCAAATGTACCAGACTCAATAAACTCATGTGGATAAAAATAAGCAACACGATGCTGGTCTGTATATCACTTCAATTTCAACGGCTTTGTTTAACAGATTATAAGCTGATTGTAATAAGCGCTATGCTTCCAGTAAGAAATGAAAAAGTCCAATGAGGAGATCTTAGAAAAATATCGAGCGATATTTCAAGGAATGGATAAAAACCGCACCGTAATCTATTCTAGTTTGAGTTCATCAGCCAACATTCGTTCAAGTCCTCTTCCAAGTAGCATGGACCTTGGAAACCTCTTGATCAAGTAACCTTTTGTCAACATTACATTTATGAAGTGGCAACTAAAAAAAGGTACTCGTGAAATAAAGCCCTTTTTTAGAACATTAATCTCGAAAACAGGCGAAAGTGACGTACTCGTTAGCTCTAGCGTTAGAGGCTTTAGCGGTGAGACATCGCATAAGTTGGAGAAGTGCGGCAGGAATAGGTCTACGGACGAGATCAGAGAGGGCGGCAAAGCCAGCTACCTTGGCATCAATCTCCTCACTGGCAGCGGTTGTGGGCAAGAGACCCAGTCGATCCATGTGGTCCAGCGCTGCCTGCCATTGACCCGCGCTGGCCAGATCAAAGAAAGTGGCCAAATCGAGAAGGTAGTAGAGGACCCGAGCGGCCGACTGAAGGGCCGGTGAGACGTCTCCACAATTCCCACTGTCTGAGGTCACCTCTCCGCCAACTGCTGAAGTAATCGGGTCAAGGCGTCGAACACTAAGACCAACCTAGCAAGAGGGAAAAGATCAGGGAAATTGGTGATGGTTTGACCATCGAAACCACCGAAAAGTTGCATGACTGATGAAATTACTGACTTTAGTAGCTAGACTCATTATGTCCTCTCGATCGGAGTTACTTGTTGTCCTGAGACCGTTGAAAGCGCCAATAGCAACCACACCGACGAGAAGAAGATTGGTAAGACGAACAGCAGAGAGGAGATTTTTTACTTCTCCAGCAAGGAGGTAGACACTCACTGCCTGCACCATTTGGCCTCGGGCCTCAAGCATCTCTGCAACGGCGGTGATGAGAGAGGTGGGCGGCGCCACACTTGCAAAGCGATCAATAGCGCCGGCCTGACGCAAAGCCCCACCGTCCGAAACAAGTCGACCGAGGAGAAGATCAAATTCACCCGTCTGAATGACTAATTCAGCCACGCATTGAACAAAGAGACTGGACATCCCAAAACCAGGCAGAGTCGCAGTTGGCGTTTTTTCTTTGCCCTCACTTACAGAGGGAAGGTCATGCAAGAAATAGTAGTAATTCAGGCACAGCGTTGGGTTACCAGACTCGAATTTGCGCGTGTAGAGGAGCAATAGCCGGATGAAATTGAGACGTCGAAAACCAGAGGGATCCGAATCCACACGAGACACTAAAGGGAGGAAAATTATCGAAAAAAAAAAGACTTCGAACAACCTAGCCGTAACTTAGTACAGCCAAGATCAACCAATGTTAAATGGTTTTAAAAATTCACCTAAAATCTGATGGATAAAAATGAAAGTCTCAGAAACTTCAGCTGTAGCATATTATTTGGGGATTAAAGAACTGTCCAAACTGGAAATACAAACCTAGCGGTGCCTGCTTTGAGGTCGGTAGGAGAAGGATTTTCATTTCACGAAGCAGAAGAGCCAGATGAACGGCATGACAGCGCAACCCCTCAATACGCGACAAAAAGGCCAAAGCTCCTTCAAACTGTTGGCTTAGACAGAGGATTTTGAAGTACATAAGGGGCTGGTTCCAAGCGTCAAAGTATGTTTCACCTACAGATACTCCAGTTTTGAAAACTTGGAAAAGAATAAACGGTAATCTTATAACCTGGCGTCCCCTTACCATATGTTTCATAAAGGAGATTTTGCAGTTGACCAATGGAAAGAGTTTCGGCGTCATCTTGCTGATCAGCTGTACCATCATTGGTAGAAATTTGTGAAAGCCTAAGCCACAGAAAGTCATCGATACTTTGACCAACATCAGTGTGTGCATCAGAAAGATCGCAGCAGCCCAGGAGACAGTATACCAACCTATTAAAATGCACCAACGTAGGACATAAACACGAAAATATTACCTTTTGTACGGGTCACGAGACGTTTTTACCAGTCGCCGATATGTCTTTCGAACATTTGCCACCAATTTTGGAGGCAGACACCTGTCTTCAACCATGTAAGTGTTTAGGATTTGTGCGAAATCCCCCAGGTTATTGCTGTGAAGATTAATACAGTAAATGCTCATCGACTCCAAATAGACATTCCCAATTCTAAAAGCCAAACATACGCTGCGTCTGATGCGATGCCAGCAGCATCCTGCAGGGCGCCACAACGAAGGCAATAGTATATCATGGGCCAGACCGGCTTGCCATCTACAAAACCGTCCTAAAAACAGCAATATGGTTGGTGCGAATTGCGCAATCAGTACCTCAAAGTCACCAAAGGAATTGAAGTCAGTGGCTCCAGAGGATTGGAAGGAGGGATTTTTCACGTTAAGGAAAGCTCGAACGAGGGACTTAACACCTGGACAACCCCCTAATTGAGCCAGACGTGGATTTGAAGCGACGACAGTTTGCAAATAAGTCGCAAATTCCGCCTCCAAATGAGCAATTGCTCTTCTTAAAAATGCCGACTGGAGAACAGAACCAGAACGAGCCTCTAATGCCCTCTCGTGGGTGGGAGGAAGAGGAAGATCAAGAAGTGGAGTTTCTGAAGGTCCAATATCATCAATATTTATAGCTGATATTGAAAACATGCGCTTAATGAGGCGGAAAACTTCACAAAAATCGTTTTGTTTGGATTCATCAAAGAAAACAGATTTTGCGTTTGACGTGTTGTAGAGGTAGTCGTAAAGCGATGGCTTATTAAGGAGGCCTGAACTAACAGACATTGGACGCAGATAGACGATGTGCGTAGTAGTGAGAGAGTCAATGAGATATTTATCCACTTGATTAGCGTAAAAAAGCTCCTCTTTCGAAATCGATGCCTGTGATTCTATAGAATAATCGATTGAAGCAGTATGAGAAAGGAATTCCCGACTCATAGTAGTGTCTGCTGTAATGGAACTTGGAATAGATTGAAAAATAGCGGAGTCGATTGGACCGGCAGAACTAGCGAGAGCTGTCAAGATGGCGGCAGCTTGACGGTCCCACCAAGACGACGTAGCTCTGCGACAAATCGAGTCAACCTCGTCAAAGACCTAAAATCCGAGTTTACGCACGCTACCAAGCGTTTCTACACAAATACATCAACAAAATCTAATGTACTGAGTTGCACTAGTAAAGAGGACTTAATACATACTCTAAAGGAAGTTTGCAAATGATCCAAGGACGAGATATGCATCCCGTCAGCACCACCAAACATATATCAAACCGTATCATTCAAATATCAGTATCTCACAGCTCGCTTTGCCTGTTCAGTTGCCGTAAATAAGACATTCTCCCGCTCGCACCTCAGGAACGTATGTATATCCATGTCAATCTTCGGCTTAGCAAGTTCCACCTCCTTTATTTGTGAAAGAGATTCCAATTTCGCTGATAAGTTACTAGGTAAGTCATAGTTTATGGTTGGACCCAGTAGACGTGCAGCCTTCACATCGCTCCTTACACCACGAGACGAACACAATTTCTCACCATAAGCTCCCATTTGTTCAAGACTACGTGTGATCAGTGGTAAATCAGTATCGCCTTGGATTTCCATAAGCAGCCGATCCGACTGTTCTACGAGTTCCTCTAGCGAATCCATCACTAACAAGGAGCGTGCGGCGTGATAATTAGTACGGCTATTCCAGACCTGTACGCACCTAATTCGATATTTTGATAATTACGCTTCCAGTTGGTTGGTCAATTCATTGATAACAAGTGGTCGCAGTCTTTTTGAACAACCAAGATCACAACAAAACTTGCTTTATTACCTTTCCATTGTACTCCGACTAAATTTGCGTTGTGAAAAGACAAAAATTAGGTGGTGAAAAAAGCTTACTATTTGTATAATAGCAGTTACACTAATCCCAAATCCAAACTCAACTTATGTGTTGTCGGCTTATTTATGACGTAGCTTTCGATAAAATACAATGTAAATACAATACTTACATTGCTTTAATGATTTTTACAGTCTAGAGGCGGAAAACACGATCTTATTTATGTCCTGGAATGGGATGGGAGGAGTCACCTGCTCTGATGACAACTGAGATCATTTGTCATCACCTCTTCAGTATGCTATCGCCAACTGTTATATCTTTGAAAATTAAGAAGATTCTTAACAACCTAACTTCCCATGCTAGATGTAATTGCTCAAAGGGAAGGGCAAAATATCCGTACTTGTCTTAATGCTGCGTTTGACTTCTAACCTGAGTTACACTTACTTTAACAACCACCTGACCCCTGCCAACGAGCCGACCTTGGGGCAGTACTAAAAACTCACCTCCGCCTTTCCTTATTGAATACCCCTGGATTTTTCGCTCAGCTAATTCTGCAGCGAATGCACTTTGAGAGCACACTAATACAGAGCCCCGAGCCTGCTCATTAGGTAGAAAAAGGCATTTTGTTGGGCTGCACGCATGTATTTCGGGCAGCGCCTCGACTTGACCCGAAAGTCAACTCACGCGTGCAAGAACAAGTTGATATCAAAGTAGGCACCAGCTATCAGATGGTCATAAACAGAGCACTACATTACTCCTCTTCGTTTGGGCGACTTTCTCGGTTTTCCTATTCAGCACGTCCACATCAGCCAGTGCGGCAGGCACCAGTCAACTTGAGACTGAAGAACCGTATCTAGTCTCCTAAGAAGCTTCAACCGGGTCTGTGTTTACATTCGGTTTGAGGGCAAGAAATACAGCGAGGATTTTCTGTTGACCATCAATCATGTTCAGGACTACATTTTGGTACGCTGGTCCAAAAGAGATGTTTAACAGGGAAGACGGAATTAAACAGTCAATTCCGAGACCTATACTGGAATGTGGTAAGAAGAATTCCAAAATGAAACTTTCCCAGATGCTTCAAGATGGCATCACCTCAGTCGTTAATAGCCTTTCTGTGGAACACAGGGACAAGGTGGGGCCAAACGCAGACATCATTCTTAACAGTTCTGTTGTGGTTAATTCAGAGTATCTCTCGCCTGAAGTGTATTCGCTTCCCTCGAGCCGTAGACATAAATCATGAGCGATGAACGCTAGGAAGGGAGTCATTAAAAGAAGTTGGCATTAGGTTTGGCTGAATAAATGTACTCCAGGAAGATAAAATGCGACTGAGCCTTGGCCCAAGCGTACAGGGACAAGACAAATACTAAGGTAGACGCCAGACATTAAGTGGTCACAAACAAAGTATTGCATTGTAGAAGCCCTTCTCTTGATTACCTCCTCACCACGATGGCTAATTCGAGAACGACCAGACCCGTTGTTCCGTAGCACATCAAACTTTTCTGCTATTGAATGTTACAGTCGCATGATGGGCGGGACGACTGATTCCTGCAATTGAGTTTCATTATCGCACCCAAAAATGGTATTTACGGAAACGCAAGTATAATACCTTGTTTTTGCGACCACTTGATGTCTGGGGATTACTTCATGATTCTTCTGGCCCTTGCATGTGTGTGCATGGATATTGTTTTGTGGCTAGAGTTAGGCCTGGTAACACTAAACAAAAGCAATAAAGCTGATGCATGAATAAGCTACCGACGCCTCGCATTGACTTAAGGGGTCTTGTAAGTTATAGGTCGATAGCTGCAGGTAAGGCGTTCCCTCAATTATGTCATGGTCTCAAGAAAACAAAGTTCTAGAGTGCAGACCCGTCACCGAGTTGACTTCTAATGCTGGCATTCTTACCCAACATATCTGGTATTTAACGGAGTTCAGCCTAGTACGAACACCCTTCACCCTTTTTTCATTAGCTCTTTGAATATTTCACAAAACTGACCAACTTTTGATCCGACAACCTATACAGGTGCAAAAATCTACCGAAGTAACTACCCATCTCTCGCTTCATCTTGCGTGCGTCCTTTTGCCTTGTCACTCTGCTCTGCTTAATATCACACTACTTTCCCTTCACACAACTCCCGTTAGTTCCAATAAAACCTTTTATAATCTGCATACCTAAGTACCCTCCGTGTACCCGAGGGTTTCGTGAAGAAAACGTCGAAGCACGAGGTAACCTGCTTTCTGCTGTTGAAGGAACCAAGGTTTGTGAGGCCAGCCATGCGCAAACGTTTCATTTAATTTGAAGATTGAATAAACAATGGCTACATGCTACGTTAGGGATGGGAAAAGACAAACATTTACATCAGCATGAGAACCAGTCAACCATGTGCGTTGATAAACTACGACATTCGATTAAATTAATTTAAAACAACTTGACGTGACCGAAATTAACTTACTTGCTACAGCCTCAATCAACACCGTTGAGAATATTTTTTCCATCGGCGAAGGAGTCTAACGGAAGCCAGAACGATATATGATGGAACTTGATGCTTGTGTATAAGTATCTATATTTCAAAAGCGTGCAAAATACATTGGCTAAGCATTGTAATTCATTGCCATTTATGCCAAGTGGATCAACCCTTTCCGACTACCGCCAGCAATCACATACGTACAGCCATATATACATGCGCGGACACGGATTCGGGATTGAAGAAAGGAAAGAGGGCAAAGATGATGGCTCTAGTGGCCATAATGGTGCTGGTGACTGTGGTGGTGGAGAACGGACCTGCGACAGCACAGTCCCTTCGACTCCATATAACGACGCACATAGCTTGACACCCGCTCCCGTATGCCTGGAGTCACCTCGGGAACAACCGCAGCAAAGAGACTTGAGGCACTCGCCTGCTGGGCCCGGTGGAGGTTTCTAATCTCCTTCGGAATGACTTCTTGAGCTAACTATAATCATTCAATACGACTCAACTATAGAACAGATGCACGTCTAAGCAAAAACTCCCTGACATTACAGCCAGATAATTGCCAATAAGGCTAGGAATTTAACATGAGTGCTAATTGCAAACACGAATGGTGCTCGTACCTTATTTGTGAGGTGATGGAGATCTTCATCGCTTGTGATCCTACCAAGATCCACTCTCGCATCCCTGAATTTTCGCAGTTCATTGTGTATGAATGAAAAAAGCTGGAAACCAAAGGAATGCAAAACAAATGCACCATGATCAAAACAGCGTTGACGCATTCGCTGCTAAAGCCACAATTACGTGATACGTTTTATGTCATTTTATGACAAATGGTTGCACTAAATCTATTGTGGTTAAACGCTTAAATAAACTTGCAGCATTCTTAATCCAGAAATAGGTAGGTCTATTTTTGAGAAAATACAACTTATAATACAACGGTAAAGGTCTGGGCGGTGGTGGTCAGCTTTCTCCCACTACCATGCCGGTGAATGTAATGATTGCATTCAATAATCTTATTGCCATGAAGGCCGGCATTCTACTCCACCAACTTATAAACTAATTATGCCTCTGAATATATTGCACTGGCTCCATGTATGTGGATAAGGTGTTTCAATTCCTTGTGTGGCACAGACCATAAAACCCTCAAAGCCCTAAAAGCCCACCTCAATAGCGAAGCTTTGTTCTTGTGCGCCCTGAGGAACATCTGGCCGAGCGCCCATCTCATGTATCAACTCCATGCACTGACGCTCGAGCATGCGACTTCGATATTGTGCGTACATCTAAAGAAGAAAAGAATGGAAGGTACACATGATTACTACCGTTGCCATACACGAAGCACATATGGATTGATAAGGGACCGTACGCTGCCGGTTCAAGGTTGGCAAAACCAAGTCAATTTATGCAACTTTCCTCCATTACTTAAATGGACGGGAGCGAAGCGAATGGTCTAAAGCAAGACCATGCTCGGCACGTTTACTCGAAATGTGTTTGTGATGGGTTCCCCACGATGTAAACATTCATCGCCAAGCGGCGTTTGCTTCTCAGTTCCCCGATCCCAGTTGGAAGGATCTCATAACTCGACTTTTGAGGGCACACAGTACCTTTTATAGCATCAATCGATATGCAGTAATTTCCTAGAACATTTGACAATCAGTGTTGGAATCCGAGCCGGAGGAAGGACTAAAGTTAGGATGGTAAGATAACTTTAATGGGATTAAATACCAAATTTCAGTCAAAGGAGTAAAGGAAATGATATCTCCTTCTGCGATTTCACAGATATTGATGGACGGAGAATACATGCAACCCATAGTACACAAATCACAATGCAATTTCAACGAGTACACTTAAGACTTTTGCGTAAGAACTACTATTTCCACCGGGACATACATCTTGATTGCAAAGAAAAGTGCGGTGACTAAACATAGTATTTTTTGCATCTTATACGAATTTGGAAAGAAGAAACAAGTCTTTAGGGCGTCTCACAATCATCTCATAAGGTTTTCAAGCAAAAAAAGGCACATATAGGTATCTCACAGCTTTTGCTTTTTGTCTTAGTGCACCTAAGTGATTAAGAAAAGTTTAGGCAAAGTCAACCCGAACGGAAATGACAGAGTGTCACTACGAAAAAGCATCGAATTCATGACCAAATATAAAAGACGAAAGTCATAAGCCTTAATTGGACACCTTGAGAGACGAGTTCAATAGACAACCCACTACTTGTCCCATAACGCCAATGGATAAACAAAAGAAATGGCACTCACTAAATTTAGGTTCTTTGCAGTGGAGGTTTCCTCGTGAGGTCAATAAAATATGACATTATCTCAAGCCTAACCAGTGTTTAATAAGTGCAAATAAGGTATCTAGGATGGAGGTTTAAATAACTGTGATTTAAGAGTAAGAAGATAACTTACTAATTCAATCTCCTCGTGAGTGACAGCATAGCGGTGCGCGCAGTTCCAGTTATAGGGTGCCTCGGGGTCATCATCAGGTCTGTCGGGGATGAGGTTGTCCTCGGGATCGGCGTCCCAAGGATAGACGGGAGGGTCCCAGCGTGTGATACGCGTCTTTGTGTGGTAGTAATAGTAAGGATAGCCGCCGTCCTCGCCACCCTGCGCAGCTGCTGGATTTGGCGCCCGCTGCCACCCCGGTGGGAGCGGCGAAGTCCCGTCTTCCGACAGGTGCAGATGCAAGGGCGGCAATGTGATCCGTTTCGCCGGCACTAGTTTACTTCGCATTCGTTCGTTATGAGCCTACAAGGAGAGGAGTAAGGCTGAGACACCTCGATGTGATGACACAAGGGGATGGAAGCATCATGTGAGTTGATATGGAGGAAGTAGAAAGAATAAAGAAATGGACTTGACTCAAGTGGCTATTTGCGAATTTGATGTTTTACTTTACTTAACCCTACTGCTAACCAAGCGAGATAGGATTGTGAAATGACGACGTGAGCAGGGTGCTTGCACCGATCAAAGCTATGTACTTGATAAGCGATTTTTGAGGCGCTCGTTGGTACCCTATCTCAGGCCTCAAAGTGAGTGGGTGGATGTTGTGGAGCGTGATAATACCTCCATTCAGTCATGAATGTGTTTGAATACTGTTTAGATGCAAAAATTTTCAAGTAATTTCCGAAATCATCGACGACTTCACAGAAAGATCAAACAGGAAAAATATTGATATACCTGCGTCTAAGCAGCTGATTGTTACTTCGAATGAAAGTAGAGACTACGAAGGAATTGGAAAATAAGCTAACATAGATATACCCTGTCAAAAGAGAGGGTGCCGCCAGGAGAAAAAGATATAACAAAGTGAGTTTCAAGCCACCTCCCAACACTTGAACTACATCAAGGCAAGACTCCTAAGTTCTTTTAAAGCAAAAAGGTCATAAGTTAGTGAAAACACCATAAATTTTGCATGTGCATAGAAAAACAAAGAGCTTTTTTCCAGTTCTGACTCCAGGGATGAGATGGCTAATCACCAGTACTGCCGGAAATAATATTATGAGGATAAAAACGACAGCTTATCAAAGATAATGAATTAAATCGTAAAAAGTCATCTTCATGCAAAATATGGAGCACTATGGCGGAGTTCACAGATTATAAAAGATATTGCGTTGAGTTGTGAACCAAGTTGTCAAACTGATAATGGATGGATCAATGATGCGGCTTGTAAAATATGGACTTAAAGTGTAGACTTTTTAAGCTCGAAAAACAGAGAATAAAACCTGATTAATAGTAAGTTGCAGGGAACGGAAAAGCAGAGAACCTTGGCCTTAATTCCCGAAATCCTCAAGTGAATCTATAGTTCCCAATTTTTTTTCAGTAATCACTATAGCAACATTCAACTTCTCAAAAGAGTTCAAACGAAACATTACATCCACATGACTTCGCTTGACAACACAATGCGACATTTCTAAACTACCTGAGGAAGGTATTAAAGTGGATTCACAACTTTTCCCACCAGTTTACCTCGATATTGTGGGAAAAGTGAATATTTATAAACCCAATTGCATCAGCATTAACAAAACATAAACTGTGGAGAGAGCATCCCAAGATAGACTGCTACTTCTAAACAGTAAATTGTGATAAGTAGAGTGATTCGAATAAACACACCTTGGTAGCTTTGCTGACTTCGATACCTGCAGAGGGACCAGTCATCGATGATTCATCCGTAAAAGAATTTCGCCTGAAAGGGGAAAAACTCGTGTTACTTTGGACAATAAAACTTGATAAGAAGTTACAGCATTAATGTCATCTAATGGTGACTCAAAATTCGCACATGAGTGACTTGAACAGGAAATAAGATCTAGTAAGAGGAAAAAAGGTATCCACTGCAAATTCTAAAATTTACTTTTTAGGCTCAACAGGCGGTTCGTTTTGAGGTGGTGGAGTGGAGGGTTGGTGGATGGGTCCTTTATTAGGCTCAAGACTACGATGAGGAAAAGGGCTGGAAGCCAGGTCCATCGGTACAACCTCTTCATCTTCCTCCTTGCCCCCTTCATGCAATCTCACCCCAGTCCTTATCACTCCTGCGTCATCCAATTCTGCCACTGTTTTCTGCCCTGCTACCAAAGGGAGCACAGCTGAAGAGGAGGCGGGGATGAGCAACAAATGCAAGTCTTCCGGTGTGTAAACTTCGTCCGGGGGGATTGAAATCGGATTCTTTGGTTCTGTCAAGAAATTTAATACAGTTTGACTATAACCTCCATGATCGCCCTCCAATAATATGCTGCTACATTAGGAAGGTGATGGTAACAGCTACTTCAATGTCTGATACTATCCGCTACCGCATTTGAAAGCAAACCGCCGATCATTTGCACCGATGCAAAAGAGCATTCAATATTTCAATAAACGCAAATGCCCAGAAGAATGATAGATTAACGTTGAATGTAGCCCTATCCTGAAAATTCTTTCCAAGAAAAATGATTTGATACTACTGGTATTATGATGATGAGTAAGATACTTGGAGGATATAAAAAGAAGGCATATGTAATGCGAAGTAAAAAAACGGAAAACTCAATGAAGCTTGCCACATGGCTTTGAAGCCCAAACAAAGTAGTTTTAAATACATCCACATCGTAGGTAAAACAACAAACTCCGAGTATTTCGGCCAGCAACCAGAAACTTTGGAGACACCAATGGACTCACCATTGCATTGGAGAACAAAATAATGGATGTGCACGCCAATAACATACCGACTTTGAAGGGCAACATTATTGTCCATTAGTAGCTATACGGTTATGCAATTTGGGGAGTAGAAGCACGATAGTAAAATACGTTACAATAAAATCCATAAAATCAGCAAAAATAAGTGAAAAATCATCCAATATTACTCGGTTGTAATGAAATTTCCAGACCTCTAAACACGTCATTTGATCCCAGGTCATGCTCCGATAAGTGACAAATAAGAAAGAAATAAGAAAAAAAGCTAACGTTAACTATGGATTCAAGACAACTAGTAACGATAAGAAATCGTACATCCTGGAAAACAATATAAGTTCTGAACTACAGGTCAATTATGCGATGTGATTCTAGACCCTTCTTTGTGTTCAAATGCTAATGAGAGGCAGGCAAGCAGGCCAATAAACACCGGAGCAGTTTGATCCCAAAGTCACCGTTCAAAATCGTTAGCAATGGTAGCAGCAGTTTGGAATTCACCAGTATGACTTGAGCAATCGCCAAAACAATGTTTAGACTACTCCAGTAAGCAGTTTGTTGCGATTAAAAAGGCAGGCAAACTTACGATCAGAATTCTGATCAAAAAGAGAATTTCCGAATGAAGGATTGGGGGAGATCGGTGAGGCCACAAGAAATGGGATAAAACTTTCAGGGGATTCTGCACTTATTGTAACACGGCCTGAAACCTTGGGTTCCATAATCGAGCGCAAACTGCGGGAAGAGGACGATAGGGAAGAACGCTCTTTGGCCTTACTTGACCTCTTATTCACACGTCGATGTCGATTCCGGGGCGACTTAGAGTAGGAGTGGCGGTGCTGATTGTTTGAATCTCGCCGAGAAGACTTTCTGACAAGACAATCGGGTGAACCATTGCCGCTGGATCGACGTGAACGATGCCTAGAGTTGGGATACACTTCTTTGGGGGTTTTTCGGTTGCCATAGATACTCTTAATACGTTCTTGTGAATGACGACTGCGATGGCGATAATTACGATAGGAATCATTTTCCTGAGCGTAGCGATGAATGGATTTGGCAACAGAGTTGGAGTTACCATTAGTAATATCATATTGACGGGAATACTGTTTTGGCCTTGGAGAGGTCCTAGACATCCGACCTATAGACATCAAAAATTATCAGTCCGAAGTTATGATAAATTAGAGATGCAGCTGGAACCCCCCGACTCAAATAAGAGCCAAAAGACTAACTCCTACTATGTTAACTAGGGATGAATTCTACGAAATAACTTGAAAGCAACGCAGTAGATATTTATCAATCATTCGAACTCGCAAGTCCTACACGTTCCAATCAGTAAACCTATTAGGCACATGGACGAAAAGAGAGAAGTGAAAGCTTCATGCCAAAAGCCCATAGCAGAAAGCTGTAGAAACAAAAAAACATAAACCAACTATACGGCACGACCTAGAAGAAACGCTCCCAGACGTACACGAAAATGTTTATGAGCTATTTTTTTGTAAAAGGCGCGCGTGCAAAATTAACGCTGGAAAAAAAGAAGGGATTAATTCATTATATACTTTTTCGTGTTTTAAAGTGCAGTCGACAGTTTCACCAAGAGTTGTGACAGGCATGCGGGCTTTTAAAGGCGAAGGAACGATTGGTAAAGTTGCAATATCACGTCTTGTTTTCGTCAATGCGTTACGCAAGGTTAACCCATCTGTAAATATGACACACAAATTACCGAAGGAAAATTGCTCAAATTGCCTGACATATGCACTTAAATAAAGTTTATACACTTCTATCTCATATATGCAAGCTACGTAGTTTTAAAGTCAGTTAAAACCATGAAACTTTTTGCGCAAGATGTGATCCCCAAATAATCCGCCATCCTACTTTACATCGCCGATTTCTTGGTGTCGAATGATGGTTGAAAATATTTTGGCTATGTGTTTACCAAATTTAATGTTTTTATTAACATGCACTCCAGTTGTGACGTCATCTTCAGCCCTTCTTAAAAGAGTTACACCCATCTTATAGCTTCTCATGCAAGGGCGCTTCAGTCATCTTCTCGTGTGTCGTTGGGGTGTTGTTGGCTGGAGTTTGTCACTTACTTTTGTCACTGCTGTTGTGGTTATTATTCTGGCATAGGATGCCACTGTTCTCCGAGGCTATGATTGATGGCGTTCGCACACACAAGTATTCATGCGTTGACACAAGTCCTCTATCGAATTACATATTGCATCCATTTTGGAACTATATAGTTCAGGTTTTCGAGTATACTACTAATTATTTTTAGTACTGTCCCAAGTGGGTCGCGCCTAACACACTCACCGTCCTTGGATTTGGCCTTACGGTTCTCAATTTCTCCATGCTTACTTTCTATGATTGGGACTTCAGATCTCCTTACGATACTCCACGCTTCATTTGGCTGTTATCTGCTCTCCTTATTTTCGTCTCACACACATTGGGTACTATTTTTCAAATACTATTATCATCAATGTAGACGGTATCGATGGTAAACAGGCACGGAGACTGGGGTTGTCCACTCCATTGGGAGAATTGATGGATCACTGCTGTGACGCTTGGACAGCGGCATTTTATCCACCCATCCTGTTTTCTCTTTTCTCAGGTCAAGTTGATTCCAGCATTTTGTTCACTTGCGAGTGGATTATCATCTGTGGTTTTCTACTTGCACATTGGGAAAAGTCCATTACGGGGGTTTTGTACCTCCCTTGGTCATACGATTTTGGTCAACTGGTGTGTTCCAAGCTAATTCATACGATTTCCTTGCGTTATTTTACCTTTACTTTTTTGTTGTACTCTTTTTTGTTGCATTGTTTTTGTTTTCACAGTTTCTATTTATTGCTTCTGTTGTTAACCCTTACAACTTCTGTTCAGACGACGGTCCTTCTCTTTGTTACGACATTTTTCGCCTCTCCTTCGATTTGGAGTCACCGTCTTCCGATCATACAAATGAGCATTCCTGAACTCACTCCATACGTAGCGCATGGTATATTCCTCTTCATGATGTCATTACGAGCTCATAATTGATCTTCCTTCAACCGAATTTTTTGCGAATTTCGGCGTTTTATGCTCGTTTTGTCGGTACAAGCGCGTTGCTGAAGTGATATCCCATTTAGCATTTTTTAAATCATGCGTTGTTATTCGCAATGATAATTTCATTACTTCCCAGCTTCCGACTTTGTTAGTCTTTTTCATTAAATGGGTGATTTGCGTTGCGAAACGATATAAATTGTTGAGAAAGTAGTTTAGTTTTATTCACATATGCGCTGACCTTTTTATTTGCTTTCATGGATGTCAATGTAAGGTATTTGAGATATTGCAGTCGAGCATACCTTGGGTCCGCTCAACTACAGAAGCCCAGGGTACCAACATGCGCTGAATAAATAAGTTCCATCTTTGCTTTGGAAATCGCAGACTGTCTTCTATTTTCTGACTTTATATCAGGTGTGTTCTGGCTCTGTGCCATCCCATCCAGCTTGATCAACGTAGTTTTAGCCTGCAGAAGGGACAGGGTGAGAATGCCAACAGTGGAGGCTGTTGTCCGACCCTTTGCAGGAACTCTTTTCGTTTTCTCTGTCTCGTGGGTTTGGATGACTCTCTCTCCGACAAATGTTATGGAGCACTCACCACGTCTATTTCTACTTTGTGGTGGAACATTGGCTGCCAACATCACTGTAAGTTCAACGCTATTCGCTGCCTAGACTCATTTTCTGCTATTGTGTGCGTTTGCGTATATCGAATGCGAGCATTGTACGTTTTGACCGAAGGTAGCTTACAACACTTCAAACCTCTTGTTTTTCACTTGGGTACATTAAAACCGCAAATACGACTTCATGCTCTCCTGCGCAAATCATCAGTCGTCACTGAAGTACCATTATTTTCAGCTCATGGTTACATAAGTGTCTGCTTATTAACTACATGCTAAAAGCGTTCCAGGAAATAAAGTGGGAGGGTAAGCACTACATTATTTTAACAAAATATTATCCGAGGTTTGAGGGATATGGTAGATATATTGCCCATCAAATAGCTACGCTGCTTGTCTTTCGGATCACCAGCCTTGATGAGAAAAAAACCTTGTCGCTTATACGCGATTTGTATATTCTGTTTCAAACAGAATCTCACATTGCTGAACAATCCCGATTAAGAGCTGCTTTTGAATCCTTCTTTCTCAACGACATGGGATTTGTGTTTCATTTATCCTTTTCTTAGTGCTGCTTTCTTTGGTTCTGACTAGACCACGTGAGTACTTCGATTGAAACCTTCTCTCGTCGATGGGTTCAGCTATAGTCTAGTCCTAGCTCTTAATTCACTGTTCAACTCTAGCTTTTTATCATGGCTGCGTCTTATTATAATTAATTCGTATATGAAATGCAACGGTAAGCAGTGCACCTATCGCCGTCTTAGTTATGACTGGTACCGCGTTTTTGCCTCGCTTTTGAATTCTCCCATCACCTCTGGGTAGCTGAATTTGCTCTGACTCCTCCAGGCTGTCTTATATCATTGTCAAACAGTGTAAACGGTTTCAATTTCATGACGAATTTTAGCACGCGAGTTTTCTCGTCCTCTATCGATATTGCTCAAACGGCTGTATCCTGATTGTGATCGTTGTAGGATTTTATTATGAATCCGCCTTATTTATCGTAATGTGAGGGGTTTATTGGTCGAGTTTGAGACCAAGTCTCCTCGGAGAAATTGCGTTTTACCTGTGAAATCGTTAGCACAAAGGTTTGAAGCAGGAACCTTGAGTGTTGTACACCTGTATAGGGTCCTCATCAGTGTTCCATCATTGCTCAACTTGACCACTTGTGCGGAAGTTGTGTTTGCTAAGCTTTGTAGGCAGCTCCTTTCAACTTTGGTGTAAGTTACATGGACAACACCCCTGGTGAAACATCTTCACTGATTGCTCTCTCATGATCCTTTCACCTTTCTAGTCGGTAATTTATCTACCATTTCCTGTAACTATTTATTAGTGTTTTCAGATTTGCTTTGTACCTTTAGGTTCAAGTTTATGGGATACATAGGTAAACCCTCCTTGTTAAGGTTGTTTTAGTTATTTTTATGGTGCTGTTGGAGCTAACTCGATTAACTCATTTCTCTATGTTGTGGCAGTAGCATTGCTGGCAGTATCTAAAGCACTTTCTAAGCTCTGGTATTATGAAAGTAAGTCGTAATTTCTTTGCAGTGGCGTTCATTTATCAGTTGTCGCGTTTTATGCTCGTTTTGTAGTGCCGCGTAATCTTGGCTGAGGTGACCAAGACGAAGGCACCAATGTGGTGCAATCTAATGGGCGTCTATGTACTAGTGGTCTTCGTTCTTTGCCTTGGTCTCTCGCCCACTGCAGCCGCTCGACTCGAATTTCCTTCCCTCCTTGCTCTCACCTCCCTCGTCACTGTCTCTCATCTGCTCTTCTCTGGCGCTGTGGTAAGCGCTCCCTGATGCCACCTTCTCATTTGATAACTCCTTTCACATTGTGCGGTGTTTCAGAGAAAATCTGGATTATTTCACTTACATCCAATTTCTTAAGGCAAATGCAAGTTTAAATGACTTTTTACATTCACAGCGCCGCTCACATTATTGTTGTGCATTTGCGCATGTATATACGTGTCAGTCAAGATAGCACATCGGTTGCAATCAAGCATCCCCAATCCTACTAACTTAGATTGCAAACTGCCGACTCATTATTATTTGTAATAGTCGCCATTTATAGTTTGCAACTATAGGTGCATGACAGGAGTGCAACAATGAAATTGGCGCTGAGCTTCATTTGACATGAAAAGGACTCAATTAAAGGAGTGTTATTTCATCCGTGATCAGTATGCATTTGCTATTCCATCGTCTACGCAAGTATCATTTGCACCTCTGTTCGTGTGAGTGGGCTTTTGGATTGTTACTTTATGGAAGCGCAATTAATGTGTTAAGACGAAACTCCCATTGAGAGGTTTTACGTAGAATATGTGATCTTTACTATTATTTTCACCCTTTATATGGCTGCCTGTGTTGCACTAATTCCTTTATTCGTGTATCTTGCAGGTAAATGAAATGTGTGAAATCTTCAATATTCGGGCTTTCCGCGTTTGACTTTGGAAGCGTCAATTTTTGGATGTCACTTTTGCATACTTTACTGCGGGAGATCGCCACGACAATTTCCGAAAGCAGTAACCTGCCCTATCCCCAATTTTCTCCCTGTTCCCTATTGTGATCTTTTGGATTTATTGCTGGGAATGTGGTTGATAATGCAGTTATGTGTTTCCTCTTCTTTTCCATTAGTTACCAATTAAGGTGTTTATTTTTGTTTGGCTGAGCTAGAGGTATTTTCCTTTTCAAAGGATGCCTTGTTTGGTATTCATTAGTGCTTCCTTAGTGGGGGTAGGGCAAGTGAAAGGCGGTCTATAATTTCCAAAAGTCATCATCGTATGCTTGATTGAAAAGTAGGCTAGGACAGTCCCTTAGATCCCAACTATGTTTCAGCATGCTGTTGCTTTGCAAGTAAGCCTTAGTGTTCCTAGTTGTGTGCTAAGAATTACTTGGTTCTTTAGCGCCACTTTGTCGAGATGTCTTGGTCCATTTTTGTAATCATAGAATTTTATATCTTGTCTACAAAAGCACGGTGGGTTTCCTTTGATACTGATAGGTGGATGCTACAAGTGAGTTAATGTTACTTCGACTATGGTGAACAGTGGGGGTTTTTCAGGAAGACGGGTGGTGTAGCGGTTCCTTGAATCAGTGCTACTGTAACTACTACAGTAGCAGTGGTATCTTATTTGCGTTTTGTAGCCACAAACTTTAAATCTTGCGGTGTTGGCAGATTTAACCGTCTTCCCATTTCTTCTCTAACGTACTTCTCGGTCGAAGCAACACTTTTGCCCGATTGTGGCTAACAAATGATCCAGGAATGATGAATTGTGGACCTGGAAGGGATTATTTGGTTGACCTCCTTGACTTAGCCGTCCTGTTTGAGTTGGGAACGTCTAAATGTTCACTTGCATTGAATACCTACATCCACGTAGTTTGGTAAACCCAAATGGATTCCAAGGTAGTAAACTACATAGGTGAATTGTGGAGAGTATTGTCGTATATTGCATCGTCAGTAGGGATGTCTATTTTTAGATCAGTCCTTTTTTCATTCATCTTGTTCAGGGAATGATCTGCTTCGCCTATAGCCACAAATAAAGGGTGAACGTAGACCAAACTTGTCCCTTGAGACAATCCTCAGGAGGATGCCCTGCACAACTTGGGGTACGATAACATTGTCACATACTCGCTGAAAGGTCAATATGTTTGCGTTTCTATTTTCCTCTAAACCATAAGCTCTATACCGCTCGTATCGGTAGTGGCTGTAGTCAAATGACCCAAGGCGGTCAGAGCGCCATAAACATAACCTAATCTGAATTGAGTAAATAAGACCTGCCCAGGCTTTGGACACAGCCGAGTGTCTGCATAACTATTTCCGTACCATAACTGTATACAGATATTATAATTACAACTTCCGCAAGAAATGCATTTTTGTGTCCACTGAATGATTGTAAAAACCTTGAGAAGCAGGCGGGTGGTACGCATTGGTGCGCTGCATTGTCAGAATCGACAATGTGTAACTGATTGTTAGGGGCGGAAGTGAAGAAATGCGCTTCGGTGGTATTCGCTCAAATAAGAACAAAATAAAATATTGGGATTTGCCTTGGACTGCTGATTTCTTATTGGACACTCCTGATTTCTGCCGAAAACTATTCTGTTTTCATCTCTCTGGACGATTATTTAAAGTTTTGCGGATTTGGATGAGTTTTAGCAAGTGGCAGGCGGACGCGAGTTAGGTGACCCTGACTCTATAGGCACAAGTTTGGCCGGGGAATAGGATTGAAAGACTGGGAGATTTTGTACTTTACCTATGGCCTCGGAGGTTTTTACGGCCAAAAGGGCACATCACAGTAAAGCAGAACCAAAGTGACAAGCGGAATTACTGCTCCATTGCGTGTGCGGTGCTACGCTATTGAAGTGCCACGGAAGCGACTCTGCCTGAACGCCTACTTTCGACTCAACCTGCTAGGCGACATGAATAATAATTTACAACTGAATATTTTAAAAGCGATGTAAAATATTATTTGACACTTCTGATCAGAACTCTTTTAATGTTAATAACCTTAAATTATGGTGAACTTCTTATTTGTGGAAAATGCATATGTTGCTAGCACCAGCAGCCAAATTGAGGGGATAAAACAGATAAGTCAGCATGGCATCATCGACTCCACTCGACATAGGAGACAGCGTCACGCATGACGCTGCCTCCCAATCGGACATTCAAGCCCCAGTGTGCGCGTACTATATCGCCGATATAAACAGGGTGATTTTTGCATGATTTACTTTGCAATTTTTCTACGAGGTCGTCTGCAAGCGGAATTCAAATCAGCAATTATCTGGTTTTAACCATTGGTGTAAACGAATTGATGCTAAGAGTATCGCCACAAGACTCCTATGATGATAAAGAGGAGCGTAATAATAGGGCTGAGTACACCTTAGTGACGCATGAAGGGTGCGGGATAATGAATTGGCTTGACTGTAGAGCTCCTAAGTGGTGCGTTAGCAATACTTATAGTTGAACAAGAAATTAAAGTTGTACACTGAGTTTACGACCCACATGGTTCGTCTGATATGCTGAGATACACCAGCTATGTTTTTATGTAGAATGGATTCTAAATTTTCCTTCTTCTCCCTTACTAGCCATGCCTTTTGTAGCCTTCACTATAAGACTCACAGTGGTGGAGAGACGTCTTGACAAAATTATTCTAGGAATTAGGAGAATGCAGGTCCAATTTTCTTAAAGTTAAGATCAGATGAATGGTGTACTGCATTAATGTGAAGACCAAGCTTACTACCTCAAGCATCACGATTGTCTGACAACGATACATTTTCAGTTAAAGTAATTTGATCATAAATTTCCCTGTAGTTCTCGCAGCATTTCTTTGAATTTTTTCAACTTTTTTTCAAATTTTCGCAAAACACAAGACCCATCTAGGCCGCAGCATATGTTTCTCACTGTGAGGTCTGATTGCCTTGGAGACCTTTCGGGAGTTGATCTGTTCGTCAGGCTTAAAAAGGCAGTCTTTTGTACCACTGACTTTTCTTGCAGATCTTAGATTTCCATGATGCAATGGGATTATTCAAAGGACATTTTTAAATCACATCTTTCATAAAAAAGCCATTGATGCGTAGCATATGGAGGCATCAAATTCAAAAAAAAATGCATCGATGACTGTTGTCCGGACCGAATAATTAGTGACCGTAAAAAGCAGCCTCACTCGTTCTTCTACAGAGTCGATAGGAGTTTTTCAACAGCAGACAAAACAAGGATCATTTGTTTTTCTTCTTGAGTGTTATTAAAATGGGAGATGCAAATACAACAAGGACAGTGATCTGGTCAAGTTTTATGCATGGTTGCATTTAATATTCCATAAAGCGAAGATCAAGAGATGAAATACTTCGGTAATCATACAAGGAGCGGTAGTTGCACTCTTAATGCTACCTGAATAGCACCAAGAAGCATTACGACCATTGGGATTTGATCCATCTGATTGTCTGATAGCACAACCATAACCGTATGCAATTTCGCTTGTGATATAAGTAATTTTAGGCCTATCGAAAATCAGCAACCTCACAGAGAGGTTTCCCGTTCTCTCCCTTAAAAACTCATGGAGGATCTTCTTGACACGAAATTCTTGATTAACTAAAGGGTATTTTATTTGCTTACTAATTGTCGGAGAGCGGACAAACTCAAGTTTTGTGTAGAGGTATACGATACGTAATCAGAGAAGTGAAAGTTCGCATTTTGCAACGTTTTATTTACTTTATTACGCACTGGCTGCCTTCCCTTACCGTCAACCTGAGCCTCAGCGAGCTTTACTTAACGCCCTACTTTTACACTGTCTTAAGGTATTTGTTATTGAATTTTGTTTTTGTTTAAAATGTCCAGGAGCCAATGACAGTTACTTATTTTTTGGCTAGAGACCTTTTGTGCACCTTTCATTCAGTCCCATAACTCGAAGACGTGCCATCAATAATATACAATAACTATCTCTAATAATATGGAGATATTAAAAAGGAAAATACTTAAGGTCATTTTCACTGTTTTGTGGGCTATTGCGTTGACCTCGCCCCTATGATGGACCCACGTTCAACGCCCGCCATGGAACGATCTAAAGATACATGGCTTTCTGGTCATCAGACCGTGGCTTTTAGTAGAGTTTGCTCATTGAAGCAAAAATAATACTATTAGGAGGTGTTCTCGTTGGAAAAATAACAAAGGGAGGGCCAGTCCGTTGAATAGTTGCCATTCAAAAGTGTATCCTTGAAAGGTAGCAACTTCAGACGGTCTTGTGCTCGAAGCGATCGAATTTAAGCTAGAATCTTACCCTTGAAGGATGTTTTGTGTTATACTCCTGAATTTCTAATATTTAAGTACATTTTCATCAATTTTGATATATTGCCGGTGAAAAAGGGAAGGGTAGTGACCGTGTAGTGATTTTATCTGTTACCTCTTGGTTCAACATGCAAAAGTAGCTTGTAGCTGTCGACTTTTCGTCGAACTCCTACTAAATTGGTCTCGGCAACGAATTCCCAATTTGGAAAAGGAAGTGTGGTACTACGGTAACAACTGCTATCTCTACCCCTACTCAAATAATATAACCAGTGTAAAAAATTAGCAACTGATTTTATCAGCCAGTGTTACTACTCTTCTTATATGCAAAAATCCATGCTCATATCGAAAGAGATTTTTCAAGCAAGCGCCTCACAGCAGCAGCCAATCGGCTAGCAGAGTAGTCAAGCGAATCAGACATCTACAGTGGCATGTTCGAATGAGTTGCCGTCAGATTCTTTTGTTGTCTTCCTGTTTATAAGGCAAGGCAAAGTCATGCTCAGGAGAATGAAGCAGCATGTGTCACCGACTGGTTCTCCTGCTTGCTGGTCTTGCTTTGGTGGTGGGACCATCACGAACCTGCTCGCCTGCCGACACTGCTATCTCGGCTCGTCAAGCCAAGGTGCTCTTTGATGCGACCGAGCGTGCCCTAATCTTCATGCTGCGTAACCACGATACATTGAATTTAGACGGCGTCATGGGCGTAAGAGTGCTACAAGGTGGATGTTCCTTACCCTCATCTTCACTCCCATTGTAATGATTTGGTTAAATTATGGTTAGGAAGGTACTCCTCTGCTTCTTTAGTAATGACCGTACAACCTATCTCTTACATTTTACGGTTATTCACAGGATCACAAAAGTTATTTATAATGTGTACTGAATCACTTCATCAAGTATTGGCATAGCCTCAGGGTTGTGTCAAAGTGTTTTCTGAGCTTAGAATCGGTACAGTGAATGTTTTATGATCTTGACTCGGTTCGTTTTAGAGACAGTAGCGTAAACGTTGTCTTAAATCGTTAATAAAATTGTTATGTAATTTTTGTAACTAACCAGCGAAACCGTTTCAAAGGCAAAAGCACTGGATTATAAAGTACAGTGAAGGTTTTCTGTACCACAAAAATTGGAAGTAGCACTAACTATGCGCAACTGACTTGTGGGGCAGAATTGTCAGTAAACGCAAATTATGGAGACTTGTTTGGATTTTAAGGAAATATAATGATAGCATAGGAATTCCCTTTTCATGCACAATACATTTGAGCTACGGCCGCCTACCAAATGGGTCGCAACAAGGGATGGAGTCGGCACTTTTGGCTAACAAGAAGATGACTTATTGGTAGCAGTCTCTGTTCACTTTCACGTGTTGGACCTTAAAAGGAATAATGGAAGCATTTGCGTGGTTTCATAGAAGTAGAGAAAAGTCTTTTTGAAAAATAATCAACTATACTTTGTCCAATTATTGTCAATTTGAGTGCATCAGTTCGTAACCCTGGTTCAACATAAAATTTTGGCAGCGCTTTTGGCCCTAAGACCGTTGGCCTTTAAAAGTGATGCAAAACAAATAATGCCAACCTGAAGTGTATCGACACTCTAAAATAGAAGTAGTTCCTTTTTTTTCTATGTTGTGCTAACGAGATGTGAATACCACATTAAATTCGATGTTGGTAAAATCACGTCTTTTAGCGGATAAAACACACGCCAGTTCTTGAACAGGTGCTATGAGAATGACCTAAGTGGCTTTCTAAGTGGAAGAGTTAATCAAATCTAAAGGTCAACAACATTTGGTTGTGGATTAGCTTCCCCAGTCAAGTCTGTTTACAATGTTGCTGAACTAGTAAAATACTATTGCAAAGCTTAAATACCTTTTGTATGACTGTTTTTGTCATCCTTGAGTAAAGTGGGTTAAAATTCGCCCAAGCACCTGAGCTTATTTTTTCTAATCTCATATTTACCTTACTTTTCATTTTACGCCCTCCATGTTTGCAAAGCCGACAATTAACTATAATGACCCCTATTCTTTTCTATCCCCAAATAGATTCACTCTTCCAAATGTTTGAAGTTAATGCAACTAGGAGAATAATGCAGCCTTTGAATGGGGAAGAATGATCCTTATTGTTGTAGGTGTATACGGCCAACTGCTTGCCGTTTACAGCTTGGGCTTACCGAGGCAAATGGTGGAAAGAATGGAACAATTGCGAAAGTTAGCTGACCTGGTTGGAACGCTTGGTACAATAACTGCTGCCGTTAAAACTCCTTTCTACTTTTCAAGTAAGACCTTTTTTTACTGCCAAGAGCTGTGAATTGATGTCGCCATTTTTCGTACCTGTTCAATTCTTAATGCAGCAGAACCTGCAAATGTAACTGAAATTAATTCAAGCTGTGGAGCTTTACACTCTATTCGTAGGGTGTGCAACTCTGTTTGAGCGGTAGTTTCATTTCCCTCCTTAGTATAAAACAGGTGAAACATTAGGAGAGGGTCTTTTGAGAGAAAATTGGGCAAACAATGGATCGCATCTTAGAATTACCTCCGAGAGTGTCAGTCGCGTTGATTGTAGACCGAGCAACCATTTATTACATGCGGGTGACATATTCAAAGTCAGGAAAATACACAAGATTTTGACGATGGTACCAACATAAGCACATTAGTATATAAAGAGTTTTTAACATTTAACTGGGTTCCTTCCTTTGCCGGAAACTATGGTTACGCAAAATTTCATTCAGTTTGCGTGGTGTAAAAGAAGAGTGAGACCTTAATATAATTGAATAGAAGCACTTTCCTCTTCGGCACCTTTGCCCTTTTTTACCACTGGCGAAGACCTCCTTCCTCATCTTATTAACACCCACACGACGTCTAAAGGTGTGCTTGAATAGGTTTCGAGGAGGGTAGTCCATGGCCTAGTGCACTGCGTACAGTGTCGGTGTATCGACGCTGAAGAGGTGTTCAATGACTTCTCTCCTTTCTTCCACTAAGTATGGGTTCACGTTGGCCAAGCGTCATCTATTATGGCTTAGGTATATTTTGGAAACCACGATTAGAGGATCAGGCGCTTGCATGATCACCTAGAGCTGATCCAACATTCCGTGCTCATGAAATTTATCATTTCAAAGTCGTTTAGACCCAACAGGTTTTAACTCTAAGTTGTGAATGCTTTTAGAAGCAAGCTTCCTACTGAATGCTAAACTTTGGCAATTCATTCTACCAACACAGCGGTTTGAGATACTGCCTACAACCGACCTAACCTCGATACTCGCCGATGATAACATTTCTGAGGTTGCATCGGATTTCTGCCTCCTTGAGTTCATTACACATGGCTCGTGAGTCGCACTTTTAAATCAACAAATGCACTATTTTTGTACCATAAAACTCTGCTATGATGAGGTAAGGAAAGGGGTTTAAGTCGGTCTGCACGAAGTCCAAACACGAAGCATATGTATGAAGTTACGTTTCTAACATTGAGAGGATTAGCTTAGAGCATGTTTGAGAGCTTATACTGTTTATTGCCTTTAGACATCAGCAATGCGATATCTCTCGAGAATGCTTCGCAAATATGAATGCGGACAATTACACATCCTACAGTTTAACACATCAAATCCTCTATTACCTTGTCGGCATTGGGGTGAGTTGGTGGTCTCACTTTAATTCACATTAATCCTGTGGCTGAATGTGGACGCCTACCCAATTCAGACCTCCCCTTTAACTACATGCCATACATTTTAGTTCCAAATCCTTTGTACATTGGAGTCAACTGGCTTGATTATCATTAGATAACGAAACAAAAAGGGGATTCGGTGAATCATTAACAGATATGGAGCTACAATGGCGGACAAACTGAAAGGACACTATTTGTGAGCACGACTTCCAATTGGATTGCATGATGTACCACGAATGGCCAGGGAAAACCAAGTTTTAGATTTGAGTAGAATGGAAATGTAAAAATGCATGATTGAGTACAACATAAGTTATTGCATTTGTACCTCCTCGGATGCACGGGTGCATTTTCTATTTTGTTGCGACTTTAAGCCACTTGATTTCGCCTTGTGGATGACTTTCTCACAAGCGGATAGTTGAGGGAGAGAGGTCGGAAGGGAGGGACGTGCAAAACGGAGTTGAGGAAAGCCGAATGATACGGGACTCGGGCACTGTAAATCTTGCATCCCCTTTTGTGAGTGTACATAAAACCTCAATCTCACGCATTCTACAATTGCGGTTCACGGACGTTTTTCTTTCAGCCATCTACATGAGGATTTGGCCGACTGAATTACTTAGCTACTTTTTTGGGAGTATCTTGCGGTTCAAATTAAATGATTTTCAGTGAATTGCTGTGAACATTTTAAAATTATGAAGCAAACAGCACAAGTGCATTAAAGACCGTTATCTGCAGTGTCATTATTCTTATTAATTATTTCTGGAGATCACTAATCATAATCACATTTGCTTAAAGAATGTCATATGCTGATTCTATGCATCACCCAAACAGTAGAACAAAAACATTGGTTGTTATTTTTCGAGGCTCGTTGTGGCCCCCAACTGATTGATTTGGCCGAAGAAGAGCCTCGTGTGGAATCAGTTGAGAGACAAATGGCCCAGTTTTGTGCAAAAATCGACAGTGAAGCGAGAACTCTGGCTAAAAATGACTTTCCAAAGGAGGCTCGTGACCTCTTCATGGAGCAAGGTAAGACTAATAGGCAAATAGGCGCCTTTGCCCTTCCTGTCTACGATTGAGTTGTCAATGCCGACAAATTTCCTATTGAAGACACCTTTTTAATGAAACGCTCACGACTCCAACTTGCTAAAGATCTTGGCAATAGCGAATATGCTATTCCTTGATGCATTACTTTTAATGTATGCGAGTAAATGCAATCAAGTAAATCACATTTGGTGGTGAGTATACTTCTTAAGAAACAACTGAGAGTAATTTGATCGAATTCACGCATTATTCATCAGCAGTGATAACCAACCTATCCACCTCTAGCATTGGTGGCGACAATGTGGTGAGGCAAACGTACCAAATGGAGAGTGTGGTCTTTCAGTTGCATGCGAAGAATTAATAAAATTGGCCGTCTATGAAATCGTGTCTATTAATAACCTCACTACATGCATGTAGAGGTTCGCGTGGCCAAATGACTACATCGCCTAGGGAAAAGTTTTATGCTGGTAATTTGCGAACATCAGCCACTTTATTCGAAGTCCACCCTTTCACTTCAAATGCTGGAGGGGAACAGCCTTGGGGAGGAATGCAGGCAGCGGAAAAGACGACTGTTAACGTGGCATCGAAGTAAAAGTCACTACTACATCAAGATTAACACCGTCAGTCAGAGCTAACTTTAATTCCCTTCGCTTCGAACGTGTTTTTAAATAGGAAGAAAAGCATGCATTCATGTTCATTTAGATTACTTTTGCCAAAAGGACAGTTCAACAACAATCACATTAAAATAACACTCATTTGAGGCGAAGGAACGTGGGCGCCTTACCGGTGAATTTGTCATTCCATTTGCTATTTATTCCCATTGGCATTGAAGTGTAAGCAAATGCAAATGACGAGGCCTACAATGGATTTGGGCAAGTCAGGTTTCTGCATTGCTTCATGCTTTAGTTTAAAACACCATTTGGTTCGGTAATTGAAGAAGCACTTTCAAAAGTGTTTCGGTCCTATGTTTGATGCCATCCATTATTGAAATAACAAACCCTCAATTTTTATCTGCGATTCTCTCACTAAATTATCTCATTCTTGGTTGTCGAGATTACTTTCTTTGGCAAACTATGAAATTAAATTGCACACGATTTGTGTTTTTGTAGATTGTGGATAAAATCATTTACCAGACTAAAATTACGAGCTATTAAAAGTACTGACCAAAAAGAGTTGGAGCGGATACAACAACAACTGATTGATTGTTTAAATTACGCTCTATGCATTTTATCGTAAAACAAATGTGTTCTTGTTGTTTGGTCATAGTGGAGATGCTGCAGTCATGAACAGGGAGCGACGCAAGGAGGGTGGATATTACAGCGGGACGTGAAAATGTTAGTGGTTCAAGTAGATTCCGGCATCCTTACAAATGCATACTCTAAAATTATCCCACCCACTTTCAACCTAATCAGCCATTTTCAAAACCTTTATCAATCTTGTCCTTTATTCAACCGATTATTACAAAGCTGTTGCCACCACAAATGACATGATGTGCTTTAGAAAAGCATTACGTGCGGTATCGTTTTTCTTCACGCTTATAGTTTATCCAATACAAGTGGCCTACTATGCTGTTCTCCTATTAAATTTGGTCGGGAAAGGCGTGTCTATGAAAGCGGATTATGATTTGGCATCCTAAATAGATGAAATTAAATTAAATTATTGTATCTAGAGTAGTAACGCATTATTACCTCACCGATTCAAGTCGGAGTGTGTGGAGTGGCGGGTTTCACACAAATCGCACGTCCAGAGTGGTTGGATCGGATAGTAACCTGGCAGAATCGTCACTCCGGCTGCTATCACAGATTTCGTGGCGAGAATTTTGACCCAGAAAACTTCAACCCAATGCGTTACGGCAATTACCGTAAACGCTCCGAGAGTCGAATGCATGGCGGTGCGAGCGCAGAAGAGGCATGCTTTTCCCACCGCACTGCCGTCGCCCTCATCGCTCTTGCTGCCTTCGCTCGGCGTCTCACGGAACAGCTCGCCCTCCCTTCCCCTTCTCTAGCACAACTTTCAGTCCTCCTCATTCCATTTTCTTAATATCTACCTTCCTTTATGTCCATTCACTCCATCCGTCACCTCTGAAGTCATTTTATTCTACTCTTGCATTTAGTGGAATTATAATTAATTAGCCATTACAAGTAACCCCGATGGTATAAATGATACTAGTATTCTGATTAGTAGGCACTGAAATGGCAGTCCCCTAAATTGTGTGGAACATCTGAGGCAAACTAGATCGGTACCAGAAAAGTGGCAAATAGAGTACCTTAAAATACTATTTTTGTGTTTAGCCCAAAAGTCCAAGCAGGCTAATGTTGTTATATCAAACTACTTCAATCCTTGTATTTGCTCAGGGCAAGTTCAAAACTTTAAATTTGCTCTTTTCAGTGCAAAATGCGTGATCAGCAAAGTTTCCGTGCATGGAGGTTTGGAGGTGACAGCAATCGAATCTAGGTTACCCGATGCTTGGGAAAAAAAAAGGGTGACATGCCAGTCAAATAATCGTTCTCTAAAAGTTAACTCTCTGTATTGCGTGTGCTCAACACGGGTTATGAAGGTAAAGTGGATTGTCAAGGGGGATCCGTTTTGGAACTAAGAACGATTATGGAATGCAAACTTGAACAAAGCATGGCGTGTTAACTTTGAGAGTTACCAAAATCTGTAAACAGGAATCCGGAAGTAGCTTCATCCCTCTCAATTTTGTAACAAACAAGGCTTCAGTCTTACACAAATTATGGACTTGGAAGTTGTGTTTGTTAAAAACAAGCATCCTTGTCAATTTATGTTAAAGAAGATAGTCGAACTCGGGAAATTTATTTCAAATAAAGCAAGAATTGTCTGCGAGCATTTTAGTAATATTTCATCAAAATCCTTCCAAAGGGATCAATGGCAATGTTATCAGAAAACACTCCCATTGTCAATGCGGTGATCTCACCCCTTTTTGGCATCGTAACGAAGATGAAACTTTTGTCGAACTGCCGCAATTGGCTTTGACCACCCCTACACGCTGGCTACAACAAAATGGGTTTCGATTGACTACTATCAAGGGAGCCATTTCAAGTTGTTGTAGACGAGCGGCTGGTCCACCAAAAAACACTACTGATGATCACTCTAGTTGGTTAAGCACACTGAACGAATGCCAAATCGTGGTCTCGGGAAACGCTGCTTCTAATGCAAGCCGCGTCGGCTCCTTACTCTCCCCTTCAAAGCGTATTTTTATTACCGAAAGATATTTGCACCATAAATTAGCCAGCAAATACTGTTGTGAATTACTCAGCCGAAGATCTTCACTTTTGTTCAATGCCATTGATAGAGTTAAATAAATGCAAGAATGGAAGACAAAGTTCGTAGATGGAATAAAATTTTGAAAAAACCATCATGCTGTCAGTAAGACATTACCATTACCGTTTCGTTGAGGTTTAGTGCAAAATAATCTTCAGGCTAGGTATTACCCCAGGAAACTGGAAAGCGTCGTCGAAACATTGGAGAAAGGTCAAAGATTTTAAGTGAACAAATTAGCTAAATAATAAATGATTATTTTTATTAACTGATATCCTTTATTAACTCACCGCCGAAGGCATCATCGTTAAGCGAAATGAGGCTCCTTAGTCGGAAGAGGTGAAGTTAAATGCTATCAGACAACGTGTTAGACAAGTGAATTGTAGGTCTCTCAGGTGTCCAACAAGTGCCACTGGGTGATCGATATGTGGAAAGAATTGTACCTTTATGATAGTGGAAAAGGAGTTCGGTATGGAACTACCGCCCGTGAATAGGAAAATGACTCTTCGTGCGACGACTCCACTGACTGCAAATGAACTAGCGCCAGTCTCCATCATACACAGATCGTACCTGAGAGTACCCTGAGTTAAGTTTGTGGGTGATCCGCTTTCATTTTGTTGTCTCACTTAAAAACGACTTCTTCAAGTTGATTGAACTTAAATCGACTGCTAAATCTACTAAATCCTTAAAAAAAGGCTTGCATTTCAGTGGGAACTCAATCTCCAGAGTCTTCAAGACGCAACTATGGCATACTTCAAAAAGCTGACATTTCAGCTAAGTACACGTCCTCTCGGCCTAGTGGCATTTCACAACTCAGCCTCCACAACGCTGATGTTGACTAGCCCCGTCCCTAACCTTCCCTCCTTCCTCTCCCCAATAGGTTTATGACACTTGGACCATAATGAATGCACATTAAAACGCCGATTATGTTGAGAGAAGTAATACCAAAGAGAAGTGCACGCTTTTGCACACTGTTGACAGATTGAAGTATGGCTGTGACTAATCACTGAAAGCAGAATTTGGTTAGTTATTTACTTAAGTCCACATCATATTCAATATCGGAGGTACAAATTGGGCTTCCCTAGTATAAACTACTCTATTCTGGTCTTTACAAGTAGCAATCTACCGAAAAGTAACAGAGGTTCTTCGGACCTGGTTTTCGCATCAACACATGATTTATCAAACCACTGGAAGGTACAGCAATCGTCTGGAGATACTGGCCCAAGAATCCTACTTACAATTCGCGAGACATCGCATCCGCTAATTCAGCCACCTAGATTCTCACTTCACCCATAGCTATTAGCACAAAGCGATTATTCATGCTCTGGCAGGTAATGCGTAGATAAGGGGCTCATTCATTTGAAAGTCGTCACTTCCAGACATTCGTCTGTCTAAGGAATGGAATAACCATTAGCTCTTTCAAATGGTCCATTCGTTCTAATATTTGGTACTGTTTAATTATCACGTAGAGAAGATTATAATAGCGTTATCGCCGCCAAAGGGAGAATGCTACACCAAATTCCAAGCGGAAATGGGGGTGACAGTGAATCAATCGAGAATGAAATCGACGGCAAGAGAGAGATGATCGGAGGGAAATTGAGAATTAGGGAGTGTAAGACCTCCCTCGGCCTCAGGAAGGAGGGGCGAAAAGGCCGGACGAGCGTTGCGGCCATCTGCCAACACTGCAGCTTCTGGAGGTACAGGAAAGGCATGCGCTACCCGCAAGCATCTCTTCTGTTGATCTGGCGTTGCATACAGTACAGTGTCCAGATTAGCTTTGAATCCAGGAACTATGTTTGTGTAAACACCCTCTGGTAGAGGTATTGCAGCCTCCAGCACCGGACCTGGCGCCTGCCCATCTTTAACTGCTCCTGTCAGATTCTGGTAAGGCTCCGAGTCTGGATTGGTGTTCAAGTCTGCAGCCAAAACTATTGGCAACGGTTCTCTGCAAACCAAAACCCAGCATTTAGCAAGCCTTTAAGATGAAGTGTTTGCGTTAAAATGAATACATTTAGTGCAGCACATTGCCTGATTTATATCTACTAGCCACTTTAACGGGTAACAGATGTTTGCGAATTGCTAGTTACAAAATGTTTGGTGATGATAAATCTGATCTTGCATTTTTACAAATAAAGATCGCACACATGCAATTCCATAATAAGGTAAATTAATCTGCCAAAACAATACTGTTGAAATAGAAGTTAGTAAGAAAGGTACCTTTTCCTATATGGACAACTATAACGGACTAATGCCCTTCGAACACCAGATCATAAAGTATAACGATTGCCTTATTTCATCCAAATAAAAAAAAGAAGCGCTTATGAAGAAGTGCCTCAGAGTGAGTAATTTCAGACCCAAGAAACCTTTTATGGGCAAGGCTCCCCTGATGGACCGATTCTTAGTTTTGCTCACAAACCAGCTTCCTTACCTTCGTTTATTTCAAGTACCCAGCAAAAGCCAGCTGAGCAGATAGTGCTAAATTGTTGGTTATTGTTTCGTTTTGATAAACCTCGGAATTGGTCGAAAGAAATTTGCCACAAGTAGAAATAATTTCATATTGTGCAGCGCAGCAAATGAATGGTAACCAGTGATTTTAGACTCATTACTTATACGTTGGCCCATCATCATCCACCTTGAATACGGCCCAAACATCATTTACTCAAAATGTTGACAAAAGCGTCCCGTTTCCAAAAGCTTGACTCTCGGAAGCTGCCTTCGCTATTTTCTCACAGTAATTTTTATGCACGAAAAGGGCAAATGTACTCACCAATTCTAAAAAGTTCTAGGTCACTGAAAAAGGTATAGAATATGAAGAACCTCTGGCTTTTTAAAAACAATTGACGAATAAAATGTTTGTGCCTAGAATTCACGGTAAAATGAAAGTGTAAGTCCCACTTTTCGGCCAGATTCCGAGCTAGCTGTATGAGGTAACGGCGAAGAATAAGACACTGAATGCTGCGTAGTTTGAGGGCCCGAGGGTGAAAGTAGAGATGGGTACAAGCAAGAAGAAGGCGGTGTCCAGTGTGTCGGCATTCGAGGAGACACACAAGGACACCGTGAGCGCGTGCACGCGCACATAGGTAGAGCGGCACCTCGCCCGATGCCGCTAATGCGTGGTAGGTCCTTGCCAGGTCTGCATACTCGGTCTCCGCGTGTACAATTAAGGAGTCAAGTGCCACCTCCTTCACCAAACGAAATCGCTCACGCCGGAAGAAGATCGCTACTCCCTCTCCCTAAGATGTGTATATAATCATATGGAGGTTGAAAAGTAATCCAATGAGGAGCAAGATTTAACTTCAGAGCTTGTCATTTCTTGCCTTACTGACACATCCATTCAGAATACAAGTGTTCAACAAAATGGCCCAAATTTGGCAGCCATCATAGAGACATACTGTTTTATGTTGCGTATTTTCATGGGCAAACAGAATGTGATTAAGATAAATACGAGCTGTACAAAGCAGTAACTTTCTAGCTATTGCCAACATTTGTTAGTTCGAAAAAGCGGAAGAAGTTTATTTTATCTGCCACTAGAACAAATGAGTAGTTGAAATGACTTATTTACCAAGAAGGGGGAAGAATACTCACAATCCCCTCAACTTGGAATGTCATTGCAGAAGGAGCGCTGCTTTAAGCTTTCCCTTAGAGGAATGAATTGACTAGAAATCGCATCGTCAACTTTCGTAAAAAAAATGGAGCTTATTTCCCTAGCACATTAATAGGCAGCCTAAATGCAATTCCGATCTCAAGCCACAAGGAGTGAGAGCACCTAATCGAGTAAATGAATCTAATGAATGGAAGCTGAAGTGCAAGAAACATTCCCACCTTTCTCGGATGAGAGGTGATGGGCTCCGGTGATGGCAAGGACGACAGTGTGCTTGGGACGTTTATCAAAAGCTTGCTGAGGAAATATCCTTCAAAGTTGCCGGCCTGTTGAAGGAGAAAGGTCAGACGGCGCTGGAAGTGTGTAGTATCCACCTCTTGCAAGCAAAGTATGTCCGCCTTATAGGCGAGCAGTTCGCGATAGATGAGGGGGAAGCGGTAGTTCGGCTCTAGGTAGGCTGGTGGGCAATGGCGAAAGAAGTAGGTGCGAGCGATCTCCGTGCTGCTGTACAAGAAGGCTAGGAGATTGTAGCTGACTAGTCGAAACTCATTCATCCCCTTACTTCGACTTGCGACCTCCTTGAATCTGTGCACACAGACCATTGGACTGAGCTTTTAATCAAAGACAATTCCATCCGTCGCTGAGCACCTCTATAAGGCCTTCTGCTGCTTATGTCAATAGGCATTGAACGATTGGCGAACGATGAAATCCAACCTTTTGTTAGGGATCATCACAGGTACACAAATGGTCGAAATTACTGCCTTAAAGTCATGGATTTAGTAAGCGATTATTTGCCTATTAAATATGCCATTGGTGCCGTTTGAATTGTAACGTGCTTTCGTGCCTGTTTAATTTATTTCTGCCTAAATCAATACGTTTATGACAAAAAACATAAGTGTGCGCTTCTCTACTACGTGAAATGCCGATGAAATGGAACCGGAACATGTGGCAGCTGTAGTACAGCGCATGTGCGCCGACATTAAATACCAAAACAATAGCCTTATCCTCTGGCTTGTTCTGAGGCACATGCAGAGCAAGAGTTAATACACTGTAAGGAACAATGAGCTTTCCAATGCTTTGCATCACATTGCGACGTTTGGAGTCGGGATTATGAAAACTGACCTTTCGCAAATGAGGTTTTGAGGAGGAGCCTCCGTGATGGGTTCTGAGGATGTGACAAATTGGCCAAAAAATGGCAGCGGTTGGGGCGTCATTTTATTGCTGCAGAGAGCAAACGACTTGGGTTCGCCAAACGGTACACCGGGGAGGCCGCGTGCGTCAAAGGGGAGCACCCTCAAGCGGACAAACTGACCAATGTGTTCGGGTCGTGGAATGAACACAAAACCTTCATGTACCATCTCTTCCTCTTTCCCCACAGGATCAGTCGCTGACCTGGGTTTCTTCAGAACATAAAGGCTGATAATTATTGCCTTGATATGAATTTGGGATGAGAAATAAAACGGTTCTGACTGCTATGGCGGTAATAGGTTATTCGGACCTGTACCGTGTCAGGATTATCACTGACTTGGCCCAATTCAAAACTAATTCCTCTCTGACAGAAATACACGAGGTATAACTCAACCTTGTTCCCGTGAAGATTGTTTCAAAATTAATAAGTCATGCGTTTCGAGGCGCAAATCGACCAGCTGAAAGGGCTGGTCATAAAACAGAGACCCTATAATTAAGAATTTGCAAAAGATGAATGCTGGTTATTTTGTTCTGCTTGGAATATATAGTGACATAGGTTAATTTTATTCCGCCACTCGGAGTGCCGAATCGAGGATAATCAGGACGCAAATAGGTAGGAATAGTTACGCACGAGATGCTGCCACATTTCTAAGAAGGCTGCGCCCAACTGAGAACTACATTTTACCAAAAAAGCCCTTCATTTACGTTAAAAGGGTTTTAATTGCAATCATTCCGACCAGTACACTCAGCATTGTCAAACCTAAGAAATTAGTTGAAGTAAAATTTGGAAATACCTACGATTATTAACTAATTATTATGGTCACCAGATTATAAGTACCTTGAGGAGAAGCATATGCGAAGAAAGCTCAAATAAACGTTATTGTTTCGGACACAGCCAATTCAATCAGTGGTTGAACAAGGAGGAGAAGGACCAGAGCACGATACTCGATAATAGGCAAAAGCATCACCTTACACTTGTTAAGAGTACAGAAGTGGATGTGGCTGAATCAAACCCACACACCTGCGCTCAGTCACGTTTGTGAGAGAGCGATACGAGAATGGGCAAAAGAACACGTCTCAGAGCGGTAGATAAGCAAAAAATTGGTCATGTTGTGGATCCGAGTACTGCTGTCGCCACATTCCTTTCATTCAATACACCTTTGGTGACATTCGTGCACGAATCACAGGTTGCGAGGGCTCCAAGTTTACGTCAAATCGACAAGAAAGTGTAGTTCACGACTCAATCGAAAAACTCGCAAAGCACGCGCGTTCATCAACGAAAATGCCAAAGGAGAGAAACGTTTATGAGTTCGCTATTAATCCTCTAGCCAGTTGTATGCATCTTGATTTAATGAACACCAAGAACCAGAACTAAGTCTAATTATTTGAAGGCAACTTCCGCAACAGGCAAAGCATAATCGCCCACAGTTAATTTGTTCAGACTCATGTGAGCTGTGAAAAGGTATGACGTTTTCTAGAAGCACATTATTGGAGAGCGATGCTTCTTAAGCGCGTGGCGATTCTGGTAACACCTTTAAAACGCAATTATAGATAATTCTGTTGATGCAGATTGGAAGACAAGTATAGGTTGTATATTTCAACTCTCATCAAATGGAATAATTCAAACAGTTCAGCACCCTTTGCAACCACAATTTTATTTGATGTTAGGAAGTCGCATCAAGCTGATAATAGACCCTAGATAGTAGGTAGCTTCGTCCTATATCATTCCTCAGCGTGAAGTTAAAACGCAGGAATCGAGATAGGACCTGATGATTCATCCCAAAATTAAAGACCGATTCGATGACCCCATTTACGCACGAAAGCCTACGCACACAGGCACACGACATGTGGACTAACGAGATGTGTTTGTGCGAATCACGGGGCCAAAAGCAATCCCCACGACCACACGAACAAAGTACACACCAGAGCCACTAGCACACCATAGATGAAACCAGATTATTTGGTTCAAACCATGGAATCCCAGGCTGCTTGGGAGTTTACCTTGCGGCAATAATTTATTCAATGGGCATTTATTAAAGTCGCAAAATATTTAGGCATGGCACCAAATGAAAGCAGTGATATCACCAAAGGTTAGGGAAATGGACTATTTCGTAGCGTAGGGATGCGACTATCCCACTGAATTAGGCCTAATTTGAAAGTGGGTCACCTGAAGAACGAGGACAGATCGCCACGCCACAACCTAATTGTCTACATTTAAGGTCGGCATCCGTACAAGTACAGACACAGAAGAATCAGCGCAGACTTTGCTATAATTAAGCGAAAGAAGCATTTTTAGAGCTAATTTGTTCCATTTTGACGTGCGCTTTTAAAATCCACCTTTAAAGTGGGCGATGAAAATCACTGAGAAGCAAGAGTATGATGACATGGAATCCAAACGCGTTTTGGCAATTCTGATACTCGAAGAAGAGCAATGTCCACATAATAAGTGAAATTCGTTAGTGTATTTGAGCAGTCACGGACCAGAGTATTGTGTGCCATGAAGGTGGAAGACTGTCTTAAATCAAAGGCGCACTTGCTTGAGTGATGGAAGTAAATGCAAAGCGATGTGACCACAGTCAGTAATCCACCAAGATTATGCGAACGCAGGACACAGTCTGAGAGTGTTGCATCAGTCAAACAGTAGGAGCCTGCCAGATACAGCAACTTCCTTGCAAGGAGCATTGCTTTCACTTGAGAGACAACGTATGGGCAGAAAATTTTTTCACAGAAAATCATGTTCGTAGTGGAAGTTGGTGAATATTTTACACTGAATCAGGTAGCATCAGAGGACCGTGGCTAGCAAAAAATATATTGCAAATATCAATTTACTAAATACGTGAACACAAGTACTGCGGTTATTTCGAAGAGCTAAATCATCCTCTCTGGTGCAAATAACTGCAGACGGCAATACAAAAGGCACTTTAGATTGGTTCTGCAGAGATGCACAGCGTATATAGAAGAAGAGTGATAGTAATTAATTTCTGCGCGTCATTAACCGCAGCAAACAATAAATTCAAAAAAAAAAAGATAAAAAGTGAACAACACAAAAAGGATGTCCATCTGTGCTGAATAAATGTGACAAACACTTAAGGTTAGATTAAGAGCCATCTCATATCCATGAGTGAAATTATTCGAGCCTCTTACAAGTCAAGAAAACGCATGAAGTTCTTACCCGGATTTTAAAAAATGCAAATAACTGTTTGTTCATAAATGTACTACTAATAAGTAGCACCAGTTAACCAAATTGGACAACCTCATGCACCTTATGTCCTTAAAACTACACCACTATTACCCAATTACTAGTTGGCGTAAGAGTGATTGAGTCTAAAAGAGGAACTCACCGCAGAGACAAACCACTCGAATCTCGACTTTCCTAAATCTAAGTTTTCCCCTGCTATTGCAGGACAGGCAGGGCACCCCACAAACAGAAGCAAATCCAACTTCATAGTTTCCACACTGGCAGGATTGACCCGGACGTCGAACGCGACAACTTTCAGAGTGTCCGCCTCAATAAACAACTGCAGTTGCATAGGTTGAGGGGTGGAGAAGATAGCGCCAAGTGTATCAGATGCCTTCCATCGATCATCATCCAATCTGACATCGATTACACGTAGACATACACTGGGATTGCCTGCTTTGACATTTTTATGAGGTGGATCGAAGTATTTGTTCATGTTCTCCATGAGACGCGATGCAAAAATGGAGAATTCCTCGGTGGCAGAGCGATTCAGAGAGAATGTGCGACCTGGTTTGGTGCCCAGACCAAGGACAAGTTTGGGGAAGAAAGGCAATTGGAACTCAAAGCGATTAATACCATCACGCGGTGTCAAGACGAAGAGGCACGATGGATGATCCAATTTAACGTAATTGTGACTCATTTTCCTAATCAAAATGAGTCTTAGTCGCGGAGGGACGCAAAAACAAATTGTCTGAAGATATAAAAGGACAAATTGACTTCATCAGATGTACTTCGAACATGAAGACTGTGTGCGTGATTCCACATAACTGCAAAATGCTTCATTGTTATTAAATCTTGCAGTGGATTGATCCGTGAAAGTAAATTGGATGATTGCAAAGTACTTAAGGCTTCTATTTGAGCTGCCTAATAGAGTGCGCGCACAAATTTCAGAACACGACATTAAAATTAAGGAGATCCAAGACTTCAGGAGATGCAAGAAAGCTCTCGTCTATTACTCCAAGAAAGTCTAGCCAGTTAGGATAGCAGCCAAATTTAGACAATTTTTAAGAAAAAAACGACACAGGCAAAAGCATTTGGAAAACGAGGACGGAGATGTTAGCACTAATTCCATTAGCAGAAAGTGAGACGCAAATTCACTCGACGTGTAAATAAGAAAGTCTTTGGATGAGTGCAGAGAAAGAAAGCAACCCTGTGTAGAGTGCCTTTTGTCAGTACTCATGGGCTCCAACCGCTTCTTTATTGGAGCCATACTGAGGCACAAGCTGATGCAAATGTGGTGTAATGAATTGCAAGAGCAGATTAAAGATGAGTAAATGACCATTATCTCGTAAAGAAACTTGGCAGCTTAACTTCTGGACGAACAAACACGCACGTGCATGTCGCGGAGCCTCTGTAATTTGGTAATGGTCAGACACAAAATAATAAAATGCCATCGATGTGCCATAAAACACAAGCCGTTCCTGATGACTCACCTCAGGAGCGTGACCTCAGAAGCGAACCTAAGGCTAGAACACTTCTCAATCGCTAATATGCATATTCGAAGAAGGGATGAACACTATGGAAGTTGTAAATCACTTTAAGTGTCGAAGGGATAGTAAATCAATTCAAGTGCAGATAAAACATTTGTTAGGCATCAATGCTCCAAAAAAGAGGTTCATAAATTTACTTGGACACGATACAGTACCTAAGTGCATCATCAACAGCTTTATGAATTTGAGATATCCTTCAATCATCAGCACCAAATTACTGAGTTCAGCGGTTATACTCTGTCCAAGTCCTGAAAAGATAGATGATTCAGTGGTGTTAGTTTAAGAGCGAATTCTTCATTCGAGGTAGAGCAAAGACGTCAGCAATACTTTAAAAACGAAAAAGATGCATTCACCACATTAGCAATGGTCAGGATAGATGAGAATCATACAACCATTCTGGAGAGGTAGTAAATCATCAAAAGGGGAAGCGACGATTACGAGACACCCGCTAATTGTTTGCCTCCTTTTCCTTCCCACCCAAATCACATCGGATTATCCCTCGTCGCCCATTCGTTTCGTCCAGCTGCTTGCTAAATCCACAGGCGTATACAGATTCTTAGTGTAGCGGACTTAGCTGCGATTGTAATTGCAAAAAAAGTATGCTACTTATGAACGTGGATTCCAAAACTTTCGGAAAATGGCACTCAAGATAAAATTTGTGAATACAAAGAAGAAAATGCAGTTCCACAATATTTCACGCCCTAGAACCATTAAGATGCCGGACGGCGAGGTGGATAAAACGGGCAGCCAGAGCCACAGTAAAATTGCCCTCTCATTCAATATCAAGCTGCTTATTGGAAGTCCGGGATGAGACTTCCGAAACAAAGGAAACACAGTAATAACGGGCATTCCCAAAAATGTAAGAGAGCACTAGCAACTAACTTGAAGGGCATCAAAGCCACAGAAATGCAATAGGCTAGCAGAGCACATTTAATACATGGTTTGCAATAATGTCACAGTAAGCCAGTCGCTAAAGTGAGCACAAAAAACGGTGAATTACACTAACTGTTAATCATTCAAGCCAAAAGAGGTTCCAAGACCTGGATGCAAGGAAAACTATGTTGAAAAGAAATAAACACATCATATTATAGGAATATACATATATGTACGAGGGAGAGAGTTGAAGATAACATTAGACGATTGTGGACAAACAGAAACAGCGATTCCTATACTTCATTGAGATCAAAAACAACATAAAGGCTTTATAAGGGTCGCTGAACCGTAGGGAGTAGGAGAGGAGTGTGAGAAACGTGGAAGAGGCGAAGTGCTAGTGAGGTGACTGTTTTGACGAAACGATGGGGGCAGCCTGGGTTGGCGGCGGTGGGCACTCTTGATGGGGCTGTGTTGACACGATGACCACACGACGTGGATGACCCAAAACTTGAGTCGGCGACGCTATATTGGACGTCGGAGTGACAGAAATGGGAACAGTAGAAGTGGCGGAAGAACTGACCACTTCCACATTGCTGCCTACCACCACGTGATGGTGGTGCTGTTGTTGATCCAGTGGTGGCCGGGACGTCCGCGCCTTCAAAACGGCCGTATCAAGTGCCGAGAACGTTGTTGACGCCGCTGACGTTCCTGAAGAAGACGACGACGTAGAGACCACGACAATAGGTCTCCCGCCGCTAGAAGTAGAAAGGGAGTTTGAAAGACGTATACGCTGTGGAACGACGCCTCGCGACGCAGAGGAAACAGTATTTGAAGAATCCAAGGTGATGAGGCGCGTCATCGGCGGTGTACTTGTCGTCACAACGGTGGTCAAGGCCACTGGTGGTTTGGCGGCGATGGTGTCAGAGGATACCACCGACTGTTGCTGTAGTTGCAATGCTGCATAGCTTAGTTGGGCCAGCCCCGAGGATGGAATCCCCGTAGAAGGCTGCAGGTCAAAAAAGTAGTGGAGGGTTATGCAAAAATAGCTAAATCATCTTTCCAATCAAAATAAAACCATGTTATTCGGGATGAGTACGTTACTTAAAAAACATATATCATCTCCTGACAACCATAAGTGAACATCAATGTTTCTACTTTCCCAAAGTGAGTTTGGTGGACGAATTCAATTAAACACATAAAGTGGGACGTAATCATTGTAAGTAACCTTCATCCCTTTGAGATGGCAAGTACAAAGTGCATAATCAAAAAAATAAAGCAACCTTCAAGCATCAAATATGCCACACATCCTAAGAAAAATAGGCATGCGACAGTATTCAGAGATACTTTCGTTAAGTCAAAATACGATAATTGAAGCGGGTTGCGTAATTAGTAAATGAGTTAGTCAAAATATAATTAAACCATGAAAACAAGTTGAGACCGCACGACATTCCGGACCCAAATGGCACCAAAAATCAAAAGTAGACAAACAAAAAAGAACAGTGACAAAATCGTAGGACTTGGATAAAAGACAAATCTACCGGATCATCTGGAGATGACGCATTACTGCTTGTAGAAGGTTGATGTTGTGAAATTACACGTAGAGGAAACGAAAAACCTGTCGAGCTGTTGCAGCTGCTGCCAGTACTACCACAATTGAGAGCGTGAGCTGCAGTAGTGGGGGTGGAATTGCCCGTAGAAGACGCAGTAGGAGACGATGAAGTAACGGGCAAAGTGGACGGAGGCGGTGGAGCATTGAATGACCCTGAAACGCTTGCCTGATTGAGAGATGCTCCAGACTGTGCAACGGCTGCTGCCTGGGCCAGTGCGTACTCATCGTTCTCCAATCGTTGATAATTTCTATAAAGATCTTGAACCTTCCAAGGATAAAAAGCCAATTTGGCATTGTAAGTTCTATGCAAAAGTACTTTTCAAGACAATTTGAATAAAAAATCGTATCAACAGCAAGCGACATACCTGACGTTCAAGAATCTCATTCTGCCTCGTTAACTCATCCACGCAACACGAGTGTTCACGATTCGACTTTGTTAGTGTTTCAATATACTCGGCAGCACGCTGAAGCGTTACAGCCCTCGATGCCTTAGAGCCACGCAAACTTGGAATGGCTTCACGCAGATCGCAGTAGCTACCCTTAATGCTTGCGCGTCTCTTCCGCTCCAAATGGTTGTGATGATCGCGGCTACAAGAGAACGCATTATTTTATGAATAAAATCAAGAATCAGCAAAGTTGTTGAGAGTTAAATGATACACCGAATAAAACAGACCGATTATCGTCAGAGTGGTCAGGCATGACTCTGTCACTAGCATTTCGGTATCGGCGAAAGTCTGTTCTGTGACGGCCATTTCCACCGACACTGACTTTTCCTCCATGATGATACGAGGATCGAGGTGCAAAGCCATCAGCACGTCTATCTCCGCCACTACTTGGACCTTCGCCACTAACTGTAGCGCCGCCGCCATCTATATCACCATCATAGTCGCTCAAACAGTCGTATCCGTCATCATCATCCATATCATCGTCATCTCCCGCATAATCACCTTCATCGTAGGATTTTGATGCGGAAGCGTAGTGCGACATTTTGGCTTAAGAAAAATTGGAATCAAAAACACACTGACATATGATCTGAAAAAGGAGATGAACAACAATGAACAGCAAATTAACGCAACCATGAACAAGCGTACGGATAAAGGACTTCGAATCTCGTGCTAAGCAGAGATAATATGAGGCAAAAATCTTGGATGAATGAAGGTTCGCTTTATAAAGGAGCCTTGGCTGAACTATTCATATTTAATTTTTATTAAAGGAATAGGCATTTGCACATACCGAGAAAGTGAAGATAGGAGGGGTGTGTGACAAGTATTCAGAGGCAAGACAAAGTCGGAACAGTTTTGATAGCGATTAGTAATGACTACACTGAAAGATGTGCCGGGAAACATACAGAGTCACCTACGAACGGCAAAACATACGTGTCCAGGGCAAAAGTACACACAGCGTTTAAGCCGCGTGACTACAACCGCTAATATTCCATTGGCTCAAATAAGACCACACGCCATATAAGCTTAAAAGAAGCTGCTTTTCCGAACTACAAGACTAAATAGTAGTACCTAAGCTATAAGTTCGGAGTCTTTGTTTATGTAAAATCGCATTAATCCATTTTTAGCAAAAATAACCTTTGGTGTTTCCGTGACTCAACAAAACTCGACAATGTGCACCTCTGCTGCAGGTTTTAAAATAATTTCGCTGACTCGCATACCACTTTAGCATGATTTGGTGCTGCTAAAAACATATTTTTTGCACCATTATGCTAATATGACAAAAGCTATGAGTTGTGAAAGTTTCGACTTCGATTTTGCCAAGGAGGATTTTCAATTCGATGAAGCGACCAAAGATTTGTGGGTTACCGAATTATAAGTGTTTGCCATTAGGCCTTTGAAGAGAGTTAGTTTGTAATACTTTGTTTGTGTGACCACATGAGGTTTGGCGGTCACTTTATGATTTGTCGGCCGCTTGTGCACGAGAGTTGGCCTTTGGGCCGTTCTCAGGTCCGTTTAACCTGTTGTTTTCAGAATGCATGTATCCAGCTGCACTTACTGACTTCTTATTACCGGCTAGGAAGTTTCGGTGCTTTACATAGCTGACGAAGTTTTATTAGGTATAACTTACGGACAGAAAGGGGGTCGGTCAGGGTGGACGAGACGCGAAGCAAATGTCACCGTTCCGCTTACCCTTCAGACTCCTCACGAATTGGACTCGTGTTCGAAGTCATTTCGTGACTTAAACGCACTGGTATATAGTACAACAGGCTCCGGTTATTTGACGTAGATGAACGAGGCGATCCGAGCATGTAAGCTCGACATTGCTGCAAATTTAGTATTCAGTGCTTTCTTTATGGGCGAGAGAAAATATAATAACCAAATGAGTATGCGTACTTAGTAGAAGGGAAATGTTGGTACTCTTGGCAGAGTTCAGAGACCAGCAAACCCTACCAAGAATGAATGGCTACCTCAGTTGCCTTGATCGCTATTGGCATTTAAACGAAATACGATAAGATTCCAGTCGCTGTAGTGCATATTAATTTGCTTGAGATGTGACTTGTAGGTGGTAGGCGGGAGTTTTTGTTTCGAGACTGTGCGTAGGGAGATCGACGTGTACTTAGAGTAGAGATTAGCTCTCCTTACACCCCTCTGCACGCTATTCCCTAAATTGTGCATTCTTGGCTGTTAAGGGGCTGGTCAAGTAGGAGTACGACGAGTGGAGCTGAGGCCAAGTTTGCCGTAGCAAAGCTTCATGCGGCGCCACACCTCAAATTGAACTCTGGATCGCCATTATGCCGCATTATTGTGCTTATAACCTCCTAGCTATGCCACATCTCTGTAACCCGTGTTTCATCCCTTACTCTGGCCTGCTGCGACATGATGAACGGCGGGTTTATGAGATCGAGCTAGGCTTTGTACCGATGTCACGAGTTAATGGCACAATGTTTCCCTTTACTGCAAAATTTCATGCAACTATTGGTGATGCAAAATTTGGTCATATTAATCTTTTACACTACTGGCGGAGTTAGCAATGTAATGACCATCTGATCCTAACGTTCGAAGCAAGTCGCATCTTTCGTTAGCCGCACCGGCTTAATTCAAGCAAAGCGCGCATGTCTCAGCCCCCATTTGCGTTCTTCAAAATCCTCGCACAAAATTTGAAGCGTGCAAATGCAGAACTAGAACAGCTGCGCTTAAACGGTTCCTTTCTCGGTTACATCGTTTGTCATAAAGTGAAGTGATCCCTTTAAAATCCGCACAATTCACTGGGCAGTGCTACTTTACAGCAACAGAAAATCTAAGTTAGTCAAGGCAATTTTGCTTAATTGACACCTAAAGTAAAGCTTCCGCAACCTTGTTCGTAACCTCGCAACAACACTGACTCGAAGTGGATGCATTGAAAACAGCAGTCTTGCAGAAACTCGACTGCCTATTTACCACGCCTGCCCACCAAAATAATTGATCGAGACGTACGCTGCATCCAAGTATGACTACAACCTCGGACCAACAACGCTCGCCAGAAAAAGAACATCTGCCGAAGAGCTTTCGCCGGTGGCACAAAAACCTGACAAATTCTTAACAGAGCCCGATTCTTGCTAATTTCCTTCAAAACGGTGATTCTAGACCTTTTTAGATACTTCACTGGACCCCTGAGATCAAAAACTGATGGAATTGGAGTGGTCTTGAAAGATATTCTGTGCGATTTACGGTCCCTTCGAACTCCATTCGCAAATCAATATTCAACTGCGGCGCTGGTAATGAATGTCCACACTCCGACATAAGTCGAAGTACTCAATTGCTTTACTCTAAAGATCAGCAATTTTTCTGTTGTCAAGACTTGACAAAAAATCTACTAATTCTTTCAACTCCAGTAGATCAGATAGCTTCGAGAGTAGCAGTGGCAGTAAGACTAGAAGCCTTTTAGCTCGTAACAACAACTATCAGGAAACTGCCCTCTGTATCCGCCAATATGATCGTAGTGAGAGATTAACTTCCTCAGCAGGGCGCGAGTAAGAGAAACGCTCCTAACGAATGTGACAACACCAAAGCTAAGAACAGTATTTTACACAATCCTCCTGTTCAAAAAATAAGTTGCAATAAAACTGGTTACTTCAAGCCCAAACCCCTAATGCTCGTAAATTTCTGATGAACGTTAGTTTTACGCGATTGGTCCTTGTCGTAAATGTCCAAGAGTGGACTATGCATACCTTGTCCTATTAATTAAATGTAACCAGTTCACAGTAGTGAAGAATTGCATTACCTTGGTAGTGTAGGCGTCTCCCGCGGCACAACTTCCTTCCATATATCTTGCTTCTGTTTAAAATAGAGCAGTGAAAGCCAGTATGGCAATGGAGATAAAATCACAGGCCCAGAATACCTCACATGTATGGTGCAAAATGCCACTGAAAATAGGCACTATATTGCGTTGTGCAACCAGACAATTTAAAAAAACTGGTTGAGGTAAGAAACGAGGCAATCCTAGAAGAAATGGGTCAGCACACACATGGAAAGAGAACTACTAAGGGGCTTTAATCTCGCGGGTAAGATATTGGAACAATCTTTTGGCATATCACCTCCGCTAGCTGCTTGCTTGAAGCTGCCACGCAGTGACGAGCCATCAAATCCACTGGACCACCTAAAAAAGGTGCCGTATCGTGAGCATTTCGTATGCTGTCAAAATAGATGTTTAAAACGATTTCAGCATTGTGCGTTTTTTGGCAAGATGTTCATTTTTTGATAGCTTAGGAGCGCATAAATGGCACATTGGGTTCAATTTACCACTACACCTCACCTGAAATTGGAACCAAATAAATGGGGTTTTCTTGGTTGAATAATCGTCCAAGCATTTATGCAATTTACATAAGATAACGGATAGAGCTATGGAACATTCAACAAATTAAGTGACCTGGAGTTGGCGATTTTATAAGATGCAGATATGAATGTGCGGTCATGACAATTTGAAGTTGCATGATATAACGATGCACTGAGAGTTCCCAAAACAACTCAGGTATTTACGGCTTTGAGTTGGATCGGAATGGTAGTTTGAAGTGTCCTAATAAAAGTCGAATGGGTGAGACGCCAGCAGGACAGTAATGATATTAGTGAGAGCGGAGTTAGACACAGTTGACTGTGTCCAAGATCAGCGGCGTGATTCAAAGAAAAAACTTACCAAGATGAATTCAATGATTGCGATCTTATCCACTCAACAATCTGCCTTATTTACTTAAATACAAGTACACAGCGACAGAATTAATGGTTGGCTATGTAAATTGCATAAGTATGAGGTGAAATGAGGTGTGAGTGGGGTAGCAAGTGTGGTCGCCATGCTTACCATCGACGTTACAGCAATAGCCGCCCGCCTCAGTGACGATGAGGCTGGCGGCAGCATAGTCCCAGCAATGGATGCCAAATTCGAAGAAGACATCACCCTGACCTGCAGCCACTTGACACATGTGCAACGCCGCCGAACCCATTGTACGCACCCTGTGAGTTAAATAAGTAGGATCAGTTGATGGACTGCGCACCATGTTCCATTCAGGAGTAGCGCTGAGGCAGTACAACAGTAAATTGAATGTTCATGTGATAAATAAAAATCCTCAAGGAGAGAACCAAAAAGAGGGCATAGAAACAATGTCAGAATGACTAAAATTTGTCGTCCAAAGGTATTTTTTCCTCGTTGATTTTTGGTGAACCCTTTCTACTCGAAGATGCAGAGTAAAGCCAACTGAAACTTCCCAAACATCGGCTAGACTTATAGGTGTGAATCCCGTAAATCATAAGGCAAAAAAATGACTAATTCTCACAGACCTCGTAAATTAGTTTATTGTGGCGTGTTTATAATCGGACAAAGAATATCAAGAGTGGTCCATGGGGCAGTCTTAACCACCTGATGAGTGGTATGAATAAACTGTATCAAATGAGGTGGTGAGTTGAAACAGCCAGAACTCTAATATGAAGTGACAGGAGCAAGATGTCTACACTCCTAATACCATAATATGACCCACTGAACGCATCACCGAAATTGGACCTAAGACAGTTGATTAAAAGTTCTAATAGCAATTATGAACTCAGTGCTGCATGTATAACATACCAGTGCTACAAGCTGCCATCAAAAGGGCACATGATTGTGGTAGATGTAGGTCATACACTTTAAAACCCATTTGCGCAAGTCATGGGTTACAGGGCAGACTGCTATCGGTCAACATTGCAGTTGAGATAAATGCGGCGATAAGGCAGCAAAGGGAAACATAAGTACCAGAAGATAATGTCGACATAGCAAGTGCAATGTTAAGGGAAGAAAGAACATAGATTGAAAAAAAAAGCATTTTGTATATCGATGGAATCGATCAGATTATCTAAGGCGACAATTAATCAGTGCTTCATAAGCAATGATGATTACTCATGATGGCGAAGCGGCTCACAATAATACCGAGTGTCCTGTCGATATCAGCTACGGTACATTAACTATGTATGTTCGTAATCTGAATAAAGCTGTCAAATGGTGACCATTTCATTTCACAAGGCAAATATAACTTCCTCACGAAACACAAAATGCAACCCTTTTTGAGATGCAAATACAGTCCAATTAGAATTGCAAGAAATACAGTTATAAGGCCACAAAAGGCGTCCAAATGATGTACCACCTAGACGTAAACAATGAACCAAACTCTGACGGAGTTAATTATCTGTTTACGCAGCTAAGCGTGCGTAACGCGTGTTAAACAGTTGAAATTGACGGGTAGTACACCCGTCTCACTACACAAAACCTAAATGCATAGAATGATACTAGACAATGATAAAAGGCCAGTCTTAAGCTAATATAAGGAAATTGCCAAAGGGAGAGGTCTGTGAACAGTCAAGAGATACTGCACAAATATAACACTTGATTGTAGGTAAACAGGGTTGTGGCCCACAAAAAAGTAGAATAACGGTTATGAAGAATATCTCCATTAAGATCCTAACAGAGATCTAACAAATGTTCGCAAATTGAAAGCCATGGAGGACAAAAATGTTGCGCATGCACTAACTGAAAACAGCTCAAAAGTGAGAATCCATTAACACGAACCCGCGAGCTTCAGATATAAGGCGACGAATATTTGCAGCCTTGGTATCTAAGTTTGAGGCATTCCTATCACCTCCCCAATCGGTGAGTATGAGAGCACTGTGCAACTCTGATGTGAGAATACATAGAGAAAAAGGATTGGAAGTTACCGGTACATTGAGAAACACATAATTCTCGACCATTCATAAATGCACCTTTGCCTCGTTCTGCATAAAACATTTGGTCGCATATTGGGTTATAGACAACCGCGAACTGGGCCTAAGAAGACAAATAAGAGCAGGAAGTGAACTTGCCTGCTTTTCCTTATAGAATCCAATGCATACGGCACAAAAAGGGAACCTGAGACCGAATGAGGAAAACGAGAGACTCACTTGCTAACGAAATTGGAAGTCCCGTCAATCGGATCAACAATCCAAGTCGGGTCTGAGGTCAAAATGGACCGGCCCGAGGTGCTTTCTTCTGCTATAATTCTAGGAAAACTCAACAATATTCAAGTTTTACTTATGATCGGGATACGTTTCGAGAATTCGAGACTTCACCAAGTCCTCAACTTGTTTGTCAGTATCCGTAACGAGGTCCGCGAAGGAGACCTTTTCGTGATAATGTGGTGGCTGGTCAAAGGCACTAACAATTAGCTTTTTCAAGTAAAAAAAGCGCTGGGATTACAGATCCAGCCTCCTTAGCAATGTCTTTAGCGAAATCTAACATGATTCCACGCCAGCCCAAAACGCCAAGCTATGAAATGAAGCGTAGCATTCTAAAGTGCCAGAAAATTAACGACCAATGAAAAGAGGAGCTAGACTGAACCAAGGTTACAATTATTATTTCAAATTTGAAAAATAGTGATACTATCAATTCGAAGGGCACTACAAATAAGTCCACTTCAGTTATATAACTTTCTAAGTAGCGTTACTGGCTTTTGGATAACAAGTAATTAGTGATTAAAATTTGCGTTCTGCAAAAAGTGATACTATTTTAGCATTAATATGAGTATTTTAGAATCGGTGTACTGGGTTGTTCTGTAGAGACCTCAAAATCAAAATGACTCTTCCTTCCAAATCTTACAACCAAATTATAACAGGTCAAAACGTATGGTTTCTCACTTTCCATTGCATTTGTATTCCCATAACTTCCCCACAGCAGCCCTCGAGGCTTCCCATTGTGAAGAACGCGACCTTAAGGTAGGCCTAATGCACGTATTTCTGGAGGATGAGAAGGGTGTGTGTAATAAAGACTTATGTGTTTAAGTTTGCCTTTATAGGGGAAAGGTTGATAAAGTAGTGGTAACACGAACCCATTTTGTGAGGAGCGTGAAGAAGCTTCTCAGGGTGACATCAGCATTCGCCTCAATGCCTTGGGTAGCTTTCCCAGAAATCCTCTCCGGAAGTTCGAGGTTCAGGAGCTTAAATGTAGGCAGGCGGATCATAGAGGTTAACCTTTGCCTTTTCGAGTTTCTGCACATTCAGAAAAAGCTGGACGATTGTCAAAGTCTCCACCTGTAATGCTTTGTGTGTATGATAATACCTGACGTTTGGCGGTCAATTTAGTGCTCACGCCAAGTTGATTTGTCCTCTTCGGAATGCATGTTGCCAACTTCGCTTACTACCTTCTTCCAATTGATGGACAAATTCTCGGGATTTCTCAAGAAAATTTTGTCCTTTAGGTTTTCATTGAACATGCAGAGGAGTCACAAGCTAAGACGAGACAATCTATGCGTGGGCGAATGTTCATAGCTGTCTCTTGTCACTGACATCCTGGACACATTAGCAGCCCCTGATCTTTCTCGTCACCGACAATGTAACATACGCCTAAGCATTATGACGTCTTCTTTGTACAGGGAAGTAAAATTAAATCCGCAAATGCGAAGTAGACTACTTGCTTAAATTGAGCTTTGTGTAAGGAGGAAACAAATTAAATTCGATCGAGTAATCCTGTTTCCCAGTGAACTAGCTCAGATGCCCAAGGTGTTCTTTTATCCTTTCTGATTGCTTCTATCTCGCAATGCTTGACAAATCAGCATCAAAATATCCTTGTAGCGTTTCGAGACCTCCTACTTGGTAAATAGGCACTAAATTTGGCTAAATGCGCGTTAACATAGATGGTAAGAGGGACTTTGGCTTTGACATAGCCTGAAGACAATATTTCGCTTGCAAGAGCAAGATGAATGCTCATTGTCGCTGTCAGACATAAGGTGGTCGCATAAACAAAGTATTACAACCCTTTTATAAGGAAACTGCATAAAACTTTTCTACAACAAAAAATTGTAAGTACTAGATTCTCTTTAATAACCGTTAGCGAAAATTACAACGTAACTACTTTTTAAGGTTACTTTTCCGAGCTACTTAAACTGTACTCTTGCCATTTATCGATGCCTCATGTTTCTCTGCCTAACCCTCTTTGCGCGCTCGCGCGTTAGTTGTATCTTCTTTTCGGCTGCCCTTTCTCGTGCGTGGGTTTGGTAGCTGCTGCATGGTTCGTAGGATGCTTTAAGTGCCTGCCGCTTGTGCAGTTATTTGTCTGTCGAACGTAGTCTGCGTTTTGTCTTCAGGTAGTCGTTGTCCATACTTTCGAAACGCTTTCTGCGGTTTTGTCACCAAATCGCTCTATTGGCGTCGCTATAGCTGTGTACGAATGTAATCTTTTAGGTGCTAGTCATTTGTAACTGCACGTTGTTCATGTATTTAATCTCATTGCCTTCCTTATTTTAGTGAATCAATGTATTTGTGATCAAAAGGCTTCTTTTCTTCATTTTCTTTGGACTGTCAAATTTTAATCATGGCAATTCTTGGCTACCAACTGGTCTCCACTTTGATTGGCATCAGTTTACTTACTAAGCTCAGTGCTCATTTTTCGTTTACTCGAGTATTTGTGTATGGCGGCATATATCGCAGTCTTTTGCCAACTAATAAGGAAATTTTGGAAAACGCAGGACTCACGAAGATTAGGTCAAAAGGAAGACGAAACAATGGCGCTTGTGTGGGTGGTAATTGCGATGGTCGTAGTGACCCTATTACCTTCCATTTCCCTCGTTCAACTCCTTTCAAACTTCGGAGGGCTGAGGTTCAATGTCACGAAATCTCTATTCTGCCATTCTATACAGATCTTGTGTGGCTTGTTGATTTCTCTCTATGTGCGTTGTTCGTCCTTTTCATTAACGATTTTGCCTCCTTTTTCCGATACATTCTGCCTCCTACTTCATCAGCCAATAAGACCACCTCATTTTTTTTATCTGTTCATGGATTTTTCACCCCTAGTACCGTCAATTTGAACCTTGTATGGAGTCTTTTTATTGTCTGGTTTGCGATGGGTTCCCTTTACTCCGTTCTTTGTGTCTATCTTGGTCGTGGTGAGAACAGGGCAAAGGTGAATGAAAGAAATGTCAGTTCTTCTGAGTGGCCTCTTCTTATGGTTACTGGATTCTCCTCATTTATTGCTGCAATGTTGTGTCTTTCTCTTGACGCTAGCTTTCTGGACTTACGCCTATTGCCAGCCTACGGCAATTTGACCTTTTCATTTTCACCAAAAACCTCAAATGTCTCGGCAATTAGTTGGGGCATGTTTCAGGCCTGTCTCGCATCTTACGCCGCTGTAGTTGGAATATTGTTCGTTTTTCCCAGCCTCCAATATGGACGCATTTATGTTCAAACACTGCGGTGAGTTTGCCTTCATCTGTATCACTAAATGCCTCATTTTGTAAGTTTGGTTTATTTTCGCTTATTAAAGGGACCCCAATTCTTCGTGGTTGATACGCGTTCTCTTTAATCTCAATCTCATCGCACCCCAGTTGACTCTTCTCCTTTGGGTTGTGCCGCTGACAGCTCGATTGCCCGCCCTGCTGCTACAGCACGCAGGAACTGCTCTGGGTGGAGCCCAAATGAGTACTACTTTGCTTTCCGTTATTGTACCCTGTGCTCGCGCTTTCTCCTCCGAACGGATCTGCAGCTTGCGTCTCCTCTTCACTCTCTTCACCGTTATTCTCCGTATCGCAATGACAAAGAGACACATGCAGGTAGAAAAGCCGATGCAATTTAGTGACCTCAATCGAAACTTTTGAATACTATTCTTGTGTACATCGGATTAATCACTAGGCTTTCCTAGACACTGCGCAAACGCATCTTGATCGTCTAAATCGCGAGCCAGGTCGCATTACTAACCGCGAAGTGCAGCGCATCGTGGCCAGCGTCTTCCATTGCTTCAATTTCGCCGCTCTCCAATACCTCGCGCCCTCCATACTTCTTGCTGGTCTTGCTTTTTCCTACAAGGCCTCTACTGGTACGGGGTGGCTTCCCCTGGCCCCACAGATCACTGTGGCTCCCTCATCGCCTACTTCATTGATGTCGGCATTAGAGGCTTTCGCAGGGCAGGACTGGGATTTGGTCTTTACGGCACCCTGGTTTTCTGCCCTCCAACACACTCGTGAGGTCTTCGGAGAGCTATGGGAGTCGTTGCGATGCCAGGCTGGTTATGTTTGTCAGGGAGTTCTCGGATTTACCCTTTTTTGGTGCCTTGCCGCGTGGCAGGCCGTTGCAGTTACCGGTGTAGCCTATCACCGCTTTGTAGATTAGCTCCTCTGCCATTCTCACACATGATTACCTAAGCATAGTTTGTACCACTTATAATAAATGGACTCCCGCTTTTCACTGCCTCCTTCAAATCACCTTCCTGTTGCATAATCTTCAAGTGACTCAGCCACCTATGAGCGTTGTCGAGATTCGAGAACTCTTCCGTTGTGAAGCGTAGAACTGTTGCGAAAACCCACCTTCCAATTGTAGCGGTTGCGACCCCTCTAACTCGGTACACCTTATCGCAGAGGTTACTAAGACTACTCGGATGTCATTCCGGATACCAGGCAGTCACTGGTGCACAGATCTTGTTGATGCAAGTGGCTTGCCTTTGCCAATTTTTCTAGGTGTCGAGCTGACCTAAATTTTGACCTTTTAGCTAATAGTGCTTTCTACCCTATCAATAAAAATTAATCATGTTAGTACGGAGCAACACTTACTTAAGCCACCACCGACAGCGACCGATATTTCTAATGCAAAGAGTTTCCGAAAGCTCCAAATTAGTTTAGTACTATCTAGTATAGAGGTTTGCGGAAATGTTTTTCTATATCTGGTTGCATTGGTGTCGCAGGTGTGGGTGCAGGTATACACTTCGCATTTTGCAAAATTTATCCGTCCTTAATCATTGACCTTTCCCGACAATGAGGACTCAACGTTGAAACCTCGACATAAAAATAATTTATTTAAAAATATGGCTGATCTCAAAATGCAGCGATAGAAGACGTCCGTCAAATCCGAACTCACTAAAACCTGGGTGCCCTGAAAGAAGCATAGAAATGTCAGGGAAAGGACTATGAGAAATCGTCATCGGAAGGCTGATGAACGTGGGTTGATAACGAATGCACGGAGGTGCAGCATTTACATATACTGAGGAAATTCTTACGGAGCGGAAGAACGGCAGGAAGGGAATGCCTTCAACGCACAATAAGGCTTCGGATGTGAGCGGGGATTCGAGCATTAACTCGAAAAATTTTGTCACGTCGAAGTCTAAGAGTCTGGCCATTTGGGAAACGAATCTACAGTCGATAGCAAAATGAACGTGTGATGAAACCAGGTGAAAAAGGTGTGAGTAGCTACGGAGGCGAGAAGGGGATACATTCTGACACTATATTCTGAATCGGTAGGCCTATGCTCATTCACTTGCAATAAACTAGGTTTCAATATTTGGTATATTACATTGCATTTATCACAAAAGCATTGCTGTATATGCCACTTACGTTCCACTTATCAACTGAAGCACCCTGAAAGACAGCCGAATACTCAAGGTTGTCAGTCCACCTGACTTTTACCCGTGAGCCCACTTTTGGTGGCCCAAGTTTGTGCCAATCGTGACCCTGTAAGACGAAAAAGAAAACAGCACGGATAGGATCTTCAGGATAGGTTTAAGTAACTTGACCTCAATTGACCCACCATCGGTGTGAAATGAGTTGTCACAACGTTTAGGCTAGTCAACAGGAGGCATAAACGAATGAACAGACCTGCAAGTGCGATGCTAACTTAATGGGTTCCCCAATACTTGCAGAAATAATCGAGGAGCCGCTTTGGGCTAATACACCGGTGCCTCATTACAGTGGGTTTTCCCAATAACTAATGGTTTTATTCCACTTCGAATTTGTAGAAATAATGGACAATGAAGGGTTCTCACGAAAATGCTGGGATAACTTACAATGATGCAGTCAGAAGGTGTATCTCGCGAGAAAGTACCATCCGGAAAAGCCACTTTGCATACTCGTGGACCCGCCAATGTCAGAGCAACAGCCCTGTAGTAGTGACCATCACCAGGGTGGAGGGCGTAAACCATATCACCAGGTTGGAGGGGTGCTTCTTCCTCATCGTGTTCAAACTTATGCAGGACATAAAATGGGTTTGCAAAAGAATAAGTGAGACCAGTATCAGGTACGTAATAGCCTTCCCATATTTATGCTACTAGTGCTTCGTTTGCATTAAAAAAGGACCTTATTACAAATACTCATGAGTGTCAAGGTTGCGGAAGTGGGCATTGGAACCGATCAAATAGCAGAAGGCAAAGAAAATTAAGTTTGAAACTAATTACTAGCCACAAATTTGACATGCATAGTGCAGTCTTACCCTAGACTAAGACATGATTGCTACGGTGTCACAACTTATTGAACATAGAAAGCATGCACCATTTGAACTTTGAAGTGTTATTTCGTAAAAACATTTTATGTGAAGATCCACAAATAAGTGGACAGCTGACCTCTCGATATTCACTCAAATGTCGACGACAAGCGACATAGAAGCAATGGGGATACTGACTGGTAGCAATGAGGATGCCAGCAAGTTGGGCGCAGGTGAGATGAAAACGACCAGGACAGTTTTTGTGCCAACAGGGGACAAGAGGCAAATCTAAATGGGGGCCACCTGGTGAGGGCAGACCGCATTCATCACAATGGTCTCTGCGCTCCATTTCTGCCCAACCTGATCCTTCTACAGTGGGGCCTGTTAGCAAGGATTGTGGGTTCATAGGATGAGGTTTTATTGGTCTAAAATCAAACCGACACTTTAAAGGATAATCAGTAAATTTTCGAAGCAACACAATTTAAAGTTTAAACAGACTAACCATGACGATCTAAGAAGACAATAGTGACCTACTTGGACAATTTTTGCGGTTGAGAAAGAAGGTAATCTTTAGTGACCCAAAAGGGCGGACGTGCTTGCCGTCGCGACCGATGGCGGCATCCAATCTCGCCTTGGTGATCGTCTTCAGAGTCACTAATCACAACCACATCCCCACTAGCAGTGCTTTCAAAATCACTGCCACCAACCCTATAATTCATATTATATGTAAATATGTATAGCAACATTTCGATGCAGCACGACTATCATTAAAGCCTAGCCCACATAATGTTCAACGTGACCAATAAATGTACATCAGAAGGTATTAATCCTCCAAAACCAGAGACGAATACAATGAGACCATTTTCAGCTGAAAAGGGGTGTCTTCAAGCAATAACTTGGAAAACCAACCAGCAGTAAACAACTTAAGATCCATTTCAATGAAAAGGGGCAGAAGAGCATATTATAAGCTTGAGGTACCTGGCCAATGAGTTGCGTTCAGAGACAAAGGCATCGCAAAGCGTTTTCGTCGGTTTTTCCTCTCTTTCCAACTTCTCGTTACTTGAGATACTATCGAAGGCAAATGTCAATGTGTCTGAGCTGGAGAGAGAACGATGGAAGCATAAGTCGATTGGAAATGCAGCGGTGATTACGATAAAATGAAGTAAATGGTTCAAGTTCAGCTTTCTGGCAAACACATGCGCTAGCGAAAGCTCAAAAAAGTGTAGCCTATGACCGTCTCATTATTAATGATAGGAAAAAGGCCTCTGAATAAGATAAAACCTCTTCAGTTTTCACACTGCTTGATGGACAGTGATGTTACGGATTAGAAGAAGGTTGTGGCAGAAATAAAGGCTATTAGCATACTGTAGTTTCTAACGTTGAGCTACAAAAGTGTAGGGGTAGCAATACATTGTTGATCGCGGTGCCTCAGAGCTATGAGACTTCGCCACTTTCGGAGGTCTGATACAAGGCACCATCTCGGTGCGCCCAAGCGGACGAATGGCCTTCAGACTTAAAAAATAGAATAAGACAATTAAAATTATTGGTCAAAATTACTACTAAAAGTGTTAAAGTCCATGTTCCGAGTGCGAAACAACCTCTGATTTGTCTACTATGCGGTTAGTCTTTCTGATGCATAAGATCAATTACATCATTTATTGCAATCTTCTAGTTCTAGTTTGCAAAAATGAATAAAAAATACTAATTATTTAGAATCCCTAATGCAATAATGAAAACTGAACACAAGATCTTTCAATTTGTAAGGCAGGTACTAGCCTATTTACGCTTATCAACAGGAAGCGGTTTGGATATGACTCTTTTTGAGCATCTATTGATAAACACATGACTTCCCATTTTTATTGATTATCAAAGGAGTCTTAAATGCACCATCATAAGACAACTTCGTGTAGAGCTTTGTTGAGTCTGTTGTCAAAAGCCCACTTCGCAAATCTCAATCCTCAAAATGTTACCATTTTGATGAGTGATAAGTGTGATAATAACGCACAATGGACATTGGCGATTATCATCATGCAGTAGAGAGTCAGGTGGTGGCCGTGACCTCCCGACCAAACGTGATAGTGACGAGCACTGTACTGTGTACCGCGGCAAGCGCTGCAACAGGCCGGGAAAACGTCGGCGCACGTCCAGAAAGCAGCACCGTTGCGGCCCTACCGCAATAGCACAGGCCAGATGCACCCAAAACCGCTCTCCACGACTCGAGCGGCGTACATTAGCCAAAGCCTTTAGGGCTCCTCCACGCATTGGACACAGTACACATTGCTAATGGGGGAAAGTGATTCTCAGCCGAAGAGTTATCTGATGGGTTAGTAGGAACTAACTACATCCTGTCTTGAGCAGAGATAAATTGAATTCAAAAATAAAACCAAATGTAAAAATCCGTAAAATGCTTTCCTTTATTGAAACAAACAAACTCACAGGAAAGCAAATTCGCTGACTAACGACAATTCAAAGCAAACTCCTTAAATAACTCTTCATAGATGATAGATACGAACTAGCAATTCGAAAATAAAATATAAAAAGACATAATACACAAATAACCAACATGTCCTGGAGAAGCGCAATGCATCATTAACACAATCATATCCTAAAAGAATCCAAGACATCCGTAAAAAACACTAGATTCGGAATGATTAAATAGGAACAAGCGCATACGGGTTGATCATCGGTGGAGCTACAGGCGTCACACTTCCACAAAGGTGAGTAAGAGTCAAGATCGTCAAGACCATAGCAACTGGCGTGGACGACAACTTTGCATCGGGAACAGAGCAGAACACGGCTTCTGGGATCGCACCTAGCATGAATCCTGGCAAAATCGGAAGGTGACCGACAGAATGCCACCTCAGAGAGATAGGGCTCACTGGACTCGAGCAAGGGCTTCGCTTTGCGTCGCTCACATAGCGCCTTTCGAGTAGCCTGTAAATCCAAATCCGCAACCATATAACTCAGTAAATACACAGGAGGCTTTAAATTAGACTGACGAACCAATGGAGACATAAAAAACGCGCAGATCGAGCAAAATGGTTCTTGAGTGCCTATCATTTGGTTAAAATTAATAATTGTTTTGAGATTCGCCTCGAATCCACACCACAGAGACCGGAGCCTACGATTTCGTTTTAGGTACAACGGCAAGACTGCTTCGGCCAAAGCTAAAAAATAAATGGAAATGAAGATTACTGAAATTAGTTCTCCGGATGAGGAATAAATTCTAAAAAAATTAAGCAAAGTTGTGACAATAACCGTCATTTGGAGTTAAACGCAACTTACCACTGTGAAAAGTAGTTTCAAGGATCTTTTGACACAATCTACAATGTTATACGCGACGGATTTTACCGCGATTGAACACAACCTTATGTCCACCTCCTTCATTCATGTAGGTTGAATCGGATGGAAAGAGAAATTACTCGTGACAACTACTTCGTAATCATGATGGCTTAAAGAGACACTGTTCCCCCTACAAATTTCAACGATAATGTCGAGGTCCAGTGTCACTCTCAAACCGGCCGACAGCCATGCTGGATCAGAAATTAGGTTCAATAATGATTTGTTGATTACCAAACCCTTAAGCTACATTTTATTCGTAAATGAGCTACGAAATCTAGCTGCTTAAGATATACTAAGGCAAAGAATATAGTGTCATTTGTCGATTGTTCTTAAGTCCGATCTAATTTCGGTCGTCTCTTAAGCTGTAATAATATCCTCTCTCTCTATGTTTGCATCAATAGTACCATAATAGACCTAGAACGCATAGCAACTTAGCAGTTGAAAGCTAGTCCTAAACAACTTCCAAACAAGAGATATGTACCTGTGTTGGTATAAAAGAGATTTGGAACATTGAGATCGGCCAATTTTGGATCATCGCTCTCCACAATTAAGTTGTCTAAAGCATTTATAAAGTGGGCAAACGAAATTCCCACCTTCAACACTGACTGATGTCGTAATGTCTCTGTGCATACGAGGCGTGTATAGTTCAAGGGGATGCGGTCCTCTTTGCTCACCCCTTTGCCAGGCTTCAAAGAGGTGAGGCTGGAGACGTCGGACGAAAGGACTCATTTCTATCCGAACCGTGTCATCCCAGCACATACAAATGCTTGCGTGCTTGCCATACTCTACCCAGCGCGGCAGAGCAAAGTTTGTTGACTCGGCACAATTCACGCCTGTATTGAAGCCCGCATGGTAACCGTAGGGGAAAGTGCACATTATTTCGCCTTCGTATTGCAAGATCTAAAAGAGAGATTCCACCAGTCGGAGCAGTCAAATGAACTTACGCGACGTGTGGGAATTCCGGCCGCGGCTAAAACCTTCGGATCTATCAGAATGGATTTGTGACGGAGGAAACTGCGACATGCGAGGAATTCCGACTTGAAATGTTCTAAAGGTATTGCATGTGAAAAACTTTTTTACCTCTTGCAAAAGCCTCAAATTTTCTCGCAAAAGCTGGTGGGATGCAGTACCAGAGCTTGGGCTCGCCAAAATGAAGGTAGTTGATTGAGTACAGGTCCATGTCTTCCACATGCCAGGCAAAAGTAGTGGCCCAGGCGCCAAAATAGAGATAGGGAGTATTTACACCACCAATTTCAATGTCCTCTTGGGCTAGAATGTCACTTAGCATGGAGCGCAGCTTGGAAATGTTGCAATAGGGTTGATCTGGGTCGGTCAAACTACCACTCACGTTGGCTCCATACAATGGCTGCAGGCGGTGGATTGACTTCCAATAGATCTCCTCCAGCTCATTCACACTAGCATGCATTGGTGTTTGGAGTCGAGAAGAATTCGACATCTTTGCATACCTCTTGAAACTCATGCTCTTCTGAGCACGCACATCCTAGGAAAAGAACATGTGTGAATGAAATGACAAACCTGAAGATAGATGCCACCGGTGCCAGTGCAAAATTGAACTATGGGCTTCTCGATAGTGAAGTTGATATCCTTGTAGCCACTGCGGCGTGGGCACCAGGAAGTTGGAGGAATAATTTTGCAGAGGCCCATGTGATGCGCCCCCATCCGCTCGATGAGCGACATGCACATAGCAAACTCGCGAAACTCAGACTCCTTGGGGCGATAGATCGGAACGTCTGGAATGGTGTCAAAACAAGAAGCCTCCTCTGGGGTTATTTGGGGTCCCTGCAAAATCCCACAATCGGATCTATCCATCTAGAAAACAAACTTCATTTCAGTTTGGATTATTAATCTTTCCAGTAGACTCCTGAGTGCTTTGAGCAAATTCAGTCGTCATTGTGTTAAGAAGCTTAGCCAACAGAATTGCAGCAATTTATTATGTCTATTTAATAATTCCCACATATGCAATGCAAAAGCCCTCCGAGGTGATTGATATACCCAACACCAATATTCAGAACTAAGCATAAGTTGAACTAAATCGATCGTCCTGAAAATGTGACTCAGTATGGGGTGTTTTGTAAGGAAATTAGAGGATCGCACTTTAATCGACAAGAAAGTATTCCCAACGTTAAATGGTTCTAAAACACAGTTGGTGAACTGGTGCTACAGATTTTTGATAGTTCATACTTTTAGATATGCGAAAATAAAGCCAAACGTTGACAATGTACGTTTTACTGCCGACTTCAAGCGACATAAAAATGTCCTGCTAAAAGGAATCGCAAGCTGTCCAAAAAAGTACCATCCATGATAGCTAATACATAAACCAATCAAGCTAATAATTTCCAAAGAGGAAAATAATTACAGACCCTGAATATTAAATCAGGTGTTACAATAAGTGTGCTCAACGCCAAAGAAAAACTGCCACATTTAAAGAGAAAGACTAAAACAAGGGATTGATGCCTTGCAGAATACAAATTTGCATAGTTTAAAATTTCAAGCGGAACCACCCGAGTGTGAGCGAAAACAAACTGTCTTCAATATGCAGAATTCATCAAGCCGCACAGACGTTTATCCATTACCTGATCATGATAATGATAGACGGCTTCAAATATGGCGCACTAACACAAGATCGCGTAATTAGTACATTAAAGAGTGTTTACGTTTCACTGTCTTAAACGGGATAATATAGGGTTCGATAATATTGTACAACAATGAAAAAGCCATTAAAGCATGGGAACCACGCATTTTAACGTTATATTTTGTTCGTTAGCATAATGCAATAAACTCCGTAAAAGCCACTTCGAATCTATAATATTTTACCGGAATTGTATTTCTCTGCTTTCGGACTCGCCTGCATTTTTGCAGTCTATGCCGATGGTCCTGCTTATTCCGGTTAAGCATAGCCTTGTTTCAATCCTTTCTGTGTGAATAAAAGTACTCATCTATGCCAAATGTTGTCTACTTTCAATCAAGGGTCTTAAGGCACAAAACACAAACCAGTAAAAAAATTTTAAACTGCTTATGTTTAAACGTTAATTCGGGTTATCTGACCAGCTTCTATGGCATGAATGAAAGTCATCTACTTTAATCCGAAATGATCTTGCAGTGCTCGGTATATGTAATCACCTTGTACGTGCGGGCTGACCTTCGGGCCAAGCTTAGGCCTGATTACTTTGTTCTCCTTGGAACACATATTTAGATCCCCTTGCTGCTTTTTCCAACTGTAGGAAGTCTTGCGACGCTACAGATCTAACGTCTCCCCAACCAGAGAGCTGAGAGCAACGCCTATGATAATACCGATTAAAGCGACACCATAATGCATCATCTATCTCTAGCATAAATGTCGACGATGACATTGAGCACACCCCTCCCCCCCCCAAGTCGGAATAGCGTTTAATCGCCTCTCATTTGCCACGCATCGTGTTTCAGATCAGTATTGCATTGTCTAGTCCTGGATGCGATTGGTGCCCAACAGACATTTTTGCCTCTGATCTGTGCATGTTTGGTGGACAGTTCACATTTAAAAACTAATACTTATCATTCATTGTAATACATCGTTTATGTGACCATCTGATGTCTGGCGGTTGTCTCTGTTTTCATTTTGTCGTTGTACGCGCGAGTCGGCCTTCGAACGGGCCGAAGACATTACTCCTTCGTCTCTCAAAATGCATATGTCCCGGCCAATATGAAGCCTTCATTTACTGGAGGCAGTGGAAAGCGAATCTGACTATTTTTAACGACTTCTATCATAGTATTCACTGTTTATGACGTCTTTACTGTGCGTGGGAGGTGCACATTGCTTTGGACTAGGGGCCCCTTGTATCGTTCACAATAGAAGGCTTGAGGATGACGCCCGCACCTGGTCTTACGTTGTCCATATATTCAATCGAAGCTACACCACCGTGGACCATTTGGAAAAGTTTTGTGCTGAGAGTCTCCTCAATCCATCCGGATGCCCTTAAATACAAGATGGTGTTTGATCCCGTCTTCTCTGTTAAGCACTTGTTTTTGACCACTATACCAGGGATTCCTTGCACGATTCCCACCATCAGACCAGGTTTAGTTGAGGCTGCTGCATAGACCAAGCACCGTTCCGCATTCTCATGGTAGCTGCGGCTTGATACGGCTGGCTCGTAGGCGCTTCCATGTGGCACTGGATGTGTTGTGATGACTAGCGCCGGAGATGTACCAATGGATGTTGGCCAAAAAAAGCGAGGGGTAGTGCACCACTTCGATAGTGCGTCCATCTGGCATTTGACGGTTACTTTGATATTCGTTTTGCTCCTGTACGCGTGCCCTAGTCCTTAAGCCAAGTCAAGACTCTATCTTTTCTTCCTCTCTGAATGTATGTATTCTGCTTGAATCGATGCCTTCTTCTATCTGAAAGATATTTTGAGGTGCAACAAGTGTGTCGGATTGGCTTCCCATTGGTCGATGGCAAGCGCGGCGTGACAGTCAGTTTTCCGTAACCAGAGGGACAGGGTTTCAACACGGTGCAAATGTTAGCTTATGTGGCGGAAGCGGAATCACCTTTAATGCGACCTCCGTTCGCACGCTTAGTCGATTCGGTAGGGTGTCGCAGTAAAACCAGGAGGCTTACTTTCAGGTAAGGGAAGGCCGGTTACGTATTTCAAAGCACAACTAAGAAAAAGATCAACAATTTTTCTTTAGGGACTGTCTAGAGATTAGATACCTGGTAGAGGTAATACGACTTATCAAGTGACCACATCCTACACCAACAGTCGAGCATGCAATGTGATGCACTCACGTTCGAGACTGATGTTTTAATGCTGATATAGTCATGTTGCCTTAGGTAAAAATGATTATTGCAGCATCTCGAGACTTCCTAGCTGGCATAAAAGGTCGATAAGTTTAGCTGGATACAAGTATTCTTAAAACGATGGTGCAAATGAGCCTGGACATGGCCAAGGACAAGGACCAAACAGATCCTGGGTGATTGCCGAACCTCACCTAGCCACATAAACAAAGCATTACAGTTATTTCCATCAAACAGACGAATTTTTAATATTAAACATTGTGGGACAACTCCATTGATACTGTAGTTTTCAACTTTTAGCCTATTTATGATAAGTAATTTTGGAGTGTAGTTTACAAATGAGTAAGTTCTCTAGAATGATTGTCCTATTCGAGCAAATGATTGATAATACCAGCGTTTAGGCGGTTTCGGTAATATAAATTTTCGTCCTATTAACTTAAGTGTGTTTTAGATATTCGATATAGAGTTCTGTTAGCGCATTATTCAACCATGGCGGATCCCGCAAGAGGTGGCCATGTTTGAGTTGTCGTACTCGAGTTAGATTATTTATAGCACTTATGTAGACTCTGAGTTGGGATACTTTATTGCGGAAGGTTTTTTGAGGCAAAGTTTTAAGTTATTGTTCAAAGTATAGGTTTGTCTTGCGCTTAGGTAGGTGTCCTCGGTTTCGATATTTTTCTCCCGTTTTATTATTACTGCCCGTAGTCTAGGTCTGTTCCTATTGTAGTGCTGAATCAGTAGTCTTAGTCCACAAATACTTAAAATTTTATTTTGAATTGCTTTAGGTCAATCTCAACAGCTGCCTATTTCCTCGGGCCTAGCAGCCTCCAATATTCGGGCTGGTCTTCGGCCTATCAGTACAAATATTAGCTCTCCTGCCATGGTGCGCTTTATCAAATCACCTTATTGTAACTTCTCGACTTTCAAGCATATTTTCATCTTATACAATTGATTGTGGTTTTTTACACGCTCATTTTACGGATGCCTTGTTTACCTGCTCCTCATTTTGTATTTATAGATTCCCAGACCACCGTTGATGAGTCACTCAGTCTATCTTGTTCCGCGTGGGAACCTAAACCACATCCAGCCAGCATCTCAACCGAACCTTCTCCATGTAAGGAGCCTTACAAATGCACAATCACTTGCTCAAGGGAACGGTATAGCTGGTGTCTCGGCTCCCACTCGTAGGTTTTTGACTTTGGAAGTGTATTAATTCTGTTTTATTAATGTAGTTGCTGTTACAGCTTTCCGATCTACTTAGCTCTTGAGGCTGTATACTGCCTTCTTTGAATATAGTTTTTAAGTTTATCATGACGTCCCTTTCCTCTGAAATATACTGTTCCGTTTTCTTTGGAAATGGGTTTGCTTGTATAAAATTGTCCTAGACAAACTTTTATTGCTCAGGTCCGTTTTCCTCCACAATCAATAACGTTGCGGTCCCTTCTATCAACGACTCGCCTGTGGTTAAGTTCATAAAACAACTAATGGAACTCTCTCAGAAGAGCACTCCGGCTGGCACTCAGGACACCATTATTAAGCTTGTTCAACGGCTTATCGTAAGATGTTTTTGTGCTCTTTCTAGTGTTTGATTCCTCACTTTATTTCTCGACAATCTACGTCTTACTAATGTGCTACACTTTTTCTATTTTAGGACGATGAAATTGACTGTGATAGGTTTTGCACACAATTATGCGCCAGTCTGAAAAGTGTCAATAAGCGGACGGACGTGGAATCATTGCTAAAGAACAATATTGTACAGCTCCGTAGGGACCTCGCTAACGGTGTTTGCAGTCTACCCCACATCACCCCTCCTTCCCGACCTCCGCCCACAACTCCTTCGACAACAGTCTTTGTTAGTCCAGCCACCATCATAAACTCGGCTTCGTCCACCTCGCAAATTCTTCCACGTCCCTCTGAAGGTCTTCCCGCCAATGCGACTTTCCAGCTCTCCCCGGCTGCAACGGTATCACTGAATCCGGCCCTCCCCCGCTCTGCTACGCCACTTGTACAAAACTCCATCTTCTCGCCTCGATCTATTCCCACTTCAATAGCTCCCTCGACACCACATCCTATACGTCCTCAATTAAAGCCTGCTCAACCTCTGCCCATTCGTATGAAAACACCTCTCAGTCCTGCAATGTTCCAACCCGTATCTGGAGCCACCGCTATCAATCCACAGCGTGGATCTCTCCTTACCGGTGCAACAGCAGTACGTCCCATCTACCCCACCACACCTGTTTCAGTGTCCCCAGTCGTCCCCTCTCCTGCACCTGCTCCTCAAATGGTTTCGGCACCAGGCGTATCAGCTGTCACCGCTGCTGCAGCTCCTACTGTCGCTTCACCGTCTCCGTCGAGTCAGATGAATCAACCATTCTTTCCAGTGTCTCAGATACGAGGTTACTTGACCACGCAATTGCCACAGTCGTCTATTTCAATGATCTCCGATGAGGCGCTCAATTGTATGGCGCACGGTCTAGACGCATTTCTGCGGAATATCCTCGCTCGTGTCTCTGTAGTTGCTGGTCACAAGGCTGTGAAATTGTCAGAGGACTCACATCTCACACAAGTGGATTTTGCCCGAGAACAGTTGAATTACCTTCAGCGACTAGGTGAATTTGACAGACAGAAACAGTCGGAACTGGAAAAGGAGTATATTTTGAAAGCTGCAAAGGCAGGTTTTCCATTTCTGAGGGCGATTTTGCTTAGATATTGATTGGCCTTTGGTACGTTTAAAGCGTCGTGCGTGGGAGACTGTCAAAAGGTCATCCTCATGTTGTTCTTACCAGCTGTCAAATTGTTCTCTCAGGAGTGGCAATCATTGGTGTATTCGATGGAAATTCAGACAATGTTGCAATCATGATGGCTTGGATTGTGGAATACCTATTTATCCTCCAAGCTACTTCTTTTTAAGGTCTGAGTAGACACCGATTAAGGCGTTCGTCGCAAATGATCTCTAAAATAAGGCGTCACCTTTTTGGTTCAAATGACTACAATGTTCACGATGGTTGCTTTTTATGGTATCATGATTGAAATTGCCACTTTAATGTTTCCTTTGAATTAACTAGCAAATTAATTACAAAGCATAACTAGGGTGATGTTTTTTGGTCCAATCTCTGACTTCATTGGACAAAATTTGGAAGGGTAGGTTGCCCTAATATCAGACCTTGAAATAACTCCATGGCCAGTAGCTGGTTGAATTGGGTGTACTCCGTGAGGTTCCAATATGACGCTTTGGTATAAGGTTTATTGGTACTTTTTTTTTGGTTTTTCTTAGAATAGTTGGGAATTCCCTAACCTGATCTTAGCTTCATTCGGATGTGTGTAGAGTTGAAATCGTTCCACAAGAATGGGTTTTTTTTTATGGAAACGTTAGATCTGTTTTGAATAACCAATGGTTACGATTTGTGAAATAGAATTTACTGGATTCCACCTCTCTTTACGTCCAGACATCGATTGATAATGCATACATGCGCTACGACTTGTCGATAGGTCATTTATCAACTTTGGAACAAATTAACCAATAGATGTGTTTGTTGTCTTGATCCGTGCATGGATTGCAGCCCTTTCCTGTCACTGGAATAAAACTTTATTGGTGGGGCGACACCAATGTCATTTTGGCGCTTTTTGAGTAAGGCTTGTAGTATTTTATTCGTCAGCCGGTGCTTCTGAGTTAAATGATGTTGCTTTATCGACATATTTGTGATGTGGCATCTGGATGTGGAAACCTTCAGTGCTTCCTGTTGCATTATTGAAATGGTTCGTTTTAGGTGAGATATCGTTTGTTTTAATATACGATTGCTAATTCGTTTGACACATTCATTGTCTATCGCAGTTTCCTTACGTTATTGCTAATACGTCTAAGATTAAACATGAAATGGGATATTCAAGTATTACACTCGAAACTGTCGAATAAATGTGGGCGCTATAAAAGTCCAGGATTTGTGTTAGCGAACTCCGTATTTCACTAATGTAGACGCCGTTTGGTCGCTCATACATACATATATATATATATACTCCTATGTACCTCTCTGTGTTGGTCAGCTGCTAAATTGTAGTGCTCGGGGTTTTGGGTATGAGTTTGCTCTTAGGTGCTAATGTTTCTAGAACATGATAGTTTGAATAATTATTAGGTCCAATTAAGGAATTTTATCATTTATGTTAGAGCTTTTTGAGAACTACTAGAATTGTTTTTCACCGACTACATCTAAAACATGATTACCTTTATACTGCGTTTTCCTGGCGTATTTTTTCATGGTTTCGTCTTTGTTGCCCTATGTAAGCTCTTGAAGGAACCTTATCAGTTTTGTTTATTGGCTGCAAACTACGTTCCCTGTTGAAACAGTTCAGAAGCATTATAGACATTAGTCACTTTCCTCTCTTATTAAACTGTTCCATTGCTCATCTCTATTATTAAATTCGAAGGACTCATAGGCTACACAACAGCACCATTTATCTCAATCAACTTGTTCCTTATTTCAGATCACATTATTTTGTGCATTTATGCTACACTTCTACAGTACTTGCTTTAACGAGGCTATAGAGTTCACTTTTGTACTTGTACAAAGCTAACTCGTTTTTTTATCTTAGGCGACTCCTTTATCCTACGCGTAATTTGGATAGACATTTGAGTCTTGCGATGCCAGTATTTAGCTGTTGATAATGTCTATTTTTAAGTGTATCACATTTCTTTCACTGCCAAATGTTAATAGTGAAGCATTTATTTTTTGTCCGGTTTGGAGTCAAGCGATGGATTAGTTTGGTATCTAAACGCATGCTATAGTAATCATTGATGCACTCTACTTAAACTTATTAGTACGCTGTTTTGATCTTTTTTGAATTGAACTAGCAGATGTAATTTAAAACTCAAGTCAGTTGTTCTACTACAGCACTTGGCGAAAGGGCAACTCATTTCATCCCTTCGTTTCCTCTTTTTAGCAATCTCGAAGTAGACTGAGTTTTATTTAACATTCGCATCAGGTTTTGTATTTCTGCACTGAGGTAATTGTGTGCCTTCAGTAGTTTCGTGCGTAGTTACTCTCTCTGCTCGGCATTCTGGTATCACGTGTTTGGTTCGGCAGATTAACGATGATTTTTGATAGGTTTTCTTTTCTTTTGTTCACCTCTTGCTTAGTCTCGAACGCGAAGTGAGAACCCGGATCAGGCCCGACTTCGTGAAATGGCGCATCAGCTGAAAAATGAACAGTATGAGCGTGAACGACAACAGCAAGCTAACCGGACGGCTCTTAATGCAATTGGACTGCCAGCTAACCGAAGACCACGAACATCTACGAACCCCTCTGTCAGCGATCAGGGTATGGCAACTGGTGTTGGTATTACCACTACGGGCTCCTCCTCGGCCACAACCACCACCGCAACTACTACTGCACCCGCTCCTCGCCTCTCCCTCATCAATTCGTCGGCTCCTCGACTGCGTCTGGTCCAGCCCTCCTCATCGACTTCCGCAGCAGTGGTAGGTGGTGGTGGTCAGGTCACAACCACTCCACGATTCACTCTCGCCGCCTCTCTACGCACACGGCGAGCTGGACTACGTGAACTACAGGTGGTACTCAGCAAGGACTCCCGTCTCTGTCGATCTCGGGCATTTTTTCGTTCCCATTGGCGATGAGTCTCTCACTATTACCTCTGTCGCCGGTGGGTTTCTTCTCAGGATCCGTCCATTACTCTTACCTTCGCCACCGCCGTCGACAGCAGCAAAATGTAAAAGTTGTCGTTGGCGTCTATTTTCATCATCGTCGTCAGCACTCGAGACCGAGGTGGCTGTGCCTTACTCTTGCTGTTTGTGTGTACAGACCTCTCCATGGCTACGCACGTGCCGCTTTTCTTGTACAAAACTTCACACAACTTTCATTGTTAGCGTTTTTATTTCCGCACAGATACAGATATGTGGCTTTTCCTTTCTCTTCCTTCCGCCGCTTTCCCATTTCCCTTCTATCCTTTTATATCAACTCCAAGAACCACAAAATGGCAGCGCCACTACTTGGTTTGTCTCTGTGTGCACTGATGGAATAAAAACGTTTATTATTTGATCATTTCTGCAGTTTTCATATCCATTTTTGTCTATGGGTATCATGGTTGTCATTGATTCTGATCACATCACTTTAATCAACGTCACATAATTCACCACTTGTGAAATTAAATTCAGGCGAATGCCGTATCTGAATCACCGGTATGTCTACTTTTTGGGATGTTATAAGTAGTCGGTAGGGAAGGTGAGAGCTCTCAGCTTATTCACCTGAAGTTATCCAACGTCTGGTGTGCTTTCATTTTGTCTTGAAGGCAATTTTAGGCGTTCTGTTTCAAGAATATGTCGTTTGATACCTTTTAGCACCGGTAATGGCAAAGCGTTGTAGTCCTTCACTTGCTAATACTATACTGTGAACATGTTTGTCGTCCCCTTGTTTCCCACACATCCCCACGTCTACAAAGCGATATTGGCATCTTCCTCTCCCTCTTCCCCCCTCCTCCCCAGTTCTCTCGTTCATCAGCTAGATGGTTTTCGTGGTGGTTACCAGCATGGCAACTGAGCACTCTATCATCTGTCCAAGAGGCGATGCGAGATATCATTATGACTCATTATAGACTCCTAATTACCGAACACCCCCTGTTCGCCGGACTAGCTGGCCTTGGACAACAGGAGAAGCGTTTTAGGTAGCACACCGAAACACTGTGGTCATAAAGCGAAGCTGGACGGAAGATGTCAAGGCCTTTTCTAGTCATTTCTTCCCACAGCGCTTGCTTTGTCAATTTCCACTTCCTCTTCAGTTTGTTGTCCAGGTTTTTGGTTTACCGGTAATTTTGTGAAAATATTGCTTTACAAAGGCATAATGTGCATAATGTGCTTATATTGCTTTTCATTATTCTTTAAAACTGGTGTTGCCCTTAGTCTTCGTGGGTCATGTGTTGTATGAGGATTCTGTCTATCTAAAATATTTACGGATACCGCATCGCGTTAGAGGAGTATGGTTTCACCATCACTAGGTTTTATCGAGCCGTGAAAATGTGACAGTACATCAAGGAATGCCCTCAAACCAATGGATATTTTTTCACCACTAACGTGCGTAAGTTATGGGAATAGACTCTGCAGCGCATGAGCAATGACTTCGGTTCGCGTGACCCTCATTCAGTTGAATAATGCAGCAGAACACGCAGAACTGGGATGCATGTTTATTGACCTAATACACCGCCCTGTCAGGTCTAGAGTCCACTGTGATGCACACGAAGAAGGAGAGCGTGGTGACTGGGAGCCAGGGCGACATCAAAGACGCACCTGCTCACTCGTTCAGGTTCGGCCACCACACCCATAATAAATAGCACGGCAACCCAAAGGAATGCGAGAATTTTAGCTGCGCAATGTAGCGGTCCATGATAAGTGAAGGGACACTGATGAGTTCTGCCACATCATGCAAATAAGTGTGAACTTTTGGCGTGAATTATCCGTGAATAACAAGAAACAAAGGTATTGTATAGCTGTTTGATTTCTGATCTAAGTAAATCAACCCATGGAGAGTCGAAAGGCTACTTACTGCTGCGCTTGTGGGGAAAAATGTTGCGTTTTTTTATAAAATTTTCTAATTTGAAGTTTTATGGACTAGGTCATGCAATTGTAGGTAGATATTCTTCGATAAGCCTGACTGATGTCCGTCTTGAATGATGACAAAAAAACAGCGCCTCCTTAAAGGAACATCGTTTGCATGCCCATTCTTGGTTATATAGTTATACATTATTTAAACATTATTATAAGCAGGATCAATCTGTTTAGGCTGATAGTCGAAAAGCCTGAAAAGGTGTCCTGGAACCTTGTTTACTTTCACTCTAACGATTTAGTGACTTTCAAAAGCATAATCGGGGGAAGGGAATGTGGACTAAGTAGGGTTGCATAAATCTAGCCGAAATGAACGTAGGAAGACATTTATTACCATACAAACAGTTCGCTTTCCACCACCTCTGGTGCCTTTAAAATTTCGGCCAGTTCGTTGATATAGCGAATAGCAGCGCGTAATATCTTCACCTTAGAGGTGCGTTGACTACGTCGTTTTCGCGTCGTCACCCGACGCGTCCAGTCAGCAGTCTCATAAGTGCCAGATTGAATAGGTAGATGTTGTCTTAGTAGAGCGAAGGCTGCGTTGACCTGTTGCACCCGCCGTCGCTCCCGCTCATTGCGCTGATTTTCTGCTTCACCCGTCCCTCCTTCTTCCTTCGATTCCATCTCCGTCACCACCAATATTGCTTCTGTCTGACCCAAAGCTGACTTTTCATCTTCCCCTGTTACCGTCGTCATTTGATTTGCTTCATACTCATCACTGGAGCGCCGATCGACGTAGGGATGGTAAACGTGGGGCTGCTGCGGTCGCAACGCTGGTATCCATGGTTGGAACATTCCGCGTTGTACGTAAGCACGGTTGTTCACTGAAGCCTCAGTGTGTGTCCACGATATTGTGAGTTGTTTTATTGAGATCCCACCCCACGCTCCTTTATTCCCCCCGCTCTCACCCCACCCTGGTCTCACTTCGTCTCATACCATCCCACTTGGGCGCCATCATGTCCGCTAACAATACCCCACCACTGGGGTGTTGGGGCAGGACGCAGTCTGAGGGGCCAATAAGGCGACACCAACAGCTATGTGGCTTCCGGAGGCTTGTGAAAAGTACTGGATGCCTGTCTAACGCAACTGCTAAACAGACAGCTGTACTATTTCATGTGTTCTACTCATAGATGAACATAATTTGAAGGTGTTAACCACTTAAATGGCTGCTAAAACGGATAATTCGGTTTGTAATCGGCTTTCTTATCTGATTTAACGGAAAGGTAGAATGTACCTCACAATGTAACGAATTCCACACGTTTGCGCGAACATGAAAGCCTACACCCGGTACGATGTTCCAAACTCAACGTAGTAGTGGAAAGGGGACGTTTACTGCTATTGCGGTGACCAGTCGTGCGTCTCTGACATTTGGTACAATATCCCTCCTAGCTAGTAGTATGAAATTTTAATTAAAGCTTGAATCTAAATGACAAACTTAAGCAGTGGTCGTAATGCTTTGCTTATGTGGCCACCTGACGTTTGGCGGTAGCTTTAAGGTTTGCCTAACCCGTGTACGCGTGGGCTGGCCTTCGGACCATGTAGTCAGCTTTACTCACTGCTTCTTCTACCCGGTGGGAAGTCTTGGGAAACTACACTGATCTTGCATAGATGTATAATAACGTTCAACGTAAGGTGTGGAAACAGTTTTGTGCATTTTAGTTTGCCCTTTTATTTTTCTCTGCAAGAGGATAAGGTCCTTAGGCTTTTGACTAATTCTTCACCTCTACGAGAGGGTTAGTCGCAAAGCATCTCTGAATCAATCAACGATGATGAGCAGTGACAAAACAACTTGAACGGTTTGTCAAGAAAATTGAAACGTTTACGTTGTGCAAGAATCGACAAGGTGAATGTTTACCCTGTGCGTCCATTTTTACCAAACCATCTGAAGCAGATTTGAGAATGAGAATAGGGCATTAGATTGCATTCATTATCACTATCGCAAAATCACTACCTACTAATTACTTAAACTTGGTACTTCGAAGTCCGTGAGAAAAAGATTGTAATTTTTCGTGGTAAAGCTAAGAACAACTTGCAATCGGTACATTTTGTTTATGTTCCTGGCTTGGGCATCAATTTCAGAGTGGAACTAAGGGTTTAAGCGCACATTTAATCCGTCATTCGTAGATGAGATCACTACATGGAACCTGAAACTCAATGCTTCTCGCTACTGGCTTTCGAAACATAAAAGTTGTACGTATAAATAGACGTGCCTCTCCTACCAACTTCATTCACTTGCTTGCATTTCACCAAATGAAAATGGTGCACACATCAATAGCAAAGTTGCTGGCATTTGTGCTTGTAGCTGTAGTCGTGGTTTCAAACGCAGAGTTTGAGAGACCCAGTTGCGAGTGAGTTTGTTCGCCGTCCTTCCTTCTCTCATTCACTCTTCTACATCTGTATGCATGCTCACTGCTATTGATAGTAACTTGCTTTTAGATGTTTCGTATCACCAGGGTATCCTCATGAGGTGTTCATAGAAGACGATCCAGATTATAAAAACAATGGAACTGCGGTTCCTATCACCGCTTCCATTTAGACGTTAAGTATGCTGCATCATATATTGCTTTACCTTTGCTGCCGTTTAGCACGGGATACGGCAATTATTTGTTTGTACTGATGCTAAGCAGTACGCTACACATCTGGTTATCCACGTAATTGGCATTCAGCATACATCTTCCTCGGGCAGCATTCCGAAATCGTACACACTACCCAGTTGCTTTTGTCGGTGAGGGCATGGTTGTATCTTCAGCTGTGCTTCCTGAACCGCTGCATTAATCAGTCGGATTATCTTCACCTCGATTTGCTCCACTATAACTGTCTTTATTAGGATCAAAAGACACCCAGAAAACAATATTGCGTTTTTTACGTATTTATGCTTTGAGACGATGGTGTTGCTGCTCCTTTTAGACGTTGCAATATATATGTAGGGATTCTACACAAAGTCATGCTTATATTGAGTGGGTAACATCTACCAATGGTAGATAATATTATGAAAATGAGTAATTTTTATAAATGGCTGACAATTGCTTTGCCTTCACCTTCGACCCACCGTATTTTAGAGTCATGGTGAAACACTGCCAAGACGCGTACGAAGGCGGTGGGATTACAAAGAACCAGTTGGTGTGCAGTTGTCTGCAGGAGAAATGTGGACCAGCAACACTTCCTTGTGAAACCGCTGACGAGTGCGCAATCGACATCTTTACCCTTCTTGATGACTGCTTAGCCGCTGTTTAATGCAACCAAAACTTAGTATTTCATTGTTACTGCCTAAATTACTTTAATAAAGTACGAGACGGGTGAATGTAGGATTTTTTCTAAAATAACATTGTACAGAATGCTCCATTACCATCAGTTTTTCACCTACATCGCAATCGTAACCACTTGTTGAATTGCAGCCTTAAAGGGAAATTGGAAGAGTGCGTAGCAGTGCCGAAACATTCACATTCACTCAAAGCCTGCATACTTTATTTTGCCTCACCTATTTATTTACTCAGTGAGTAGCACATAAACTAATGCTTAAAGGTGGTCAATAACTGCCATTGGGGAGTGTTCAAACCGAATAATTTGGGAAGTTTTATTCTAATAAAATGTAGTGAAGCAATAGCACCATTCATTGCTAAGATCTGTCATTGCTTACGAAATAACAGTATTCGTGAGTTGAAAGGGGTTATATTGGGTCGTGGAAACAAATGCTACCGTTTGACGCCTTATAAAATCGGGCACAGTTATTTTGCGACGACGACCCTCGTCGCGAAAGCAAACCTATAAAATTATTAAATGTATCTAAAAAACATTCTACTGATAAAGGCGAGTAGTTGATCCGGCCGCATTGCATTGGCGTTAGAGATGCTAGCAACGCACTATTATTAATTAAAAGCGATGAAGTCCAAAACCGAAAATTGTAATGAAAGCACTTTTCATCAGATCAAATGAGAGCCAGTCTGTACTAATTAAAACAAAACATTGGTATGTTAACCCTACAAAACTATTCACGAAATTCAGACCTGTGATAAAAGGCATGATTTAACCAATGCGTAGACAATTGACGGTGAATTTATGCATTACCTATCGTGCAATTAGACTAGTTTCCATTAAACCCTAATAGGGATTAGAACCACCAATCAATCCAATTTGCTTGCGGCTCTTCAAGTTCTACCTTACTCACTGTGGTACCCATAAAGCAACCCTCCCTACCTTAAGTGGCTAAAAGTAAAATTAATGCTATTTTTGAATGACATTATTTGCAAAGAGTTCTTCGACCGTAAATTCACTGCACATATTACGGTGGTGCGAAGTGTACTGATTTCATGACCTAAAAATCCCTCTCCGTAGTCACTAATTGTTGCCTTTTCTGCTTATTTTAAACCGTTCTTAAGCGAGAGTGACATTTACTTAGTGTTGTCGCCCTCTTTCCTCCAATGTTTCGTTTGCAAAATAGGCTGCCTTTAGGATTTACTTGAATAAGCACCTGAATACGCTCAAGTTCATTGAAAATACTATCAGACTTAACTTAAATGTCTCAAAGCTACTGTCACTCGCGCAAATGACCCATAATTTTCCTGACTTACTAAAAATGGTGTCAGAACATCTGAACCGTTGTTATTCAGTTGAAACCTTTGACGAGGAGATTGCATTGCACACCTCGGCAGTTTCCACAGTTTCTTTGAGAAAATTTGCAAATACAATTAAACAAACACTCGTTGATACATAAAAGCTATTCACTTATGAAATTATGAGTTTTGACCATAAAGTCTGCCTAAAAGTTAGCGTTTTAGCTGACCTTTGCTTCTGACTTTTTGAGGAACTGGTCCACCAAAAGAACTTACTTGAATTGATTTGCCCAGCGGAGAGTCCCAATAGCGGACTCATCGTCATCACTTTGGGTGTCGTGTTTAAAGTTGGCGCTTGCAAACGTTGCATCAAGACAGTCAAACGCTTTCAAATCGCAACTGCTTGTGTGACTGCGTAGAGGGTAATCGACAAAATGATTGACTGCATCTATTAGTGAAGATGTGTCACGATGAATGGTGTATTTATGGACTAGCGTTATGCTAAGCATGGAAGAAGAAGAAGAAGAAGAAGAAGAAGGAAGTGACCTTCTCACAGTAAAAAGGGTTACAGGAACGTCGGCATCTCAAGTTATCGGGTAGGAGCGTTAAAAAATGACAGTGATCTCAGGGACTCACAAGGATCCTACAATGCCGACCATGTTATGGAGAACACCTCGCTTGACTTCATTCGAAGCCTCTCTTACTAAAAATAGAAAGAAAACATGAGGTGACACAGTAATGGATTGGAAGTCGATGGTGAGCCTAATAAAATTAATATTGAAGTATTGCATAATCTACAGTTAGGTTGAATTCGTTACGATTTTTCGTTTAATAAATTGCATTCGTGTAGACTTGTTGCAGTCTCTTGAACTTTCTTTCGTTTCATCGCAGTCTTCTAAGACCACACTTAATTTGTATGGGAATGTTCTACGTCTTGACAACTACGATATTTTGTGTCTTCAGGTAATTTGAAGACTCAGATGATGCCATATGCGCAATTCTTTATCCTCTGCAAAACCACAGCAATTGCCAGACACAACGACTCCGTTATCATGTTTTATTGCTTTGTTAATTATCAACAGCAAGTGGTTATGGGCGTTTGCTTCAACCAAAACATTCAGTTTCCTTAGCGTTCTTTAATACCTAGCAAAATTTAGCAATTTGCACCATTAACAATGCATAGTTAAACAAACTTGGACGTGATGTGTATGGGAACGCCACTCGAGGAGAATGAAAATTGTTTTGACTGTAGAGCTTCTCCATGTGAATGGTGCACCGTACTAATGGTCTACCTTAGCTTATATGCGCTGTTCTTTTGATGCAAGACTTAAGCTGCATTTGAAGTACAGACAAAAGGACTTTGTCTTGCATGACATTCTTATCACACTGGCATTCGAGCCCTCACTTATGAAACCGGCATAACCAAAGCCTGCATTTTAGTTGGCTGGTGGTCGGTTGTTTTGACATTCAGCCTCAGAACCCAGTGCAACTGGCCTGACAGAAGGCAATGACATCGGCTTTTTTTATGTGAATTGAGCGATTTCCCATAATTGTACTTATCCTTGCCACGATTAGAATCCCACAGCCATGCTTACACAAGTAGGCGAAATGAATGGAGAGTGGGTAGACAAGTGGTTTTTATGGAATGACCTTCCTACTGGTGGGGTAAATGTCAGTTGGAACTTCCGCTTATTCATGGGACATGTGCGTCATTAGATTTACGACAAACCAAAACTTCTCAATGAACGAACCCAACCGACTACAAGTTGAGGAGGTGTTGCCCAGGATCGAGTATTTTACTCTCTTTCGACTCTTCTGTTCAGCTGTTCTGAATCACCACACCTTACAGTTTATATAAATTGAAACATTTTAAACTTTCCTCCTTACTTCTATGTATCGTTGTTTTACCTTTTTGTGGCAAAAATTTTGCAAAACTGAATAATAAAACTGCTACTATTGAGATGCATGCATATGTGCTCGCATTACCTTCTACCATCAAAAAAAATTCTGTTGAAGGCAGCAGAGAAAAGTCTTGAGGTCCTTGCATATTGCTGATGGCTAAAATGGTTGTTGTGAGCAAGCAACTCTAAGGTAGTAGCATTCGGTGGTGGAAAGGCCACTTGCGAGCTTATGTCGACCGTCTAGACTGAGGCTCACCATTTACCTCCACCAATGGCCAAGCACTCACATCGACTCTCTTCGGCATCTTCATGATGGTTAAGAGTACCATTAACTTCTGCCAGTATGGTCAAAAATACTGATCAAACGAAAGTATCAGCTTCTTGTTGCTTCTATTACTAAGAAGCAATTATTTTCACCTACAAATAGTAGCTAATGTATTATTAAATTGGCACTGCTGCAATAGCCTCCCTTCCTTTTCTTCCTCCATCTACCCACTCTCCCTAGCTCTCTCACTTCCATCTGAACTGCTGGGTAGACTCTGGCTGCCATCTGTCCCGGTTTTGCAGACGCATGAATATGTGCGGATTTGCGAGACACATGCCACGCAGCGTTTCGAGTGTGGCGACATTATTTCTCTGCAGAGTAAACTTCACTAATTAATTGTTCACCACGTTGCCATGCCAACGTGTATAATCAACATTAACAGCATCAGCAGAAGCGGCAACAATGAAATGCTTTGTTGGGATAACTTTAGCAGAGTGGACACCCCTTCTACTCTTCCCCCTGTCCCCTCTCTACTACCTTTCGCTCATGCGCCTCCCCTTCCCTCCTTCGGTGAAGAGGTACCATTAACTTATCATTTTACTTTAACCCTCCGTGTGTGCGCTGCGCGGACAAGCACATTCACTAAGAGAGAAATTCCATTTGTACGAAACACTCACCAATGAACTGTTGAAGACAAATGGAAAATGCGCATTAGCAGCAAAATGGTGGAGGGTAGAGGGTGGGCAGAAAGAAGGGGACCAGAGAACGCTGAGGTCTGCACGCAAGCAGGAATAGCTGTTCAAAATTTCCCAGCTTCCCAACACTCCACCCTGTCTTCCACTAACATTACATTTTGGGCGTTTTTGGGCGCATGGACACTCAACAGCAAATACCTTGTTTGTAAAGCTGAGACTTAATTGACTCTGCTCTTCCCATGGGATGCTTTTGACTTGCACTACCATTCTTTCTTCGTACTTAAAACAGGAACAGTCACATGGTTCCAGAATTAAGTGATCCAAAATGGAAGCAATTTATAACACGATGTTAAAATCTGGCACCATCGTTACTCTTCGCAACGCAGTTAAAATAAAGGAAATTGTAGATTTAAAGCACAAACGTCAACTATTTTATCAATAGCATACTGTGAGCACGTACTTGCAAATTTATAAATGATGCTCCAAACTTTATAGTGCAATGTGTTGCGTTAATTCAAACTACTTTCTGCACCCCCAAAACAACCCCAACAATCCGGCAGCCTCAATTTTATCCTTTTAATGAAGAAGACACTTAAAGCCTAGTAGACGCACACTACAACAGCAACGAAGTGCCTAGGTGAGGGGTTCCGAATTACTTCGCACTGGAACAAAAGTACAGCTTCAAGTAAGTCAGTATGGCTATTTTATGAGGTTGAACACTACGCTTGTCAGCAAAAAGACCTTTCGCATTTGACCTAATCCTCTACTATTTGTATGCTATTCAAACACATTTCCTTTATTTTGCAAACGCCGTGCTGCACAAGAACGCCATATAGCATTTCTTGAGCGTCACGAGGGTAGCGCTGTATTAAAGGAAACTATGTGAGTCCTATAATTTACTGGTGAGATAAATTGAACTTCTGGGTAAATGCAATCACTGACGCTGCAAACAAAAATGTAACACCTCGAAATTTTTCTGCTGTTGATGCTCACTCACCTTTTGGGTAGGCACAAGATCAAATTATTCAGCCCATCCTTTCGCCAACAACTGTCCAAGAGAACTTCAGTGTCACTAATTTCATAGCATCAGGAATTAGTGCCTTGCGCTAAACGATTCGTATGTGCACGACATAATTTAAAAGGAGGCAGTCGATCGACAGCATTCGCCAACATTGGCTAATCAAAATGCCATAGGGCCGCTTGCCAAAAACAAGGAGCATCCACAGATTTGTGTCCATCGACAAAATAGCCATAATTTGTTGCAACTCTTCACGGTGGAAGATGAATACCTCAATGGTTAAATTTGCCTTGATTAATGTGCACCTTGTGAGTGCTACTGTAGCATGCGTATGAAAGCACTTACGAATTCGCTACTGACGTATTTGAGTAGAATAATTTCATTTGGGTGGTTCGGACAATTCAAAAAAGCTAAATATAGCTTTATTGATACCGTCGTCATCATCATAGTCAGTGTAATAAGTATATATATATATATATATGTATATATATAGGCAGTTTCACAGGATGAAAAACTAGCCAGGGTGGTGTGTGCTGAGTGCACATGTGTCTGTGCATTCGTGTATAAAGTTGAGAAAAGTGGTGCTGTCATTGCCTAGAATTACGATAATGGGATAATGGGTCTGAACCCACTGAACATAGGAAGGTAAAAGGGAATTGAGGAGATCAGTCTAAATGGTGGGAGTAGTAGTGGTCTCGTTGAAGATTGGAGGCTGAATTAAATGATGGGAGGCCTGATAAGAGCAGAACTGCTCAGCCACGGTGGTGTTACCTGAGGGCGGCTGATGGGACGCTAGTTTACCAGATGCAAAACTGATTGGCCACTTCTGCTGACGCGCCCACCAGTCACCAGTCTCATCCGCTGAACAATCGCTTGCGCTCAATGCCACCGAATTCTGTGGTGTGGAGTCAACTGGCAGGCTGTAGATGCCTGTTGAGGGGTGGAAAATGTCGGCAGGTGTTGAGGAATCGCTTCGAAGGACCTGATGGTGTCCATTAGCAAAGCAGTGTGCTTCCAGTTGACTGCGATTGTTTAAACAGACACTGCATACCCGACACGCACCATGCCATGATCTTGATGAATTCTTCCCTACTCCATCCCCATTATCCACCTCTTGGGCTGATGCAACTATCGGCTGAAGAATAAAACGATGACACTGTAAAAAAGAGATGAAACTTAGTAGCAAAGTATAAGACTGTTCTGAGTTACGCTCATGAGCAAACCTTGGTGGCAATCGCTTCAAATAATGAGTATTGAATTTTATATTCGTCATTAACAAGAATTAAGTGTGAATGGACCTTAAACTTTCCATAACATGAAGCTTTAAATCTCTTGCGCTTCTAATGAATCGAGCTTGTTTATTAACATCTTTTTCACTAGATCGAAATGCATATTTTAGTTGGCGTTTGGATGTAAATCAAGAGGCCAGCTTAACCTATTTAGCTGTGAATACGAGCTACACTGGTATGGTAAAGGCTTCATTTTCATGACAGTTTTCTGGACATCCCATGAACCAGCTGTCCACATGCCACGTTTGTAGTTTTATCCAAACCATTTGGTACACAGGAAGCCACTTCGTGAAATGGTGATTTTTGTGTCTACTAATATTCTACGCAGAAGGTAAAGGATCCTTTAAAAATCTATGTCATTCTAGGTGGAGATTTTAGTCAACATGATCCCAAGTAAATCCGCATGGATCCTCCCAAACTGTTGGGCTTATCGTGCAAAGCGGATGACAAAAGTCATGCATTCACTGGTTTGTCCTTTTGCTTAACGAATTGCACAAATTAAATTTGCATGAGAAAGCGTTGAACACATCTACAGTTGCTGCGATTCGCAATTCGAAAATTTGCATTTATAACCGGAGAATTGACTTAAAAGACCGAACTACCTTGAAGGTTCTCGAATTAATCTTAGCTACTCTGTGAGGATTCTCATCATCTCCTCCCATTTTGCATGTGGCGCTCGGCAGCAGTTCAAACGCAAAATTATTATTATTATTATTATTGCTATAACCTCAATTAACCATCTTCAACTAAAGGCATATCATTTGCCATCACCCAGCTCCTACTCGCTTTGTATGATGCGATGTAGTCAGATAAAAAAGGGATTGCGTGCATCCACTCAACTTATAAGAGCAGGCGCTTGAGATAGCCTTCGATACTTTGCAACACACATTTGACGCTTCGACAGTTATTTGTTCGACAATGGTACATCTTAGCCGCAATAGGACCCTTAATTTTGATCTTTATGCCAACGGTGGATGGACTCTTACCGCGTGCCTTCTGAGTAGCAAAGGAGTCTGATGGAATGCGATGAGCTGCCTACATGCACTGGCTAAAACACGCGCAGCTCCCCTTTGCAGCTGAAGATGCCTTCGTCGGATTTTACCGCGCCTTGGTCTTGGGGCAGTGCTGGGAAAGTTTGAAAGGAATTGGTCGACACAATGTCTTATTCCCACTCCTGACGCATGTTGTGGTGAAGGCTTCAGGGAGAGATTAAGTGGACATCCTCGATCTACAGAATTCTAAGGTATAAATATGTCATTGGCTTTAGTTCCTAATATTGCTCAGCTTTGAATATAAGGTCAGTTGATTAAATTTTGATATTTCTGAGAACAGTCGTCACAAAATAAGTAGGTGCCCTTGCGAGCGCCTACGAGGTTGTCACTACTTATAATATGTAGGTTTAGAAGACCCAAAATGTGCGATTTGACAAAAATGCTTCTTGTAAAGGTCGAAGTAACCTTACATCTTGACTGCTGGGCAAATCAACAGATCCGTTGGCTGCACTTAAAATGTGCGGAGCCCTGGAGAGAGGGGAATGTGGGGTGGGATTGGTGAACGACCATGGAGCTATGATCGGGGGTTGAGTCGCTGAGGCATCTTCCTTCCCACCTACCACTCCCATTGGCAAAAACTCTGTGGGCCCCTCCGACGTTCCCGATGATAGCTGCTGTTGTTGAATTTTCCCAGGCTTACTGAAGTCCAAGGGTAAGGCGACGATTCCCTTTGTTGTGCTTCCCGTAGCTTGTGAAGTTGGTGTTAGCATTACTGTCTGGTCCGTAATGCCATGTTTGTTGGCTTTATGTGTACGAAGAAAATATTTGTTGCAAATCCACTTGTTACAGATGTCGCAGAGGACACGCATCTGGTTTGGTGACTTGCGAGGAGTTGTGCCGGTGGAACCGTTAGGCAGGACGCGCTTTGCCGCCAGACCGGAAGCGGCGAGATGCACGGGATTCCACTTGGTTGTGGTGGTCACCGAGGCGGTGGGGTTCACCACCATTCCTACTGCCGCCGTTGGTGGTGCAGGGGGAGGTGGAGGCTGCATGGTAAGAGGGGTTGGATAGAGTCCAGGAGGGGAGGAGAGGAGTCCCAACGGTGGAGGCAGCAGTAGAGCGTTCGAAGCTGGCGCCGTAACGGTTAAGTCGAAACCACCGCTTTCAATTCCCACCTCGTTCACTGTGTGCGCATTTGCAAATATAGACAGCTACACATCAGTCTCTCTTCGCCCTTCTATTTTCACATGGTAACTAGACACCCAATTAATGGAAGTATGCTTCATCCCTGCTACACCATACATAAAAGTGTGATTAAATACGGTAATGTCTGAAAACCACCACCATACAGTACCCAACAGCAACAGCGAGGGTGGTAGAGAGGAAGGCCGAAAGAGGGACATGTGTTTCAAGAGAGGGGACGGGAACTTTTTCAAAACGCCTACCTGGAACCTTTGAATGTCAGCTTGATGGGAACAGCCGCGTACTCGCAGTTGAAGAGGTTCCCATTTCTTTTGTGAAAAATATATTGCTTCATCTAAGTATGCGTACGGTTGTGCGGACGCACAAGCGTGCGCACGTGCGTGTTGTGCTTTTAACCTTAGCTTTCACTGGTTAAACTCGCACACGCACCACAAATTTACTGACAAAAACATACCACATTCGTAATATGCGGGCACTAGAAGGAATCGTGCATATTTGCATGCGCCTTCACTCGCACGTGTGTAAGTGGCTGGTCGTCTGCCACCTCTCTCATTCAGTCATAGTATTTAATGTCCTTTCGCTTAAAAGTGGAAAATAATAGAGAATTATGCCCTTGAGTGGTGGTGAGTGAAAGAATTTACTTCACATCTGAAGTCACTTCAAATGGGTACGAGACGCTTACCATTTACTAAATCAAGTTTAATTACCCCTTCATTCAGAATAAGAAGGTGAGAGTTTTTTTGATCTCCTTTGCAGAATGCAAATTAGTGTTGAACATTTTCGATCTGAGGGGACGATTATAACCGTTTAAATGAACTTTACATCACCATGCACTTTAGGATAAAGCTTTTCGAGAACCAGACCATCTGTCACAAGCTTTGGTAGTGAATAGTCTATGTTCCTTAATTAAACAGCAGGGAAAATATTACCCTAAAACTTACTTGATAGTGACGGTGGAATCATGCCGTTCATGGTGCTCGGCACACTAAGCTGCGGTACACTACCCTGTTCTCGAGTAATTGTTTCAACAGACGTAGTTGATGGTAGCCGCATAAGTGGAGGATTTGGCAATTGAAAGGCAGCAGACGTTGGACTGCCACGGTCAGAATTGCTTGTCGGTGTCATTTTGGCGGTTGAGGCATCACTTTCACCGTTGCTGTCTAGCGTTCTCGCGCTCAAAATAAAGATGAAAAATGATGGATCTGTAGGACTAAGACTGTGAATTGAGGTCAAGTGGGTCGGCAAAAACAAACGTGGACCAATTGTTTTATCACACAGTGGACAAGTAACTAGTGTATTTGCCGCCATTAGTTGCAAAATAGGGTCCTTTTTTGCCTCTTCTTGGGGTGGTCTTGACATGTCTGACATTACAGATGGAGGCTGTGTAGGTAACCACGGCGGTAGACCTCCCAATGGAGCAGGAAACTGGGATGGCAGCATGGGAGTCATGAGTGAAAGTGGTGGCGGAAGAGGTGGAGGTACGCCAAAAGTATCAAGATTTTGGTTTGTATTTTCAGGTTGTATCTTCTCTGCATGTTTTCCACCTGCGGTTCTAGAGATTGGTCCACCCACCTCCTGAGGTGAGAGGCCATGCACCTTGATCTTGTGTGTTCGGAGAAAGTACTTATTACACAGTTCCTTTTTGCACAAATCGCAAGTGACACGATCTGCTAATTTTGCAGCTGCCATGCTTGACTTGAACATATCAAGTGCTCCAGCATTAAGAGTTTTGCTAGTGACTGCGGAATTGAGAGTAGGGCTGGAAACTGCTTCACTGGCAATAACGGGTGGAATAAATGTGGCATTCTCGCTGAGTTCTATGCGGGAAGATTTGGATTCCGATTTGGCCGTCCACAATGAAACTTGCTCTTTCTCACTTGTTAGATTTGCTTCTGTTGAGTTCGGGATGTTTCGAAATCCTTCCACGGGAGTTCGACGGTTTGGAATGCTCTCCCCTAGTTGTTGGGCTGTGGCAGCTGAGGAAGTGAGGACATTCATCCATTCATTTGTGCTTGTACATGGTGACTTGTCCGTTGGATCATTGTCATCGGACTCACCTGAACCCACTTCACGTTTCCGGATTTGTGAGTAAGGTTCAGTGGGAATTCGATGAACATCGCTTTTGTGTTTTCGGAGGTAGTATTTATTACAAAAGTGCTTTTGACACAGGTCACAAAAATCTTCGTCTTTATTACCGTTAGCGGCTGCAGGAAGACTTTTTGTCCCCATAGACTGAAAACCAGGTGGAATCATCATAAAGGGATTGGAAAATTGGAAATCGCTGGGTATGGAAGTCGGCACCTCAGACGAGGGAGTTGTCAATCCAGAGAATAATTGTGATGTGAGATTTAATTCATCCCAATTGGAGTCTACGTCTGGTTTAGAAGTTGGAGTGGAAATTTTTGACTCAGAAGGCCAAGTAGAAGGGTGAATGGTGGAAGCGCTCAACATGGACATTGCTGCAACCAGCAAACGGTTCTTCAGTTCTTCGGCCTCTCTCGAATCACTTGTATCCACTGATGAGGGGGGCATTGCTAACTGTTGCTCGTTAAACGATTTCATGAGAGCGAAGACTGCTGAAGCGTCTGGAGGGAAACTATTATTAGTATCGGTCATACTTTACGACCTAAAAGGCAGAAATATAGCCAGATAATTGAAAGAGTGCATACAATTCCATGGTTGACCCTTTATAAGGTCTAGTGATGAATGTTGAACAGTGTCCGCAACTGGAAAATATTGATCGTCACGTATTTAAATGTAACGTGAATTCGCCAGACCCTTTCAAATAAAAGACGTTATTTGCTTTTCTTGTATGTTTACAATGCGAACAAGCCCAATTTGTAGTATTTATACAGTCTGCCTTATCAGGGGTTTAAGCCTCCCAGCCTAGTGCTAATTGGGGCTTTCATTTGAGCACCACCTGTGGACAGTTCCCAGAGCATAGCACCCTTTAGCCTACAATGCTCACCTCCCTGCTAATTGAGACTGGAATTTTATGGGCCGGTGAACAATGAGTTGCATTATTTTCGAATAGAAGGAAGAGAACCTAGTGCATTGTAGGACTTCGATAGGATCACTTGTAGCCACTTTGATCAGAAATCACGCATGATAGCGTATTTGGCAAAACGACTTTTCGATGGGATCATTCTTATATCCGTCATGCGCAAATGCTCTGAAAATTCACTTAGTTCTTTATTTTTGGACCTTAAAACCTGGCCGGCCGGGTCGAATCAACGATATCAGCTACTGAACTCCTCTCTGTCGATGATTATATAATAAGCAGATATTGCAGAACGGAAGCAACATTTGATTGAAACATTTAACGAACGAAACAGCTATGTCACAGACATCGCAAGTAAAATGACAGTAATAAGGGTACCAAAACCTCTTTTTATGAACGCGCCTCAACCTGTCTTAAATATGACAAATTTTGAGCCCAACTCGAATCGTCTTGAGATGCAGATTCTCAAAACTAGTGCAACTCGCAAAGAGGAGTGAATGCTGTAGTAAGCAAATGCTCATAAATCCGCCAAAGTACTAGACAAACATTATGCAACCTAAAGGCAATTTTAATTGCACAAGTTCAGAAAAGACGGGAAGACATAAAACAAGGTAACACTATTGGGATGGCAACGATGCACGTGTTGCAAGACCACTTGAGATTGACCGCATCGAAGATCCGAAATTGCAATTAAGAGCGGAAATTGTGCTGCTGGTGGTAGTCGCGGTGTGCCTGTATTCGTAGTTATGTGTACACTTCTGCGTTAAAAGATACGTATCTCACAAACCCCTTCGGATAGTTGGGAAAGTTGTTGCATTTTATGGGAGTTGAATGGCTCACCCAATAAACTCTTTGGCCCACCGTTGAGGGCACAGCCTTATGTGGTAATGGCTGCCTAAAATCAAACATATCAAATGCTATTGCTAATTCAATAAGTGCGCTGCCTCTCGAGCAATCCCAAATGACCACCGCAAGCAGGATTCGCCTCTCTGATGGCGGAAAAATGTGATGCCCATTTGCTGCATTTATTGCGTTTTTGGAATTTTACAGTCGTTTTCACCAGTTGTCAAAAATCTGACATCATTCATTTTGACAAGACTGCAGTAAATCATGAACACTTCTACTAAACATATAAAAAATTAGAACGGGAGGCAATCATCAGTTTTTATTTTGCCGATCAGATTCAAACATACATGCAACAGCAATTCTTAAGAAAACCATTGCAAATATAAAGCTGGATCAAGTGATTTGCAATGGAAACCAAAATAAAAGTATAAAACAATAAAATTTGCTATCAGGGGCTATTTTGGGAAAGACCGTTAAAAAGGACAAAATGGTTGAGAATCCCTGTCTATTTACAAGTTCTCAACCGGTACACCTCTGATATCACAAGAGCACACAAGAACGCGTTTTAGAGTAGCTCCTCCGTCATTTATCACAAGTTCTTTAAACCTTGCTCCCACTCTTTCCCTCTCTCCCCCCTTCCCTCACACCCACAAGTCTTCCTTTTAATTAAACTGCAAGCAAGCCTACGAAAAGCTTAGTCTGTGGGCACACACACACACACACAAATACGTGCACCGAGGGAGGGAGAGGGAGAGAGGGAAAGAGCAAGGTGCTTGCCTTCGTCATTTATCAAAACCACCTAAAAATTATAAGTTTGTGCGGTCCTTTACTGCGGCGAGTGGGGAGGTGGAAATTAAAATTTTCCTCAAAGCCCTAACTCACTCTGGCTTTGCAGTACTCTTTCAATAGCCCTCTGTGTCAAATGAAAGAGAGAAGGTCTCTGAAGTTGTTTACATCCTATGCAAACTCGTGTGCACAGTCTGTCAAACGAAGCACTTTTGATCTTTCTCGAAGAGAGGATATCTTAAAATGGGAAATTTCAGGCGACACCAATCATACGTGGGTGGCTGTAGTGCAGACCAGGGCAGGTGGCTAAATTTTGGCCCCACAAAGCCTCCTTTTTGAAGAAACGAGTGTATAAATCGTGTGCGCACGCACGACGGTAAATATAAACTTTTGTTGGTGGCATTTCCGGTATTCTTAGGAAGAATAGAATGTGCGCTGGAGTGTGGAAGGAGAGAGGAGAGGGGGAAGGTGAAGGCTACTGCAGCAGTGGCAAGCGCATTGAATCACTTAAGTGGAGGTAAACAATGGGACAGCACAAAACCGTTTATGAACTAAGGCGTCCTTCTTTGATGCACCTTAAATCACGCTAAGAGACCTTTACGTGGCCACTTCCAAACTCTACTCGCATTTTTGCCTCTTTCGCGGTTTTTCGACAGGACCAAAACCTACCCATCAAATGAATTGCACTTTAGATGAGCCTCTTCCCTTTTACCCTACATAACACACCCAACTACGAGCATCTCTCGTGCCTCCGCAGAGCCTTTGTGTGAGGATTTGGAATCAAAATTATGGCTTTTTAATGTTTAATCCATCAAACTCGTGTTTATTATCGAATTTTTTTTCGAACATTAAAGAAGCAGTAAGAAGATGTTTTTTTTTTGCTTGCGTTGGTAAAATGAATTTGGACGTCTAATTTTTTCGAGCGGTATTAGCAGAAAATTATGCACTTTGCTAATACATGCGTAAAATGCAAAACTTGTCCAGGTAATCCGAAATCGCTCAAAAGCATGGCATTTTTAAGTGTTTTTTTATTGGGTGGATAGTCTTGTTAAATTAAAGCAAGAGTGCCTAAATTGTAGAGGTGAAGGAAGGATAAGGTTATATCAACTTTAATAAGACCTAATATTGGATGCATTGTCATACAGCGCTTGAGAGTGGATGGGATGACAGCGTTGAAGATCAGATCCAGTAAGCCACTTGAATATGCCTGGGGTATAGAAATTGAAGACTGACCTGCTACAGGGGAAGAGGATTTGATTTGCTAAGTGTCGATACAATCGCACGTGAGCACATGCACACACACATAAGTCTTTATTCACACCTTAATCGTTTCAGGGTTTGAAAATAGATGAATAATTAGATCAACTAAGAGTGCGACGCAAATATTCTGCATTAAATTATCCTTCCCCCACTCCATTCTTTCTCTCCCCTCTCCCTCCCCTTCTCACACTATCCCGCTCTGCACTCTCGCTCGCCACAGAAAGAATCATAACTCCAACACGCCACAGCAAACACCACGCAGACCACCTCCCCTCTCTTAGTCTTAAGCGACCATTTCTCCAAAGCGTGTGTATTGAACTTGGATGCAAATTTGCGTAATTTGCATTCAGCGGTGCCGTTGCCTTAAACAACGATCTTCCCTCTCCTCCCCTTCTTGGAGCCGGCTCATTCCTCGCCCAAAGGTTTTGCTGCACACACGCGCGGTGGCTTGAGTTACATTTCGTGCGTTATGCATGCATTCTCTCTGTCCCATTTCAAACCCGTTCGCATAACATATCCATCATTTATTCACCAATTAAATTAACCAACAACCTGGGATTCGAAATGAGGCAGATTTACAGCCCAGTATTTGGCTCTCTCGACACATATTTGTTAGTTTCTCATGAAGAATGAGCATGATAGAGCAGTCTTACACCAAACAAAATGGAGAAAAATTAATAGTCAGATCTTAAAAAGAGCGAAAGATATTCGAAACGGCTCACTACTAGAATGCGAGTGGTGTGCTCCATTGGCGTCTGATGCATTTGGTGAGGAGTATTTACTAAGGTGTCTGTTTATGCCATTAAAGTATCGCAAGTAGCCACTGTGAATATTTGACTAGAGCCTTAGCAACACTCCAGATTGACTGGATTGGATGGGAGGCTTGGTATTTGGATACCATTAATTTTGAGCTGCTGCTGTCTCTCCCCTCCGCGTCCCACCGCTTCCGACTCCCTTCCCTCCTCCCATCCACATCGGCTTATCGCTGTCTGGACCAAATGTAAACACCGGGTTTTAGTAAAATTTACGTCTTCCTTTTTTGGGACGAGTGCAGTGCAGTTTGCCGATTTTTTGTCAAGTTTTCCATTCAAAGGTCAAATCATCTAACGTCTTCTAAGTAAATTTGTAAAATAGGTATAAGGAATGATGGAGAGAAAGTGGTGCTTCCTGCAAGGCATAAAAAGAACTTATTTACACGGCTGCGGATTAACTTTTGCCAAACTGTTGCCAATAACGAATACGTATCCCATCTATTTGAACTCGTAAATTTCAGCTCCCACTAGCCTTGCAAGTGGGACTCGGAAATGTCAGTCTTAGCATGGGTCAAATAAATACTAAATAGTTAAGGATCAAAATTCCATTGAGATGGCTGGAAAAGTAGCCTTACAGTTACTCTAGAACTAGGCTATTATTATTTTAAGACAAGTTTGCGAACGATGGGAATCATTCTGTGGTTCACTCCTACAGAATTTAAGTCCGTGTAACTTTATGCTTGAATATTATAATGCGACAAAAACTAAATTGATAAGTGGCAGAGAATGATTAGTCAGACTCATCTGAACCTGGGATCTATTCTGTTTTGGAAATCAACCACGAGTTTGGAACAAAAGTATTAAGGTTTAAGAACTTGTCAATCTTGAAAAAAATAGATATTCTTTCAAAAATTATTTAATTAAGCACTAGGGTCCGTCCCTCGTCTTCGCATTAATCCTCGTTTCCTTCG